ACACACAGACACAGACAATCTTACTGATGCACACAAATAGGCTCATTGACAGACAATCTCAATGACACACACAGACAAGGTTACTGGCACACACACAAATTTAGTAGACAAACTCTGATACACACACAAGCTTACTACAGACAAGCTGTCACACACATGCTCACTACAGACACGCTCACTGATGCGCACACACTCTCCCTACAGACAAGCCCATTGACACACACATGCTCCCTACAGAAGAGCTCACTAACACAGATTCACTACAGACAAGCTCACTGACACACATATGCTCACTACAGACAAGCTCACTGACACACACGCTCACTACAGACAAGCCCACTGACACACACGCTCACTACAGACAAGCCCACGATCACACCCATGCTCCTTACAGACAAGAGCTCACTAACACACACACATATGATCCCTACAGACAAGCTCACTGACACACATACAAGCTCACTCACTAGCAGGCACACACACACACACACAAACTCACTAGCAGGCACACACACAGAGGCTCCCTCACTAGCAGGTGCGCGCACACACAGAGGCAGACAGTCACTGACACCGAGGCAAACATCCACACATACAGAGACAGGCAGACAGCCACACACACACAGGCAGACAGTCACACACACACACACAGTCAGACAGCCACATACACAGGTAGACAGCCACACACACAGGCAGACAGTCACACACACACACACAGCCCACACACACAAGCAAGACAGTCACCACCACCACAGTCACACACTAACACACAGCCCACACACAGACAGCCCACACACACAGGCAGACAGTCACACACACACAGTCACACAGGCAGACAGACACACACAGATAGCCCACACACACATACACACAGTCACACACACAGTCACACACAGACAGTCACACACAGACAGTCACCACAGACAGGACAGACAGACAGACACACACACACAGACAGACAGACACACACAGACAGCCCACACACACACACAGTCACACACAGTCACACACCCAGACACACACAGACAGCCCACACACAGACAACACACACACACAGACAGTCACACACACAGTCACACAGACAGACACACACACACAGTCACACACACAGACAGTCACACAGACAGACACACACACAGTCACACACTCACAGGCAGTCACACACACAGACAGTCACATACACAGTCACACACACACAGTCACACACTCACAGGCAGTCACACACACAGACAGTCACACACACAGACAGACACACACACAGACAGACACACACACACACACAGTCACACACTCACAGGCAGTCACACAGACAGTCACACAGACACACCTACCTGCTTCTTACCTCCTGCTTGGAGCTCCTGGAGGCTGGTTGTTGGGGAAGCAGGGACTCCTTCCTGCTTCCCATGCTGCAGTCAGCCAGGCCCCCGCCGCACAGTAAGCCCCGCCCCTGCTGCACGCTAAGCTCCGCCCCGTCGCACGTAAGCTCCGCCCCGTCACAATTTTATTTATTTTTTTATGATCCCGCCAGCCATGTGTGAGCTGTGCCGGCTGCCTGGCTCCCCCTGCTCCCCCTGCTCCCATGGGGCTCTCTGCGGCCGCACAACTCACACATGGCCCGCCGGGATCACAGGAGCTGTCAGACCGGCCCCAGGTGCCGCAGCCCACAGGGAAATTTCCCGGTATCCCGGTGGGCCAGTCCGGCCCTGCACCAAACACTATGTACTAATCAATGCAACTATTAAGCAAGTCATACAATTGTCCACATAATTTAGACAATTATGACTTTAAAGTTACAATATCAGTTAGTACACATGCAAGGTTAAACAGTAATATTAGTATTTTTCACGTAATATCAGTAGTTATGGTACAAGTTAGTGGTTATTGCATGTCAGTGGTTATGGTACCGTGCGCTATTTTACACTATACACACAATTTACACGTCCGCTAAACGGCAGAGCTCAAGCTTTCTAGCAGGATATACATTTCACCAATTACAGCATATTTTACAACATTTACAGCAAACCCAACTACTCTAATTGGCCAGCACCTCGAGAACTATCAAACTATTTACACCAGGATTTGGTTAGTCTACATTGCCCAAGCACTATAGCGAACTAGTGGGTGGAATTTACAACAGTACCCATTTAGTCTACTCTATCAATAGTCTAGTGGCTGAATTTACAACAGAGCACACTTAGCCAAGATAGGTTGAGAGCTAGCAGACGGAATGTACACCAGAATCTGCTTAGTCTCGCCGGCCTCCCCGACCTAGCGACCTAAATTTACACCTAGACACGCTAGTCAAGACAGGACACCGGTGTCCGGCATAAACTATTTGCACCAAGATTTAGCCTGACCCAAACCACCTATATTAGACGGGCTGACTACAGAGCGTCTAATTTCCAGATAAGCGGTGCGCCTTCGCTTCTTCCCTCCAGAGGGAGGGGACAATCCAATTACCGGTTCCAAACATAAAACCCCCTTGTGGGCCTACCGCTCTAACGGTATAGTCTTACCTTTTAGTTCCTGGACCTGGGTTCACACTCATCGACAGGGCAACCCGGTACTCACTGCGCAGAAGCCGATGATCTCCTGGACAACAGGCCAGTGGCGCCGAGACGAAAGGAGGTCCATGCAGAAGTCCAGGGGTGCTGTCCTAGAGAACGTTGATAAAAAGTTTACCGTCTCAAATATCTGCACCAGCTTCCGTGCGATGAGGTTACCGGACCCAATGCACCAAAAATGTTACCCGAGGAATAACAGGAACAAACCGCAGAAACCACATATAGAGATATGGACACAAGTCTTCAGGAAGTAAGAGGTCTTTTATTTACACACTGATCGGGTCTCAGATGAACCCCTGTTCCAAAAATATCTGAGAGACAGAAAGCATGGTGCAGAGGCCTTTTGTTAACAGCATATCCCCTCCCATACAGTATAACCCCTCCTATATTCCTTAGACCAATCAGCACACAGGATATTCAGGATCACCTTATATGGGCAGACCACATGGCATTTACAGACAAAGGAATGTACTATCCACTTCCGCACATGCTCAGTATACTGATGACTCAGCCAACTGTTTGTAATCAGATACTAATTAGCATATGCCATGTGGAGATTTCGGCCTACTAAATTTTGACCATGCTGGAATCCCATCACAGTACATGGGTAAGCATGTTCCCTTAAGAGACTTTTCTCTGGTATTCCCAATAGTGCATCCCCTGGGAAACATAAACATAAACACTGCAGTCCCTCATCAGGTCCACCCCACCAGACCCACTACAGAGCTGTGAAGCATGATGCACCCATGCAGATTCCCTGCACCCCATGTTATTGGGACAAAGACAAACAGGGTTATTCATTAAAGTGATAATACACAGTGACTTCAAAGTGAATTTCAAATTTAAATGTTTCATTTTTATTGAGATGAAAAGGTTTCGGATTGACACTTTAACATACATTTTACGTTTCACACTTATTGCATATTCAGAGAGTGTATAGTGATACAAATTTCCCACGGCATTTTACAATACATCCTTGTGGCAATGGTACAGTGTTTCGTTTCAGTCGACATTCATGCTTTTGTTATAAGTGGTGAGTAATGCCCTGTTTTCTGTACCCGGTAGGCTGGGCACGCTCTCTGGCGTGTGTTATCACCTGGGGACCTGGGGGGTAGCCCCCCACCTATATCCTCCGCTCTCCTTTGGGGTAGGCCAGATGGTTAACAGTTGGGTATGTATTACCTTTGCGTTTTATTTATTTATTTGGTTTTGTGTCTTGTGGGCTGGAAACTGATTTCCCTGCTCATCATCTCATATTTTAAGGCTCGGTAAGGCAACGTAAGCCCTTATTTTGTGTGGGGTTAACTGGGATAGGGGTGTAATACGGGGGCGTGGGGGAGGTGAGATGCTCTCTTGCTTTAAGGCTTGGTGGGGTGTAGTTTGACTTCTTGGTGTCCACCCAGGCATCACCACTTAGACCATGTTCTGTTGTAGTGTTCTAGTGTGCCACCTATTGTATGTGCCATCTTCTCGTACTGTTGGATGAGGCTTACTTTGGTGAGTACTGCTTTTATGTCAGGTACTGTCGTAGTTTTCCACAGGGCAGCTATGCACGTTTTAGCTGCTAAAGTGATGTGGGTAATCAGCGCTGCTTCATAGGCTGTAAGGTCTCGGGGCAGCATGTGGAGCAGATAGTGTTCAGGTTTGAGTGGTAATTGTTTTCCTAGTTTGGATTTAATTATGTCTTGGATTTGTTGCCAGTATTGGCCAAGTGCCGGGCAGTACCAGAATATGTGGCTCGTATTTCCCACTTGTTGGCTGCAGCGCCAGCATCTATCCTGCACCCCTGGGTATATTTGGGCCAGCCTGTGTGGTGTGTAGTACCACTGCATCCACATCTTGTAGGCTGCCTCTACATGGTCTAAGCACTTTGTCGCCCGTTTAACCAATGTCATGGCCCCTATCCACTTCCCATGCTCGAGTTTGCAGTTCAACTCTCTTTCCCATTTGGGCATGTATGATTTTTTTGGCCGGTCTGTCTATGTCTAGCAACCTATGGTGTGAATTTCAAATTTAAGGTCAAAATAGGCCAACTTGAAATAATTCTCTAAGTCACCAATGCTTTCAGTTTGGCTACTATGGCCTTACATTTTAAATTATTCCCTTTGAATTCTCACTGTAGTGAATAAAGCTGTAAACTATCCCCAAATAATTCGGTCTAAGAATCCCTTATTCCTTCTCAAAATAAGCTAAAAACAATCAAAAAACCTGCATTGTGAATGGGAACCAAAAACATGGCTGCAATGGGCGACATATCTGCTATTGGGCGTCTCAGCGTGACAGAGCGCCTTGGGCAAACACGCAGACATTCACGTCCCCCCTGTGACACGTCTATGGCAAATCACAACCTACACTGCTACTCACTATGCCGCTCCCGCGCACTCTGATTGGTTAGCCGAGAAACAAGCCCACGCTCTGATTGGCCACATCGCACCGTGGCTTTAGGCTGTGTCTGGTGAGATGCCAACCAGACAGGCTGCTTCCGGGTGAGAGATCGCAGGACAAGCCGAGTAACAGCGCGGGGACAGCGGGAGAGCCGCTCACGGGAGCCTGGGGATGCTGGGCCTGTCACACTGGGGAGTTAATTGATGAGCTCAGCCGGTATAATATTATTAATAGAGTTACAGATACTGTTATAGAGTGAGGGCACAGACACCATGTCACATATAACAGTCACAGAGCCAGCTTACAGCGTTGGATGTAACATGGTGAGTTAATCCATCACTTTTATACAATATTATATCATTATTATTATTATACAATATTATATCATTATTATTATTATACAATATTATATCTATTATTATACAATATTATATTATTATTATTATACAATATTATATTATTATTATACAATATTATTATATCATTATTATAATAGTATTATTATACAATATTTTATTATTATATATATATATATATATATATCTTTATTATTATATATATCTTTATTACTATTATATATATCTTTATTATACAGTATTATATCATTATACAGTTTTACATCATTATTATACAGTATTATATCACTATTATGGTATTATATCATTATACAGTATTATATCACTATTATATAGTATTATATCACTATTATACAGTATTACATCACTATTATATAGTATTAAATCATTATTTCACAGTATTATATCACTATTATGGAGTATTATATAATTATACAATTATACATTATACAGTATTATATCATTATTATACAGTATTACATCACTATTATATAGTATATCATTATTATACAGTATTACATCACTATTATATAGTATATCATTATCATACAGTATTATTTCACTATACAGTATTATATCACAGTATTTTATTATTATAGAGTATTATTCAGTATTATATCATTATTATACAGTATGATATCATTATTATAGAATATTATACAATTTTATACAGTATGATATCACTATTATAGTGGTATTATATCAGTTATAGAGTATTATATCACAGTATTATACAATTTTATACAGTATTATATCACTATTACACAGTATTATACAATTTTGTATAGTACAGTATTGTATCATTATTATTATGTTATTTATATAGCGCCATCAAATTCCACAGCACTTTACAATGGGTGGATGAACAGACATGTAGTTTTAACCAGATTTTATCAGTATTATCCAGTTGCTGTCTCTTTACATGTGAGTCATGGGAAATGTAGTTAAAGGGAAACTCCAGTGCCAGGAAAACAGTCCGTTTTCCTGGCATTGCAGGCTCCCTCTCCCTCCCACCCCCCAATCCCCGGTTGCTGAAGGGGTGAAAACATCTTCGATTACTTACCAGAGGCAGTGACGATGTCCCACGTCGCTGCTTCTTCCTCCGCTCCTCCCAGTGATTGCGTCGGCCGGTGGGCGAAACTGACCCCGCCCACCGGCCGGGGAGATCTAATGCGCATGCGCAGCAATGCCGCGCATGCGCATTAGAGCTCCCCATAGGAAAGCATTGAAAATGCTTTTCAATGCTTTCCTATGGGGAAATGAGCGATGCTGGAGGTCCTCACACAGCGTGAGGACGTCCAGTGACGCTCTAGCACAGGTTTCCAGTGCTAGGGACACGCCACTACTAGACAGCCACTAGAGGTGGAGTTAACCCTGCAATGTAATTATTGCAGTTTATAAAAAAACTGCAATAATTACACTTGCAGGATTAAGAGTAGTGGGAGTTGGCACCCAGACCACTCCAATGGGCAGAAGTGATCTGGGTGCCTGGAGTGTCCATTTAACCTTTGGCTGTGGACTTGTTGCTAATATCAGTGTCCTGGGCTGCTAATAGGGAAACCTTCTTTGATTTAAAGCTAAAATACAGCAGTTTTTATGTGTGGAGCTTGTGAGAAGTGACTCTCCTGTTATTTAAGATATCCTGGATTCCCTAAATGAATGTGTGTTTATTCTGCTCTATATGGTCCATGCAGTTTATCATTCATTGTTTCATGGTGTCTGAAGACTGAGCTGATATTTATCTTGTGTGTAGTGTGTGATTTTGAGAGACTGTATTAACTATACAATCTGCATATTGTAATCTCTTGTACAGTATTACTGTATAGTCAAGGTTTTGAGCATTTGTATTTTTATTCTATTCTATGCTCGCTGATATGTGGAACGCCTTTTCTTACTAGAACTGTAACTTTGTTTATACTACTTTTCTCGGATTGTATTCTCACATTGTTAAACCAGGAGTTGTAGACAAAAGTTTATTGTAGACTATGTGTTTGTTTCATTTTAGTTTGAGAATCTCTTTTTAAATGTACCTAGACATATATCTATTATTGTAATACATTTTACACTTTAAGTGCAACTAAAAAAACAAAGACAAAAACCATAAAACTTCAGAAGAATAGAGCCTACAAATCAGTTGTTACATGCCTCAAATGTCTAAATTAATTTTAGTAGTTAAATGCAAACCCTAAGCTGACACTAATCCTATGATTACACTAACCTCATCTGTGCACCTACCTTAACCTTACCCATAACCTTGACTCAACATGACCTCTAACCCGAAAGTAGCATTAATCTTTACCCTACGTTAACACTAACTCATAAGGATTCCCTCTGCTGTCATCGGTACTGACATCAGCAGGGTGAGTTCCCAGCTCACCCAGTACAGAGAGTGTGCTTGCAGCATGATAAGGAGATCTCCCTCTCATGGTGCAAATCCTGCATGCTATACTTTCTGATCACGCAGTGAATGGTGCAGAGAGCCCAGCAAGATCATTTTATGTGGGGGGTGGGGGGATCTTCCTCAGACTAAAGGGCAGGTTCAGAATCACTGTTACTGAGCACAATTGCACTTCTGTGGTGATTTAAATGGCCGTATGCAGCTCACTTTTTGAGCTCAGCATACAGTTCATCTGTCCGTCTGGGCACACTAAATATTGTCCCAGCCGGGAGCCCCAAGTATCGATCGATATCTAGGTGTAAGCAGGGATCTATCCTCACTCACACCAAAATTAAGATGTTCTATGCTGCCTTAACTGTGTCCACTATTTTTAGGACAGCATGTTGTAAAAGGATTAAGGAAAGTATCATAACATTTAAAGGAACATTATAGTGTTACAAATATAAATACATATTCCTAATGCTATAGTGTTCTCTTACCTATTTAGTTGTCCTCAACCTCACAGGATGCGTTTATAAGAATACTCATTCCCTATGCTAATATCTCCCTTTCATCTCGAACACCAGTCTTTCTGTCCATATTAGAAGTCCTGCAGACTCCTATTTCCAGGTTTGTGTTAACTGTTTTATAATGAGCCAGTCAATACAAGTTTCGTTTCCCTGCGTACTAAGTTCTCATACTTCATTCCATCTGCACCTGGTCCTGACTATTAGAAATACATAAATAATGATGAAATTATTGCAAGAACAGCTGTCTCCAGCTTATTAGGTTAATAACTTGTGTTTGGAGAACAATTTGAAATATTGGTATTAAAGGAACACTATAGGGTCAGGAAGACTAATGTATTCCTAAACCTATAGTGGAAAAAAAAACCAACCTATTTAAGTGGCCGACTCTCCCTTACTTCCTGTTAAAAATTCTATCTCCATTCCAACTTTGTGCAAGTCAGCTGGTGCTGGCCCTGCCCCGATCCACCTCCTCGGCTTATATAATCATAATTGATCGTCAGTTCCAATGCTGTCAGCCAAGGAGGTGGGGCGGGGTAGGGGACAGAGCAGGGGGCTGAGCCAGATGTCATCCTAGCCAATCAGCATCTCTTTATAGAGATGCATTGAATCTCTATGAGGAAAATTCAGTGCCTCATTGCAGAGCGTGAAGACTCTGAACATCTGTACTGCACAGCCCAGGAAGCACCTCTAGTGGCCGTCTGAGTGACTGCCACTGGAGGTGTCCTTAGACAGGATTGTAAACACTGCCGTTTTTTTTGCTGTGAAATGTGCATGTTACCTCTGTAAACACTGTAGGCACAAGTTTAATTAACTTGTGTAAATATTGCATAAATATACAGCCTCCTGCTACATAACCAATCCCTATTTCTTTTAACCCTTTGGACTGTAATGTATCTTAAAGAGAAAACTATCTTCAGATACAATTTTCCTCCAAAAATATTTTTTTTTTTAAAAGCAATCCGATTTGAAATGAATAAAAAAACAGAAAACATCTGCTGTTTCCTTGCCTCTTTTTCTGATGCTTTGTCCCCTCTGTCGGTGTTGCCTAAAGTTCTGTTCTCAATATATGCTGACTCTATCTGTTCCTTTGGTTTCCAGTATCACTTTAATGCTGTTGAAACACTCAGATCTACCTGTCGTGCTGTCCATCTTGAATTGTTTCTCAGCTGTCTTTCTGCTATTTCTAACTGGATGACATCTTCCTTAACCCCTTAAGGACACATGACATGTGTGACATGTCATGATTCTTTTTTTATTCCATAAGTTTGGTCCTTAAGGGGTTAAACTCAGTTTTTCTAAAACATAATGTCACTCTGCAAAGAGCCTGCACCTATGCTCATACTGCTCATTCTGACTCTCCTCTTCTGGAGTTGTCCAGATTTGCACCAGTCTTGTAGAGCTCCTTTCCAAGGTCTATTCGCTTCTCGTCCAATTTCCATCCCATTTAACAACCCTGGCTGGGTGCTCTCCACTACTGGAACTTGATGAGATGTTAACACTGATAATTTCACTTTTTGTGCTAGATCTGTATACACATTGTTCTCCCATTACCCAAATCTCTGATAAAGATAATCACATTATTCACGGTTAAACAACACAAGTATTGAGAAATAAACAAGAATATTGTAAAACTGTAAGAAAATCTATAACCGGTGTGGGACATAGTGCTAGCTGGCATTGAGACAATACTTTCCTTTTATATGACGTGTCTGGAAACGATTAATACCAATAACATATTTTTCTTTTGTAGTGCTAATGGCTTATCTAATTACCATGCTTGCAGTAAGCTGTTGAACGATAAATCCCCTGTAAGTATAAACTTTAACCTTTAGCAAATGCCTTATTGAGCTCAGACAACATCATTGTACGTTTCCATAACTGATGTAAAAGAGAAAATGTCATATATATATATATCCCTTTTTCATTTTTTTTTTTTTTTGGTTACAAATTATATTCAATTGTGGAATGATGACAGTAGGTATAGTAAAATTGTTATATAGCAATCATTAACCTGCAATGTCATGCCAACAGCCTTTCCCTTAATGGGTCTGGTTATTTTATGGCAAACAAGCAAATAAAGCAGTTAAACTTGCGTGACAAACTAGGATATTTTACTTGTCACTGGTAACAAAATGCTACTCCTCCGATTTCATTGCACTGTGTTCGGATTTACCCAACCCTCTCATGCACAAAGTCTGTGCCATCATCAAAAGAAAGGGGGAGAAAATCGACCTTTCTATTGATTATATTACAGATGTCGGCTTTGATTAAATATTTTTTAATAAGCTAATTAAATAAAACTTCTCTCAGACTCTAACGGTGATTTCTGTAGATAAATCATTTGAAAAAGGTTTCTGAAATTGAGGCCATCTTTGGAACTATATCAGATTGGAGGATTCCATTCAGTATACTGCTTTGTGGTACAGTGAACTTTAAAATAATAAATTTTATGGGGAAAATATTTTCCTCACATAAGACTGCAGTAAAATGCTCTGTTTGGTGACAGGCAAAAAGGTCAACTAAAGGAATTCTCCACCATAACCACTGCTGACATTAGTGGCTATAGTGCCCTCCATGTCAGACTGCTTTAAAACAATTTGGCAACTTGCCTTGCCTTAATCATTCTAAAAAGGTTTGACAAAATACACTGCAATATAATTGTGGACATATCTTCCCACCCTTTTCTGAATGCAGATCTGCTAAAGTTGGCAAGTCTCTTTTTTTTAGTTGCTTTGTATTTTGGAAGGTTTTGTCCACTGGTATCTAAGCAACCTGTATTTTTCTTTTATGTTGGTCTGCTTCTCCAGATGTCAGAACCATCAATGTGGAGGAAATAGTTATGTTAATTTTGCCATGCATTTTTTCACTCTATCTTACTCTCTTAACCTCCCCCCCCCTTTTTATTTATTTTTTAAAGTGTCGGTATGACTCTACATCTGCGAGACGGAGCGTCACACTCCTTTAAGCCTCCCACTGCAATCCATTCCTCATCTGGAAGCTATGTTTACACTTTCCTCAATAGCTCTGCAGATCATGGCAGTTCCTCAGAAGAAGAGTTTGATGTTATGGAATTACGAGCAAGGGGTGGGCAGCGTAAAAATACAGCTCGAGAGAAAGTCAAGGATGTGACCTTTTTGGAGTGTGCCGTCACAAAAGATGACACTCTAAACAAGCTGGCTTTGCAATATGCCTGCAAGGTAAGAGGTGCTACTTGACACTATGCTGTAAACACTTCTTCATTCAGTGAATGGAAAAATGAGCACCTGTGTTTCTAATCACTAGATTAACAGGAAGCAAGATTATAATTGTTCGTTTCCTATGATTGTCTATATCTTTGTGTTTTTTAATTTTATTTTTACAGTTGGATTTCATTTCACAGTGCTAGGGTCTTCATTAGCTCCGTTCCATGGATGGATGCAATATTTCAGATTTTATCTGTTACCTTTTATTTAAGAATGTTTGTTTGTTTGTTTATTTAAAAAAAAAATTTTTTAAATGTACCTAATAACTATTCTAATTCTTTGTAAGTACAGGAGAATGTACTGATGGCAGAAATATCAGAAGTTTAATAAGGGTACAGCTGTAGTTATTATCACTGTTTGAGCCTTGGAGAAGTGCAAGCCAACTGGTCAAATCATTGACTGTATCAGCTGCTGACACTTTCAGTTCACTAGGGAGAGCAAAACTGTTTTAGAACTGGTAGAATAGCTGGGATTGACCATGCAATACTTCAGAATTTTTTTTCATTGTGGCTTCCTTTGCAACCATAGTCTAATTATTAAGTTATACACTCCCTTAATAGTGGCCATTTTCACCTGAAACTGGTACATGCTGTTTGTGATCACACTGGTAATACCTTAGTGTCACGAACGCACCTTACTTCAAGAGTGTGCGTGATGTAGTTGTGCTGGTGAAAGGGTTAAAGTTCACTATTTGTCTGCACTAGACCAGAAATAATGATAAAATCCCACTTAACACCACTAACACTTAACCATAATAATATATATATCGCTATTTTTAACGATCCCTCCACCAAGACAATTTATAAATGGGGTGCATTGATCCCCCAGTTAACTTAAAGGGACACTGTAGTCACCTAAACAACTTTAGCTTAATGAAGCAGTTTTAGTGTATAGATCATGCCTCTCAGATTTCACTTCTCAATTCACTGCCATTTAGGAGTTAAATCACTTTTTGTTTCTGTTTATGCAGCCATTGGCACACCTCCCCTGGCTCTGATTGACACAGCCTGCATGAAAAAACTGGTTTTACTTTCAATCAGATGTAATTTACCTTAAACAATTTTATCTCTTGCTCTGTAAATTGAACTTTAATCAAATACAATAGGCTCTTGCAGGGTCTAGCAAGCTATTAACATAGCAGGAGATAAGAAAATCTAAATTTAATAGAACTTGTAATACAGGAAGGATAAAGATTAGATTACTCTTTACTGGAATGGTTACGAAGGCTGTGCAGGTCACATGCAGGGAGGTGTGACTAGGCCTGCATAAACAAAGTGATTTAACTCCTAAATGGCAGAGAATTGAGCAGTAAGACCACAGGGGCATGATCGATACACCAAAACTGTTTCATTAAGCTAAAGTTGTTTTGGTGACTATAGTGTCCCTTTAATAATAAAAACCCACCAAATATAACAGCACAAAATCTAATCAATTGAAAAACATTAGTCTCTTCAGGTAACGTGATTCTTTACCAGACAAAGGCAGAACTTAATAAAGGAATATTTATTATGAGCAAAAAATAGTACAGTGCATACAAAAAATAGATGATAATCAAATTATTTACACCAAAAACAAATAAAACCAAAAGGGATAAAATAACAGACGTCCTAATCACTTACTCAGGTTTTCAAAGTAAAACTTCTGCCCAGTGGGTCTTTGGTAAGGAAGATGGTGACTTACTCAAAATTAGATTCTGGCCCCCAAGCATGTATAAACACATTACAGAATCATTAGATATATACCCTGTGGATTACCAAGCCTGCTCAAGAGATGAAGATAAGGCAGACCTATGGAACAATAAGTGACCATTCCCTTGTGTTCCAGACCAACATCAATCCAAATGGAAACATTTAGTTCTATCTTCTCTTATGTACTTGCCACAGAAATACAAATTGCATGTATGGATTTGTTACCATTTTTCCATTCCATAGAGTCACACTCCTTACTTGTGACCCATAATAACGGACATCACAATCTCTTCCCATATGGGTAAGTTACGCAAATCATGTTTAGGCTTGATTAGAAGATTGTGCTTGTCCTATTGTAAATCTAATTTAAAAAAATGAAGCTTAGCTATTATACTGTGGATAAGTAAGAAAGTGTATATATGTGTCTCTTTTGGATATGATACTGGAACACAAGGCTAGTGATCATTAACATATCAATGAGATTAACTCATCAATTAAGAGGTAGAGGCCATATGGCTGAAGTCAGCTAGTTTACTTTGGAACTAGACATCCAGGCATCTCAAGTGTAGAATCTCACACCCTGCAGAGCCTTTGATTAAAGGGACACTGTAGTCACTATAAGCATTTCATCTCTTTGAATTTGTTATAGTGCTTGGAGTACCCTGGCACTGTCCCTCCATTCAGTGTTGCACCATGTTCGTGCAGTATGCCACAAAATAAGAGTCCCTGGCCACCCACAGTCCGGCCCCTTCAGTATGTGTAGCTAAGGCAGAGATTACACACTTCCTTGTTGTCATACCCACTCATACCGTCAGTTGAAACTCTGACAGGCTAAAAGCAGTCAGCTGACACTCTCAGCCAATCACAGCTGCCCATTTCTGCTCAGGCTAATACTCCCTTATTAGCCAAAGCAGCACAGAGGGGATGGATTGCCGGGGACTCTTGTTTAACATTAAAACTTTAAAAACTGTTTAATGCTGATAGAAATGATGGGACCAGAAGACTCCAGACACTATAACCAGTTTAATGAGATGAAGCAGATACAGTGCCTACGGTGTCCCTTTAATCAAATGATCAATCCATGTTGCAAACCATCTGGCCTCCTTCACATTCCTATACAATTTACATTATCCCTTCTGTCATCTGATTGTAAAGCGCTGCAGAATTTGTTGGCGCTATATAAATTATAATAATAATCTGATCTCTGCCACGTGGCCAAATATGCACTACACAAATTACATTAAATGGCAATATTCTATTGTGCCACAATGAATTATGCATCCTTGGCGTGACCATTAGTTTGGAGTATATACATGCAATACACCGCAGATCTTATGGCAGATATAGGGAGGGAGAAAAGGGATTGAAAGTAGCTGCAATGGATTCTATGTATATGATGTGAACTGGGGACCCTACTAAGAATTTTTTCTTTTTAATAAAGGTTGCAGATATAAAACGAGTCAACAACTTAATCTTGGAGCAGGACATGTATGCTTTAAAGACTATCAAGATCCCAGTCAAGGTTAATGGGATCTTAACAGAATTACAGAAAGAGCTGAACCCACAACAGAGAATGCATTCTAATTTGGAGGCCAGTGGTGTTGAGTTGACTGAGGAAATGTCTGTGGATGTAACGGAAAGCAGAAACCTAAGCAAATACTTCGAGGAGATTGATGCGAACATCGAGGCTGCAGCACTGGTACAGGATCTGAGCAATGAGCCTCTAATCCCCAATTCCCAACATTCTTCATCGTATTTGTTGAGGAACGACCAGCCCAGTATTAGAGGAGATTGGGGCATCAGGTGGAACGCTATTTTAATCATGCTTTTAATTGTAGTTGTGCTGCCAGTATTTTACTTAATCTACAAAATGCGAGAACATGCATATACAAATTCTACACGTTCCAGCTAGTCTTGGTGCACACATAGACCTGAGAAATAAGAGCAAATGTTTGCACTAATAAGCACAAAGTTGTGCTGGACACATACAAACTCAAGGATACTGGAGGGTGATGACTGTAAGCATTTGCTCCATTGAGCAGCTGTACTCCTGTTGTCCACCAGTCAGTCACTTTACATCTTCTAGGTGCCATCTAAGGGCCTGTGCCTTGTCTAAGCATTGCAGTTTTCTAAGTGTAATTAGTCTGATCTGTGGTTAATGGCTTTAAGTCACCAAGGAATACTGCTAAAACCTACCTCCCATGAATGGTGTACTCTTAAATATATGGAAGCAAACTGGCTATTTTTGGAATACTGATTTTGTGATGTAAATGGAATGATGCATATGTCTGTGCAGTGACATCTTATTGCAAATCATGTGCATCTATCCTCGTACTATTTAAATGTTCTAGAATGGTGGTGGGCACATTTGGGAGCAAAGATGAACCCCACACATTTCATGACAATATTCACATTTACAACCCTTTATATATCTGTTGAGGGGTTTATATGGGCAAAATGATTGGTGTCATGGGTGACAAATGTAAATGAAACATGTTGTCAGCCTCTTGCTGAATCCATTTTAATCCGTATAGAAATCAGTATGCTGCCCAAGATTTAATTCAATTTGCACATTAAGGGCAGTCAGGTGATGTTCCTTGAGAACTTGTTTTTATACAGCTACCCTGTCTTATTCCCTGCAAGTTATCCATTGGTATATATATATATATATATATATCTCTTTTACACTAAATTCAGAAAGATGAGTTCATTTCTGTAATTTGTCAGTTTTCTTTTCTTTTTTTCTTCTTGGCAGTGAACCAGTTTCAGGCAGGGCCACTCTCTGCCAACTGCCAAATAGATGGCTGTACTCTCCATCCAAAGGTCCCTCTTGGAAACAAATAACTCTTTAAGGCTCAAATAATTCTTAATTCAATGATAAAATGACTGTGTAAGATACCAATGAGCTAATCAATGCCATGTGTGTGTTAGGCTTATATTTGCTAATCGGCTAATGATTTTCAAATTTATTTTTTTTCAATATTTTATAATCCATGGAAGATACGAAACAGGGTCCTACACTTTATTTTGGCTGGATTGCCAAAACATTTTATAGTAACAAATTCTGAGGTCATACTAACTGTGGTAACACAACCAAACTTTCGCAGTCCAAGAAATGGTGTCTTATGCTGATTTTTATTTAGGGCAATGTGTTTTTTTTTTTTTCTTATTTATTGTTTGGGAAGAAACATTTCTTGTGATTCTTTCCTCAATGGCTTGTTGTGATTTCATTTTTTTTCTTAAAGAGGTTCTTGTACTTTTTCTAGTGAAAACAATGTACTCAAATTTCCCGTACACATCATTCAAGGCACTTGCTCTATTTCAGTTAACCTTTTATATTTAACAATGTATTCCCCTGTCCCAGACTCCAGCCCCCTCACCCCCCCATTGTAAAGACTTAACATTTTATTCACTGTCATGATTTCAAAGCGGAGGTCCCTTGGTGCTGGGTTGTGGTCCATCTGTATTGTCTTACGATGGAAGGGGGCCTGATGCACATGCGCGGCAAACATGCGTTTTAAACTTTCCCTATAGGAAACCATTGCCTCAGTGCTTTCTTGTTGGGATTTCGCTGACACTGGACATCCTCATGCAGACAGTGAGGGTGTAAGATGTAACGGTCTGGGTGCCTACAGTGTCCCTGTAATCTCCAGTTAAAGCAGGCATAGTTCTTTCTAGTTTTTCCATTTGTTTTTTTTCAAAGCAGCAGAGGCTGCATCCTTTGTTAGCCCAGTTTAATATGTGTCTGCTGCACCTGACAAAATGCACTTGACTTAAACCATGAAAGATTAATTGAATAGGAGAACAGATTGGACCTGGTGAAGGGGTGTTTTGCACAGACCTACTGGTAAGCTCCCTAAAGAACACAATCAAAAAGAAGAGCATTTAATCACCAGCTTTAAAGGGACATGTAGACAACATTAGCCTCTTGATTCATTTGTGCATATAAGCATTTTGTTCTAGAATATTGTTTACTGAAATGTATCAGTACATGTACAATTATCATTTTAGGGCAGGTGCCCATTGCACTTAGGAACACAGTGCTGCTAAAGTTAAAACCATTTCTTATTCTGATGTGCCTGTTACTGTCAATAAGAATTTACTAAATACATTTGGAAACCCAGTTGTGGGTCTGCAGCTTTAAAGAACATTTTGCATATTAAAGGAATAGACCGCTTGCCATTTAATAACTTTTACGTGTCCTGTTCTGATACTTCCGAGTATGCTCCAGTTCTTTATATCTTCACCTAGGACAGTTATTGAAATAAGGTTTAGATGATACAATATGTATTATGAGTATCATGGCACTTGACAGTAGGTGGTCTGTGGATTTGGAAAAAAATGTGGGTACTTTTCTTTGTTCTTTCTTTTAGGTAACAATCTGATCTTCTTTAAGGATCTTGTGTAGAGTTTATATAAATCCAAGTACATTTTGGTTTGTGTTTTGTACCTTGTATGTATTGGGGATCATGCAGCCTGCTCCCTTTTAAAGTGACCTTGCCATCCACAAATTGTATATATTGTTTTAATATTTGCTTTATGATGGTAAAATAACCTGCAAATTTATAAATACAATATAGACTTGGCTGAGGATCTGATCCTAGCTGTGCAACATAGTCCTCCTTTAATGCACTCTAGGAATTGTGGGATGCCATAGTTGTCATTGAGCACAGGAGTTGCAGTGTAGGCAGTACAGCAGCAAGCACAGCCGCTCCTGTTTTAGGGCTTCTAATAGTTGTGACATTACATTTCTGACCTCCCCAGTAGAGATATACATAGTTAAAAAAAACTTCATCTGTGCACTGGGTAGCAATTTAAAGATTTTTTTTTTTTTTTTCTTCAGATATAGCTGTTTTGCTCTACAATGTGCAGTTCCTACTCAACATTGGGAATACAGGCCTGAATGTGATTTAAGAATCTGAATCTGTATGATTTAGTATTGCTTCTTTGAACAAGCGTGCTTAAAGATACAGTAATAATACATGATAATCAGAACTATTTAAATACCATATACTCTCACACTGTGTCCTATTTATTGCAGTATATAAAAGCATAATATGCTACCTGCAAGAGGTGGTTTTGTTTAGTTTGTATGTGCCGGTTTATTTTTTTTTACGTTCGAATGCAGGAGTAAGAGATTGGTTAAATGGACACTCTAAGCACCAGAACTTTTCTGAGAACCACAATGTTTATATTGCTTCCTCTAATGCAGGTGTAGGTAACATTCAGCACCAGATGTTGTGAACTACATCTCCCATAAAGCTCTCACTTCCATAATGCTGGCAAAGTATTAGGGAAGATGGTGTAGTCCACAACATCTGGTGTGCTGAAGGTTGCCTACCCCTGCTCTAATGACTGTCACTAAGAAAGACATTAGAGGTTCTTCCTTTTGCTGGTCCTGCAATCTTTGCATCACCGATGTTTGGCATCTTCACACTCCACATGAACTCTCGCCATACATTGCAATGAAAAAGGAAGCAGGCTTAATACCCAGTAGTTTAACTAGGAGCAGTGAGAATTGTGCCTAGCATGGGTTAGCTTATCATAGACTGAGAACACATAAGTTATCCTATTACATTGCCCACTTTCCCAGCACCGCTAGTACAGACTGGCATGGAATTCCCGTGGGGCTGAAGGGCTTAAAACACTTACCTGAATCCAGGCTCTGCACATGTTCTTCCCACCGACGTCAGCCGGCAAGGGAGACCTAATGCGCAAGCGCGGCAATGGCCGCACGCGCATTAGACTTCCCCATAGGAAAGTATTAATCAATGCTTTCCTATGTGGAAAATCTGACGCTGGAGGTCCATGAGGATGTCCAGCGTCAGATAATGGACAAAAAGTCAGTTTGAATTCCGGAAGCCCTCTGGTTCTCTGGAATTGCAATGCTTTACATTGCAGCACTAAGTGCAAAAGGGTCACAGCACCCAGACTACTTCAATTAGCTGAAGTGGTCTGGGTGCCTACAGTGTCCCTTTTTAACTGGTACTCACATTAAACTAACAAAACAAACCTGGTAGAATTACTGAATTAAAACTGCAACTTTTAAAGCTTCCACCACTGTCCTAATGAACTGCATTTGTTCCATAGGCTCTGATTTCTTTGTATGAGGAGATTCACATGATCCACATCATATTCTCAGTATCTGCCCTTGCTGGCACATTGATCCACTAATGTTCCAAGGTTTGACCACTGGCATTTTTCCTCGTGGAACTTAAGTGTGTGAAAATAGACCGTTTTTGAAAGCAAGACACAAAAAATAAAAATAAAAAATAAATTCACATTCTGTCTGTAAACTGTGCTAGTATCAAGCTGCTTGGTACCAGAAAAACCACAGATATGGCAGCCAGATCATTGTGGGAATGGCTTGCCCACAGTTAATATGCATACACGACCTTCCAGCAGGTATACTGTTAATCTTTACATTTGCTGCCAGTTTTTCTTGTATAATGTATTTATATGTGTACTTACCTGAAGTTGACTGTGCCATCCACGTGTTCTATGGATGGCAGAGTCACTGGAATGTGCAGTTGGCTTTCATAGCTTACAAATAATTAATTTGTGATAATCAGTGCTAACTAGATAATCCATTACACAGTTCAACTAGGATAAAAATCACTGATGTACTGCCATTCAAATTTCACATGTATTAATGCTAGGAGAATAAATACCATTTCTAATGTCTATTTTATTATTCTTGTGAGACGCTTCTGACAGTATGTTATATAAGTTATAATACAAAACTACTTCATACCTTTCCAAAGATAACGATTTCATTGTTTCAGACATTGTATTAGTTTATCTATCTGTCTTGTTGTATTCATTGGCTGTTTTTGTTTTGGTACTGGCTGATGATACATTGTAATACACAGCATATACCTGTCATGACTATTTGCCAAATTCAGGGATATGTTTAACAGCGCAAACATGGAATTAAACATAATTTAATGACAACTGTAATTTCTTCTGTGAAGGAAGTTCTAATGTTTTGTATGTAAACACTAAAGAAATAAAAATGTATTTCTGTGTTTTAAAAAAATAAATAAATAAAAAAATAGTGATCATTATTGTAATGCAAACCTGTGTTTAAAGTTTCAAACTGGGAGCAATCAGGAGGAACATTTTCATTTGGTTCACATGACAGCGAAGTTTTATTATTGGATAAAGGACAGTCTCCGGTACAGGTGCCTTCATCAAACCCCAGATTCTATTTTGGTAACCACTAGAGAAAATATGAAGACGAATTAATCCAAGCATATTAAAAATACATTTATAGAGCAACATTATATACTGAATGACTGAAAGAGATTACAAATATTTTGATTTGTAGTTTCACAGACAATATAGTTTTCATATTCCTGTATATGGAGTTGTTGTTGCAGCAAAAGTTGAAGGGCAAAAAAATCTACCTTAGTAAGCACATGAGGTAAACAAGAAGAGTGTACGTTAAAAATACTGTAAATTTGGTTTAGTGCAGTGGTACTGGCCCATGTGTCTCCTAAACCAGAATCATGAAAGGTCGAACGTTCTTATATGCAATCCATTTTTTTTCTTTCTTGTGTTTTGCCAGCTATACTGGTTTATATACTTTTGCATTTTTTCACAATTAAACTAACCAATAATGTATGATTTTAGATTTTCCTCAAATATGTGCAGGTTTTTGCTTATGTTGTCTGCACAAACAGGTTATACTTCTGATCAGTTTAATGTTTTATTGATAAAGTCCCATTACCAGGATCACTAAAATCCCACCTAACAAACCCAAGTAAAGACGGGTGATTCTAGGCAGTAGAAACAGACGACTGCGCCAGCTGCTCTGTAGGCCCACGGTTACACCACCTGTTCTGGTCTTCTGTTGGGTTGAAATGCCTGTTGCTGATCCTGCTCTTTGCAAGTGTGGCTGGAGTTTCCATAGAGGTAAGGGAGGAGAAGGTCCCTTGTCACTGATGATATTTCAGGAATACAGGGTTTGCAGACTCTCAATATGAATTTGTGACTCTCATCACCCCATTTTCCATATGAGGTGCTTGAGAGGATGAGATGTTATGATTTCTAAGTTTGACTGTGAAATACCATCTCTTTGCCATTGTAGTTGGTGAAGGGTTGGCATAACTTGCTAGGCAACTGAAAGGGTTGCGAAGTTGTTTGAGCTTTCTAGCTGATGCTGTCAGGAGCGTTTTTTTTAGAGAGGTAAAAATTTATCCGTGCAGCTTAGGTACGCTGTAGTTTTTATCTAGGAGCCAGTTCTCGTCTTTAACATCAGGGGCAATAGATTGAATAAGTGAGATAAGATAAGATGGTAGTCCATAGGGATACATGCTCAGGAATGCACCGACATTCTTTTTCCTGGTCCTGTTTTCTATATCTGCCACTTAATTATTAGTTTCCCTTGGCCAGCGTCTAAAGAGTTGAACCTGTTCATTATGGGCTGTACAGAGTTCATCCATTTTACCTTCTAAATGTGAGGTGCGTTCCCCAGTGCTCTACGGTTTCTGTGCAGATCCGCTTTGATAGATTTAAAGTCTTCCTGCGGAAGCAATTTCAGTGCCTGCAGCATTACTTGAATCTTTCTCTCAGAGATGGGCACTTCAGCTATAAGAATGTTGAGGATCTTGGACACTCAAGCTGTATCAGATGGTGGGGAGAGTGCAATGGAGTAGGCGCCATCTTGGGCCGCACATAATGTGTCCCTTCGGGCATCTACTGGCCTTTCTGCCCCTGAGTGGCAGTTTGCCGGGTGGGGGGTGGAGAGTCAAATGTGATGTGGTGCCACTGTAATATGGCTGTTATGGAACTTAGCTTCCATGCGTCTGCTTGCGCCAATTGCTAGGACACACTCATTGAGGTAAAGTAAGGACCAGAGCAAGTGATCAATCACAATTTCCCTTTCTCATTTACTGCACCAACACATTAGTTTTTTTTTTTTTTTTTTAAAGGACATAAAGGGCTTTAGTTTGACGTGACATATACATTCTCGTTATAAAAAATAAAAATGCGAAACTTTTTTTTTTTCAATTTTGGCAATAATGTATGCATAACTTAGTGAGGGTCCCAAAATACAAATACAATTAAAAGAACATTTGGACATGGAGCGATTTTAGAATTTGGTGTGTTTGTCTTGTAAGGAAAACAAAATTGCAGCCAAAAATTATATATTTTTATAAAGTAGACCTCACGGGCTATTTACCTAAGGGTATCTTAACACTCATTATGTAATCCATGGCCCCAAGCAAAGTTATAAATTCTTTACATACTTCTTTAGTAGTTAAGTCCATTTATACAGGTGTAACAGCCATACAAGTTAATATCCATTTAGTGAAGACAAATTGTCACTATGGAGATAATGGCCAAAAGTGGTGCTGGCATCACCTGTAAAAATTGTGTGTGTATATATGTATATATATAGTGTGAGGAGATTGGGAACCAATATGCATTTTTAAAAATTATTTAAGAAAACAAAACAGTACTTTGTTCACCTTCCCTTTTTCTTACCTTATTCTAAGGGAGGGGGATCATTGTAGGCCCTGGTGGTATTCAGTTACTCTGCCTGAATTCAGTCCTCCGTGACCACCTCTGGGCATTTCCATGGTTACCTGCTAGTGGGAGGAATAGTCTCCTCCTCTCCCCTCACACTCCTTTTTGCCTGAAGCAAAGTGCCTTTGAGTCTGTGAGGAAGACCTTTGATTTGCGACCTGAGAAGGCGCGCCAGCTCTGCATAGGCCGGCAGTGGACATCAAAGGCCCGCTTGCGGGTTGTGTCACAAACCACCGAAGGCCTTGTATTTGACAGCCCTGATGTAGTCATTTAACTGCCAATCTCTGCTAAATATTGTAGTGCAATTATTTTTTTCTTCTGATTATTAAACACACACATGTAAAAAGGTGTTTTTTTTTTCTTTTATGTGTATTTCATAAACCTGATGTGTGCTACTTATGTGCAAAACCCTAATGTGTTCAGATAGATCTTCTGTGTACAATAGCCCCACCCCCCCAATGTTTGCCTTAATGAAATTCAATGAGTGTTTCATAAAGATTCTATCAGTGCCGCTTTAACAAAAAAAATATCAAGTTTCTTCCAGCAAGACCTGGAAGGCCACCTCATCCTTCCAATCAAGGGGCAAAACCATTGTGAAGGTTGCCAGCCTCAGAGCCCTGTAGTTCCAGCAATACTTTTCCAGTGGTCTCTGTTCACATTCAAGGCATTTAGATAAAATCTGTCATCCCATTTGGGCTGTTGTAGCTGTTTATACATTATCCTCCCAGGGGAAGATTAATATGTTAAAATGGAATATAAGCAGGGCCGGACTGGGAAAAAAATTAGGCCCGGGCATTTTTCAATTACAGCGGCCCCCCAAGAAGGGGGCGGGGCCAGAGAGGGTGTGTTTTGTCATCACTAATGACAAGCACGACCCCTCTCAAAGTGAGCATGTTGGTTCAATGCGCAGAGCCCCGCTGAACAGCTCTAGCATTAGAAAAGGGCCCTGAATTTGTTCTGCTCAGCGCAAGCAAATGTAATAACATGCTTGCGCTGTGTTTGCTTTTAAATTGTCTCTGGTGTCTCCACAAGTGGGATACCAGAGGACAAAAGGGCCAGGAAAGTGTATAGTGCATGTGTTTGGTGCATGCTTGTGGGATTGCCTGTGTGTAGAGTGTGGTGTGGTATTGTGTAAATTTTGTGGTGTAATATGTGTGGCTAGGGGCTGTAGAGAGTGCGTGTATAGGGGCATAATGTTATAGGGCATGTAGCGAGTGTGTGCATACGGGCAGTAGTGTGTGTATAGGGTGATGTGTGTGTAGGGGTTGTAGAGAGGGTGTGTTTAGAGAATGTTGTATGTGTTTGCTTACAAGGAATGTAGTGTGTGTGTGTAAGATCTAGTGTGTAAAGGACCCAGAGTGTGTATAGAAGATTGTGTGTGTGTGTGTGTGTGTGTTTGTGTAGAGGATTAAGAGTGCATATAGGGTAAGGGATCGAATGTGTATCTGGAGCGTAATGTGTGTAGTGGTGCAGTGTGAGGGGTGCTGTAGTGTGTGTGTATATATATATAATATATTTGGACATATTGTATGTGTGAGGGGCGCAGTTGTTTGTGTAAGAGGGGTGCTGTGTGTGAGGGTGTTTTTATCTGCCGTCACATTCTAGGTTTCTAATTATCTTTGTCTGTTAACTCACTGAGGGTTATTTTATAATATATATATGTGTGTATATATGTATGTGGGGGTGCTGTGTGTGTGTGTGTGTGTCTGGGGCTGCTGTGTGTGTGAGGGGGCTGTTAGGGAATTTATTTTAAATATTTGTTTTTATTATTAATAATTAATAGGGGGGGGAGCCGTGTTGCCGTGAAGGGGGGCTGTACTGCCATCCTTCCCTGGTGGTCCAGTGGTGAGAGTGAACTTTAGCCTGCAGGCTAGAGTTCACTCTCGCGAGATCTGCTGGTTCGAGCTTCGCCGGTCCTCTCCTGCCTCCCTCCCCAGCTGGCAGCCGCATCTCCATGCCTGTGGGCCGGTGAGGGAGATCTTTGCTCTCCCCACCGGCCCATGGAGGCACACAGCGGGGCCGGCGCTCGGATAGCGTCCTGTGATCTCCCCTGCCGGCCTCGGCCATCGTGGCCCACCGGGCATTTGCCCGGTATGCCCGATGGCCAGTCCGGGCCTGAATATAAGTAAATATTGCTGTATTGCAATATAAATGACCAGCATAGGCTATATGCCATGTTGTGAAAAGCTTGTAAGACCCAATACAATTAATATTTCAAAGATGACACAATCCACAGTGAGTTGCACAATAAAAGCCATTATATTTACTTCAGTGAATGCAGGATACAATTATTTTACAATCTCTAGTAATTTAACCATTTAACAGAGCCACAAAAATTAGGACATCGATAAAATATATATATAGGGGTAATTCTGCTTAATAAATCCCATCCCCCCCCCAAACGACTGAAGTTTAGTTTTTTTCTATTTGGCGAATGCGACAAAGTCCAGCTTTTGTCGATAACACTTTTGACAAACTGCAAACAGAATCATGCAATTACAAAGTGTTCCAAAGGTAGGTTTTAAAATGTCTTATATAAAGTGAGCTAATCCTGGCAAGAAAGTATTTGCTTAGCAGATAGCATAAGGGTTCTGGCTTTTGACATTAATCCATTCCCAGGAATAAGAAACCTCTAGCTGCTATGAACTGCAACTCTCATCCCACATAACACGATGGCAATTGTGGGATTCTAGAGGTTACCCCTCCTACATGATCTTCCACACTGCTGTTTTCTTGTTTGTTTTTTGTTTAATTTATAATGGTTCTAGGCTCATCAGCACTGGGTAACTGATATGAAGTGTGTGATAATTTGGTTGAATGCTGTACAAGGAAATGACAACAGATGGAAAGAATAATAAGAAAAGGTAAATCTACCACTTGTTGCATTTTTGCGCTGGAGATCATTTTAATGTATTGCATATTTTTCCTTTTGTTCGATAAGGTGTATTAAAGTGCATTATTTTATGATAACATAATTTGCCCAAGCAGCACCTTCCTAGTGCCATTTATGCACACAATGGTGGTAATCCATTTTTGGGATGGAGAAATCAGTTAAAAAGTAATTAGAGCTGCAGGTTTAGATTACTCCAAACATACAGGCAATTATGATTAATCAGATATCTAACTTATGTGTAACTACAAGTAATTTGAGGCTCATCAGACAGCTAAACTGGTCACGAGAGTGTTCCTTTAAGATCATTGAAGTTAAGGAGACAGGAATATCTGGGCCCTGTCTTACCTTCAGGGGTTAAACTATTTTCCTATTGCCTGACATCTCTCCACACTCACTTCAGTCTATCACTGGCCACCATTGACAGAAATGGTATGTACTATTTCTCAGTGTGTGGCCAGTGATGGTTTCAGTGTCAACTGCCACTTGTAGAATTTCTTTTTACGGCGGCAGCTGGAAGTGAGGGAGCAGTGGTGTCGGGGACCAACGTTGTCATTGGAAAATGGTTTAAATCATTGAAAGTAAGATGGCACCGCAATATTCCTACCCACAGAACTACAATGAGCTGAATTTATGTGGGGTGAGCATTAATTTAATAACCATTAGATTGCACAAACTAAGCTAGTCTTAAATTACGGTTAAAGTTTCAAATGTAATACCTTTGCTGTATTGAAGCGTGTTGGCTTTTTTTCCCCCCTTTAAACCAATGAGGGAGCCTATGTGAAAAAAAAAACTTGTTGACAAAACAGTGAGTTGTGTTACACTGATAGAATGTGAGATTATGGAAAGAAAACCGCCAAGATTCAGGGACACTCAAGGCTACAGCTAATCCGAATCATGAAAAACAAAAGATCAATCAAGCTATACCTTTTAAACTGCACAGCATATATAATGTCTTAACGTACAGGCGTATTCTTTGAGCAATAATACAAACTGCAGATAGGAGGGACGGACAGAAGAAAAACAATGTTAAAAAAATTTAAAAAATTCCCCCAGCCACCATTATAAACTCTAGGTTTATCCGACATGAAATTGCAAATTCATGCCAGAATAGTAGAGTTGGAATATACCTGAGAATGTTCACAATTCTGCTGTTTTGGCCTTAACTCGCATCATTCCATTGTCTGTTGTCAATTCTCTGCTATTCCCAATACAGTAAATCCACCCCTAAAGTCCATGGAGTGAGGCTTTACTGAGCTGTAGTGTATGCTGAAATCAAAGCCACCCCGCAACATGCAGCCTTTATAATTGCTCCCAATCTTAAATAGCCGTATGAACCCAGTCTATGTGTTGCAGAGATTATACATTCCAATTATATTTCAGTATTTACCCATACACCATAATTAATGGTCATACTAATCTCAACATTATGTGGTGCCGTTTAACCCCCACCGCATCCAAAAAAAAAAAAAGATACTCTAATGAAATGTAACCCATGGTAGTAAAGAGTGATATGCAGATGTGCTATGTGCTAGTTATTGTCCAGCATCAGCATTGTATATAGCTCAAACAGGAAAACAGCTAGTGATTGGACTACAGCATCATATGTGCACTGAATGAGGAATCAACTGCATAGGAGCCAAAATACAGTCAGCACAGCCATTTTCGTAAGGCACACAAGATCATAGACTGTAATGGGGAATGTATACGCCACTCACAATAAGTAAGGATAAGTTGCTATTAGAAAACTTTGCTCAATTTAAAGGTTTCACTCTTGCCCCATTTGGGGCTAAAACTGTTTCAAACATAGCAACGAGGCAAAAACATGGGTTTTTATACATGACTTACACAATGAAATTTACCCTACCAGCAACACAGATTCGTTAATTTCACAACACGTATTGTATTAATATCGAATAATGCAAACATAGTGTGATAAGGTATAAATATCATTCATATAGCCCCAACATATGTCATGGTATTAGATACATTTAGATAAGAGTATAACAAAATGACAAACAGAGAAAAAAAAACCAATATTCTATAGAGGTTCTGAAAGCCTTGTTTGACGGCTTCCAGTGTTTAGGTAATGACTTCCTGTGACGTGATATAACAAAGGAAAATACTGAGAGATGAATGCTGAGCGTGTGAAACCTCTGTTACAGAAAGAATGAAGAGCAGAGAGACATTAGTATCAGATTGCAGACAAGATTTCAGCAGTCAAGATGGGAGATGGGACAAGAAGTGACACTAGGCACTATAATAATTGTATCTCAATGAATTGGTAATAGTGCCTGGAGTGGCCTGGCACGGTCCTACCATTGAGTGTTAAATAATTTTCAGTTGGTTTAACACTAAATATTTGTCCCTGGTTGCCCACCGCCCAGCCCCACTGGAGGTATGGCTAAGACAGAAATTATACACTTACTTCTAGCAATACCAAATCATACCAGCAATAGGTGATGTGATTGGATGAGAGTGACAGCTAACTGATTTCAGCCTATCACAGTCAACCAATGCTGAAAAGGCTAATGCCTGCTCATTAGTACAAGCAGCGCAGAAGGAAGAAACTCTTGTTTGGCATTAAAAAACATTTAAAGGACCACTATAGGCAGCCAGACCACTTCAGCTCAACGAAGTTGTCTGGATGTCAGGTCCCTCTAGTTTTAACCCTGCAGCTGTAAACATAGCAGTTTCAGAGAAACTGATATGTTTACACTAGGGTTAATCCAGCCTCTAGTGGCTGTCTCATTGACAGCCGCTAGAGGCACTTCCGTGCTTGTCACTGTGAAAATCACAGTGAGAAGACGTTGACATCCATAGGAAAGCATTGAGAAATGCTTTCCTATGGGCTGGTTAAATGCGCGCATGCGAGCGGCTCCTGCCGCGCATTCAAAGCTGACGTCAGGAGAGGGAGGAGAGTTCCCCGGCGCTGGAGAAAGGTAAGTGTTTAACCCCTTCAGCCCAGCAGGAGGGGGCCATGAGGGGGGCCCTAAAGACCCTATAGTGCCAGGAAAACTAGTTTGTTTTCCTGGCACTATAGTGGTCCTTTAACACAGAATGTGCCAAACAGTGTCTATAGTATATCTTCAGGAAGACAACAAGCACCATTAAAACCTATGCCATTTGTGTTAAGGTATGGTGCACAGAGCTATGTACCTCATTAAATAAGCAATCTCACAGGAAAGATTTATATTTTAATAGAATCCAACAATCTACATGCCTTATTTCTACACTCTCTCTGTTGGTTACAAAGAGTAATTCACTTATTTAAGATTTATTAGACCAGTTAAAAATAAACAATGGTACTGAATTTGTTTAGTGCTTTATAGAGATAATGGATACAAAATCTTAAAAAATATGTAAATACGAAAAAATGAGACCCTGCACTGGCCACTGCCCAGCTAACTAAATGCCCTATTTATAGTATTAATATGCTGCCCAAACTCAAACCAGAGAAAGGTGGGAGAAATTCTTGTATTCATCACCAACATTCAAAGATTTTATTAAAAAACTTACATAATTTCAGCTATATGTGGAGACTGAGATTTGACACACTGGGCAGAGACCTATAAATGAGATCTTCCTAAACCAACAATATCATCTATAAATTTTCCACCTCTCTTTCTACCTTGAAATAAGGTATGCCAGAAATGACAACTTTTTTGTTGCAAAAAAAAAAAAAAAAATTTAAAATATTAATGTAATATGCTACACAAATTTAAACGCATAAGAGAAGAAAAATGTCAGAACATCTGCAAAAGTAATACATGGTGGTAACCATCAGACACGATTTGTTCTAGAAAAAAAAAAAAAAGTCCTAAAAGAGCAGCTTATTCAGCAACACTTTGATAATTCCTATTTTTTACTGAGCGAGACCTGTGCTAACAGGAGAACAGTTCCAATGAAGTGATGGACAACAGTGAGTAAATATATAGGAAAGTAAATCACTCTCCTGACTTACGTTCTCTTGTGCAGCGCTCACAGAGGGTACAGCTAACTGGACTGGTGAGGGGAGAGAGAGTTATTAAACAACATAAAACAAAAACAAACTGTGTGCAACGGAGGGAGCATACAGCGGGTGGGAGGGAGATTTGTAGCAAGCTTCCCCTTGCAGGTGCTCTGCCTGCAAGAGAGAAAATTATCACGTCTGTCACCTGCTTGACAGATGCAAAATATGCACAGAAATAACATTTGCTAGAATGGAACAGTTTCATTTAATTAATTAGGTAAATGTTATGTGGTTTTATGACTTTAAGAATTAATTTTAATGTGTTTATTTGAATATTTAATGAATATTTAATGTAGTTGTTCTGGTGAGTATAATAGCTCCCTTCAGGCATTCTCATATACACTGCCTTTTCAGAGTGCTTACATTGCCTCTAGATACACTTCCAAGAGGCCACTCCTTAGATGGCCACTGGAGGGGCTTCCTGGCTCGGGGCTGCATAGTAAGTAGCCCTGCCATTCAGCGTCTCCACGCTCTGCATGGAGATGCTGAATTTTCCTCACAGAGATGCACTGATTCAATGCATCTCTATGAGGAGATCCTGATTGGCCAAAACGGCATTTGGCTCCACCCCTGTGCCGATTTTAGTCAATTCCTATGGGAAATCATGTGACTGGCTAAAAAAACGGCCATGATGATGTCACAAAGGGGCAGAGCCTGCGTCAGCAGACCCGCACAGCGCTGGAAATAAGGCGAGTTTTAAACTTTTATAGGGGGGCAAGCCACCTAAATGGTGGATTTAGCACTATAGTGTTATACATGTTTGTGTTCCTGACCCTATAGTGATCCTTTAATGACTAAGGAATCTTGGCACAATCTGAGAAGAGAATGTACTTATTTTAGACACAGCAAATAGTTTTTTTATGCTTAGAAGGGTTTTATCAAGGTTATTTCTACATCTTTATATTGCAAATCTAGCTAAAAATGGTCTTTTAAAAAGTAACTGCCCTAGCTGCACCAGTATTGACTAAAATGCACACAGTTTGTTTGTTTTTCAATCTCAGCCATAGGCTAAATCAGTTTAATAACTGAATTTATAAAAGTTCATGGATATGAAATACATTCCATTCCATTCCATATTGCTACAGAAACAATTACAAATGTAAACACTGGTTATAGTTTCCTTCTCAGTCAAAACTAAACATCATGCAAAAATATAACGGAATGTACTACTTACAATTCCAATTAAATGTCGCACCATAATTAAATCGCAAATGGCGTCAATTAGAAGATATGGCAGAAAGACATGGTTTGTATGCAGCATTTATGCTGACATGTTCACAATTATTTAAAGAGACACTCTGGATCCCTGAGCTCTATAGCTTGCTTAAATACTTTGTGTATCCTCTTTATTTTACAAAAAGATTTCAGTAGAAATCGGCACTTTTATAAATTAACTTGGTTACACGCTGCTGGATGACAGACACTTGGTTCTGTTATTTCCTGGTTTGTTTAGGTCACTTTTATCTAAGCTCAAGAGTCAGCAATTACCCAGAGGACCTATTTTGCAAAGACTTCTCATTACTTTAAAGAGGACAGCTTTATGAAACATATATACACAAAGGGACGAGGCTGGTCCATATTTTATTATAGATGGTGCTCTGGATAATTTAGCATTTGGTAAATGCTGCAGTGATATGTGATATTAGGATCTACGTATGATAAAACAGGGTTGATTTTCTAGCAGACATTAACAGCTCAATTACAGTTAAAGACCCAGAGCTGCCCATCTTGCCCATTACAAGTAGATGAAGGGGTTGGGAGAATTAGATTTAACAATACTAGTGGTCGGCCAAACACTGAAAGATTGCAAACAATTTAGGACAAAAATTTGTAAGTCAGAGCTTGCATTTTATTGTTTTGTGTCCATCAAGCTCTGTTATAAAGGTGGCCTTCAGTTGGGGTTTAACAGAGTATAAAAGGTTTAGATTTTCAATTATTTATTTATTATGCCATGTGTTTTCAAGTAGTTTGATAATGAATGGTGTAATAAGCGTCTTCTCTGTTGCTACAAAAATCTATTCTTATTTTGTTGTGCCATCCTTGGCTAACATTATGACTGGGAGAAGGGGCAATAAACCTTTTGCATAGCTTCTCCAGCAATCTGTTCTTTGTGTAAGGCTCTTCTACCCAATGTCAAAGAAAAACATCACAGCTGTCTGACAGCAACTGGGTCACTGAAGTTATCTTGGCTTGTGTCAAACTATGGGATAAGAACTTTAAAGAGCATGGCTTCACATGGCATAAACAGCCATAGGGAAAGTTTGCACAACAAAGTTTCCATAAATGTGTTTTTATACAAGAGCAACTAGTATGAGTTGCAAACCAAAAGGAAAAAAAAAAAACCCCACACATTTGAGTCTGAGTGTTAACTTCGACATTGTGCCAACCAAACGTACAGCATGTTGATATATGCTGGAGCTTTACAGATAAAAGTAGAACAATGAGACAGCAACTCTGTCAATTTTGGAGATAATTCTGTAAAGAAAAGATGGAAGTAAAGATAAGAATATCATGTTTTCAAATCTTGTACTGCACACTGGGTAATGCCACTCTTTACTGTACCACGCAGTAGCTGCCACCATTAAGTCTTAAATTAATAGTTCAGGAGAGACACGTGGGCAAACAGACAAAGTCACAAATGGCAGCCACTGCACAGGAGTGAAGTTCCCACCAATCTTGAGCAGACTAGGAATGCAGGCCTGGGACTCTATTAATGGAAAACAGCAACTTATTTCATTACCAAAGTTTCGATATTACATTCAACTTTCTTCAGAAAAGTTAAATGTAAAGCTGAAATGTGGAGGTTTAAATAAACTGATGTTTTATTAAGTCATCACAACCTGCATTCATTTCTACACATAATTTTAGAATACTATCACACACTATAAACATTATACGGGTGTATACAGATCCATCATATATATAGCACCCACATTATAACGTGGAGCCAGAGTGCATGAATTATATATATATATATATACATATATATAATGGACATAATAAATATACACATACATATACATATATGCACACACACACACACAAAAAATGAAAAAAGTTTTTGCCACGTTGCAGTGTATGAAACAAAATGTGTCTGTAGATTGTAGCACATCATTAAGAGAACAACAATACTAAATATATTCTTTAATACAACTTCTCCTGGATAATAAAGAAAATGTAGTAACAAGTATAGCAATCAATACCAAAGTGGGAGTACAGCATTTATGATGGGGATTACACATAACACATCAAATACTCACCTACTTTTTATGGATATTGCTTTTATCATTTCAAGTTGGCAACGATCCACAAATATATATCTATATATTTATATGGTTTTTTTTTAAGCTAAGGTGAATGTATAATACAGCAGTACTTAAACCGTCTGGTGAAATATTTAGAATGCTATGTACACAAAATATGAGTTTGGCTCAAAGTTTAATTTACACATACAATAATTATCATGGCTTATTTTATTTCTTCTGCAGACATTGCATTGTTATTTTTTTGTATTTTTATTTTTACTCTGAAAGCAAAAAACTATAAAAACTAAGATATAACATGTTAAATCTATACTCTTAAAAAAAAAAAAAAAAAAGCTTAAACGTACAGCTTTGGTTTATATAAATAATTCATTGCAGAACGTGTTCAAAAGTATATAACTTTTTTATATATATATATAGTCATTAATTCATAAGGGTATTTTTTCCCCATAATAGAAAATATACACAAGCTAAAATTGGTTCTCTCTCTGTTTCTCAAGGTATGAATTTAAAAAGAAATGTTCTCAAACATATTCCAATTATAACTTAATATATTACTTTTTAATGCCTTGCATCAAGGCATATAGCTCTTTTTAAAATCTAATTTTATTTAAATTCTCATGCTTTTCCCCCAGGTTTAAATCACATTTTAAGTCAAATCTCACTCCTCTGACCTGATACAAGTTTTTTGTTTGTTTGTAACACGTGCAAAAATAGATCATGTGGCGTCAGCCCTTTATGTACTTCTTTTGCAAGAGGGATCTGTGTGTAGTTGATTCAAATATGATAGTGTACAATATTGCTTTCAAAGTTTCCAGCTACCTGCCTTTCTTTTTTTTTTTACACCTCCTAAAAACAATGACTTTCACAACCAGCTTCCTGAAGGAGGAATAGCCCACTGCTATGGAGGCTTCTCTGGCAGTGAAAGTGTTACGAACCCCCCAAGGCATGCGGGCAGTGTGTGGGGCATTGCAAAAATTAAAAAAAATTAAAAAACCAGCAGGTGTTACAATTCGCCAACTTTCTCACTGCCCTTCTTTTACGATAATATAAAAAATCCCTTGCTATTGATAATATGCATAATGCATGTCTTTTTCTCCAAACGTGTTATTAAAAAGTCCACGTAAGTGCCACATCACAGAGGACATTTGTATGTCTGTGTACAGTCATTGCAGCAGGTACCTGATTAATGTGTGTATTACACAAGAGCACGTACACACATACACACACGTAACCAGTGGACTTGTGTGCGAGACATATCTATATATTTATATATGTATATTGGTTTTGCATCCTTGTTAAATGTCTAAGATAAGCTGGGGGGGTGCTCTTTGCAGCAAGGGTAGGATTTATGTCACCCAAGCGTCCATACGCATGCGTTTCATAGAGGGACTGTCCCTGTCTTCATTGTTGGGGTTTCTCCCCAGGCCAACAGGTGAGTGGAAATCATTCCGGACGTCTTCTCGGTCGCTGCCGTCATAAGAACTGCTTGAACTACTTAGGCTGTCAACGGGCGATCGCCCCATTTCAGGACGAGGTTGATGATGGTGTTGCTGTTGTGGCGGCTGTTGGGGGAATCCAGAAGTGACTCTGTCACGTGGAGGGGAAATTGGCTCAGACTTTATGTTGATGTTTTGGTTGGTACTGATAGACAAGTTTGAACCCTGAGATAACTGCCCACCAGACCTGTTAAAAAAATAAAAATAAAAGACATGCTGCATTATGAAGAGGTATGATTAAAGAAGACCTAGTTATGAGTTAAATAACCTAGTTATGTGTTGCCCCAGAATGTGTGGCAGTAGCTCAATTTTGTACATTTTTGTACCAATTCCAACTTTGCCAAACAGATTTGTGACAGGGACACAAAGCTACTGCATAAGTGTTCACACAGTTGTAAAGGTTGGCAAACTTACATACCCTTAAAACTTTCTACTACATCCTTACATAATCTTACACCAGAAAACTTTTGAATGTGCCATTTTGTAGAGGGATATACACATATACTTACACAAGAGAACTGAGGGTAGCTTGTCCTATGTGATGCTGCTGCCAAGCAGACACCTGTCCTAAAGGCAGTAATCCTGGGGAGTTAAACCCTTGTAGAACAGACAGTTCCGCACTGGTCAAAGGGTAATCTGTAGAACAGAGACAAACAATGTATATTAATAAAAGTTGTGAAAAACATTACTTGGGCAAAAGAATGTCAGCAATTGTATATAATCTGGGATCCATCGCAATCCATTTGGTTGTTAATGATCAACTTTCAATACATTTAGTCATGTTGGGTGAACACAATCCCACTCAGATTCACTTACAGTACCTTAGCTCAGATTCACTTATATAGGTCCCCCCGCTGTCTTTGGAGCAGAGGCAGAGTCTGACCCAGCGCTGATGAATCCGGTAAGTGACAGAAGGGATTTTAACCCCTTCGGTACCACAGCTTACGACCGAGAGGGAGTGAGGCACTACAGTGCTAGGAAAACCACTTTGGCCCCTTCATTTGATTAGGTAGATATTACACACAATCATGTCCATGTTTTACAGTAAATATGATAATCAGAGCTATAAGCACTGATATACAAGGAGAACGGCAACATGCTGTACCTGGGCAGGCTCCAGTGGCGTACATACCAGGGCCAGCCTCTTCTCTCCTCCCCCTCCCCCCCCCCGAGGCTGGCCCTGCTGACCCGGGCGGGCGGGCTGGCTGTCTGGGACGTCATCTTCCAGCGCCGGCATCCCTATGCGGCGTGCGAGGGAGCTGAAGAGGAAGCACTCAGGGGAGAGTGCTCCCTCGCGCGCCGGCCACCCAGACAGGAAGCCCGCACGCCCAGCAGCACCACTGGACCCCAGGGAATCCCCCCAGCACTCCAAAAGGTAAGGAGGCTAGGGGGATTAAATAAAAAAAAAAAAATGTGTGTGTTAGTGTGTGTGTCTTCAGCATTTACCTTTCTCCAGCGTCGGACTCCCTTGGCGCTGGAGATCCCTCCGCCTCTCAGCTCCGAATGCACATGCGCGGCAAGAGGCGCGTGCGCATTTAAACCGCCCATAGGAAAGCATTACTCAATGCTTTCCTATGGACGTTCAGTGTCTTCTCACTGTGATTTTCACAGTGAGAATCGCGGAAGCTCCTCTAGCAGCTGTCAATGAGACAGCCACCAGAGGCTGGATTAACCCTCAGTGAAACATAGCCGTTTCTCTGAAATGGCTATGTTTTCAGCTGCAGGGTTAAAACTAGAGGGACCTGGCACCCAGACCACTTCATTGAGCTGATGTGATCTGGGTGTCTGTAGTGGTCCTTTAAGTGTGTGTGCATACCGTGGTCGCGGGGTCGCAGCCCTGAAACCAGGTGCCCGCCGCCATGTGTTGCGGCCCCGACCCGCGCCGAGTAAGCGCGCGGGGAGGGGGCACGGATCAATTTTCGCACCGGAGCCCCATGGGTCATGTGTACGCCACTGGCAGGCTCTAAGATACAAGATAGTTTTACTATTACAACCAGAATAGATAGAGTCTATTACCCAATTTGACACATAATGAGATGATAGATAATTAAATGTAGCCTTCCTAGGGTTTGGATATTTTCTTACCTGTATTGTAGGCAGTAGGCATTGCAGAGTACACCAGGCCCTGTGGAGCTAAACTGGGAGTTGTTACTGAGACAACTGGTGTAGCAAGAGGTTGTGTAGACTGAGAGCTGATTATCCTTTGGGTATTCTAAGAAGAAATAAGAGGGAATGATTGGCTAATATACAACACACATGGCTTTATTTAGAGCAGCCAAATACTGAAACACTATGCAAACTATTTAACGGGCAACAACCTGCACAAACATTTCAAGAACTCCTGAGTGACCAGTATGGCAGTAAAGTAAAGTATCGATTATTTGCACTGTGCCCAATCCAATGTGGCAGAAATTATTTAGAGGAGGGAATCACACATTAAAATTCCCCTTGACAAATGTCCTCTTACTTGGCTTAAATGTAAACTTTTTTTTTTTTTTTTTTAGTAAAGTACAGTTCTGTAACCACAGGAGGGCAGACTTGCTTTGCTAATTAGTCTGGCCTCTCAAAAGTCTAAAAACAGATTTGAAACGGATTGTCAAATGAAAGAAATATAAATGCAGCCTATCTTCAAAATGAGAAAAGTCAAAAATAATAGCAAACTACAGCTTATTCCTATATCTGTTACATACAAAATAAAGAATTGTTAGGAATTCAAAGTGAATTTCAGTAGTAGCTGAACTGAAAACAAAATATTGAAATCAGCCATGCTTCCTGTTCCTGCCTTAAATTTGGAATTCACATTAAACTCCTGATAATTCTACCTTTAGTAAATAACCCTGTAAGTTATACAGATCCAGGATGCATTTCACTCAAATAACACCAAGTAATAAAAACAAAAACACACACTTACTCTATAACCAAAACAATTTTTAAAAATGGTGTCCAAGCAATGTGGACCTCATTCAGTACTTCACATCTGCCCATTTATCAGACTTATGCTAGCACAAAATGAAGACTTATTTTTAATTAATGTTGCGGACTATCATTCACTGTAAATGAAAAGGGTCTGATTAAGCTAAAATTGCCATCTAATCATCGCACTGCAGCTGTGAATTCACAAGTAAGTGTATACATTCAGTGATATATTTGCAGAGAAATGAACTGCTTCCTCGTGTTTGGTTCACTCACCTTGCGAGCAGCCCATAACACTTGAGACAAGACCCCCGAATGCTTGGATTCTGGGATTCTGTCTCAAGCATTATGGGGGATACATCTGACAGTCAGCAACATTGATATATCTGTCTGTGCAAATGGCATTGAGGTATGTGCTTGATTGTGCAATATAAAATACAATCAGTGCAATATGTTTACTATCAATTTACCTAGAACAAATTATATATGTAATTATATTTGCAGGACATTTGCATGGCAGCTGCATTTAAATTTAATCACACTGTTTTTAAATACAATTCTGGAGATAAACCCACTTTAAGCAAACAGTAGCAACAAGAATAAGTTTCAAGAATAAGTTTCAAAGGAGCAGATGAATACATCATGTACTAATACAGGCCTTAAACTGGTGCAATAGATGTGAGATTAATGAAATCACAATCCCAAAGACACCACCCTGATAAATCTCTCAAAGTATAATAGTACAGTTCAGGAAACCTTCCAGCATATGTGGGCCAAGAATAAATCGCCAGAATTGTGGCTGGCTGAGCATTGTGAGAATGTAAAACTATATATCACACATGCACGCTTTGTACAGCCTGCAGCTCAGAGTACTGGAAGATCCTTTGTATTAATAGTCACATCAAACCATGCACCACGCCACAGTATATAGGCACAACACATCATGCTGCTATGCCACATGCACCTCATCACGGACTAATCTATCTGTGAGCATTAATGGTCAATGTCAGTTTCTGCTGTCCAGAAGCCATCACTACGATCTGTATTACAAGAGTAAATGTAAAACAGCCAACAGATTAGGCTTATCAATATTTTCAAAGTACAGATCTTCTTCTGCAATAATAACGCATTCATGATTGTTGAGATGCTGTGAAATATGGTCTGTCTCTCTGTACACAGCAAGTTAGAGTTTTAATATTCATGTGAAACGTTGGATTATTCTCAGCACTGTCAAGGAATGACCTCACCAAGGATGATGTAATCTCTCCAAAAGAAAGCAAAAATACTACTGTGCCTCCTACGGACAATCACCTGAAGTGTGATGAAGGGATGGGGGTTTGGGGGACAATGCAAAGTGGCCAGAAATGTTCACCTAAATGTTTCCTTTAAAGGCACAAAGCAATCACGTGCATTTAATATTCCATAGTATTGGCAATGAATATTTTTGTAACATAATATTTTAAAGGAAACATTTATACTAATCTTAAAATTATTTTCCCCATGCACACACTTAACTTACCAAATCCAATTCATCTTCTTCCGTCTGTATGTAAATGAGGAAAAGCACAGTTACAGACTATATCCCGCATACATTGTTTTCTAGTTCTTGTGAGAGTGATATTTGCAAGTTTTAAAGAACAGGCAAGCCAATTGCATTATCCACTGACAGTTTTGCTTTCTTTATTTTGAGCAAAATTAAACTCTTTTTCTTGGGTTTTCTTGCCTCGTCATTAATAACACCAGCTAATGCTTGCCCATTAGGGACAACTAATGCTTGAAAAATCTGACAGCTAAAGAAAAACTCACTGTATATTTACATTAAAAAAATTCAAAATATTAATTCGCCGGTGCTCTGACTATTCTATTAACAACAAATAAAGATATATAAGTCTGCTAGTTTAAAATCTCTCTGATTGTAGTCATCAAATAAACAGTAACGGTATATTTCAAGGAAGTAACCCTCAAGAATTCAAAGCTTCCAGAACTTCGAAACAATTCGGTTCTGCAAATTGGAAGATACTGACACAACCGGGTGTTATCAGTTTATCACTGCTATAAATAAAAATGGGACAAATAATCTTTGCATCATGATACCACGATGAGCTTTCGAGATTATGATGCTTAGTCTTCCCCTTTAAAGCCTGGTTTGGGAACAAGGTGAAAATAAATATTTAGGATAGGCGTTTTGAGTAATAGAAACAGAATTTGGCTGAAAATCATTCCAGTTTGGTCAACTAGCCAGTGATTTTCCTATCTGTGCCCTCAATTATAATTTTTAAATCCATGAATCCATATATTTCATGTCCCATTACATTTTTAATGTTATCAGAAGATTGCATGAATGACCTCAGTTTACTAGCTATAATCACTTCAATGAATTAAGCATCGAAGGGGACACATAAATAAAACGTACCAAAGGAGACATCATGCCTTTACTGGACGGGGGTATGACTACACGTAGATCTGGCTTCCGGCTGTTCATCCCTAGGTTGCCCCCTGGTGGAGGTGGAGACTTTGTGGGCATCACTTTTCCCATTCCATTACCGCCAGTTGGCCCCAGTAGGCTTGGAGAAGCACGAGGGTTCACAAACCCATTACCTGCTTTAGAAAAGAGAAGAAAAAAAAAAGATGTCTTCAGTTAAGAGTGCTTTCATATGCAATTTGATTGAAAATTATTTAATGAGATTTGAAGATAAAAATTATAATCAAAAACATAAAAAATTATAAATGAACATAGCATAAAGCAGTATTCACTAATATGATGTGTCAATATAAAAGAGAGAGAGAGAGAGAGAGAGAGAGAGAGAGAGAAAAAAAATATATATATAAAAAATGATGGGAGTTGCACTCCAGCTCTCCTCAGTTACTGCCCGGTGCTCAGCTGCACAAATGTATAAAGTTCGCAGAAAGCCAGCACTCAAGGACTATAAAGTTGCAAAAAGGATAAAAAACCTTTTAATCCAGTAGGTCAAGAGGTCAACGTTTCAGTCCATCGTTGCGGACTTTCATCAGGACATGAAAGTCCACAACGATGGACTGAAACGTTGACCTCTTGACCTACTGGATTAAAAGGTTTTTTATCCTTTTTGCAACTTTATAGTCTTTGAGTGCTGGCTTTCTGCGAACTATATATATATATATATATATATATATATATATATATATATATATATATATATATATATATATATATAGTTCGCAGAAAGCCAGCACTCAAGGACTTTTGTGTTGCAAAAAGGATAAAAAACCTTTTAATCCAGTTGCACGAATGTATATATAGTTCGCAGAAAGCCAGCACTCAAGGACTTTTGTGTTGCAAAAAATAAGAAGCCTTTTAATCCAATAGGTCAAGACCTCTTGACCTATTGGATTAAAAGGCTTCTTATTTTTTGCAACACAAAAGTCCTTGAGTGCTGGCTTTCTTCGAAATCTATACATTCGTGCAGCTGAGCACCGGGCAGAAACTGAAGGGGAGCTGGAGTGCAACTCCCATCACACACAGTTGCAAGAAAAAGTATGTGAACCCTTTGGAATGATATGGATTTCTGCACAAATTGGTCATAAAATGTGATCTGATCATCATCTAAGTCACAACAATAGACAATCACAGTCTGCCATGTTTTTATTGAACACACCATGTAAACATTCACAGTGCAGGTGGAAAAAGTATGTAAACCCTTGGATTTAATAACTGGTTGAACCTCCTTTGGCAGCAATAACTTCAACCAAATGTTTCCTGTAGTTGCAGATCAGACGTGCACAACGGTCAGGAGTAATTCTTGACCATTCCTCTTTACAGAACTGTTTCAGTTCAGCAATATTCTTGGGATGTCTGGTGTGAATCGCTTTCTTGAGGTCATGTCACAGCATCTCAATCGGGTTGAGGTCAGGACTCTGACTGGTCCACTTCAGAAGGCATATTTTCTTCTGTTTAAGCCATTCTGTTGTTGATTTACTTCTATGCTTTGGGTCATTGTCCTGTTGCAACACCCATCTTCTGTTGAGCTTCAGCTGGTAGACAGATGGCCTTAAGTTCTCCTGCAAAATGTCTTGATAAACTTGGGAATTCATTTTTCCTTCTATGATTGCAATCCGTCCAGGCCCTGACGCAGCAAAGCAACCCCAAACCATGATGCCCCCATCACCATACTTCACAGTTGGGATGAGGTTTTGATGTTGGTGTGCTGTGCCTTTTTTTCTCCAAACATAGTGTTGTGTGTTTCTTCCAAACAACTCAACTTTGGTTTCATCTGTCCACAGAATATTTTGCCAATACTGCTGTGGAACATCCAGGTGCTCTTGTGCAAACTGTAAACGTGCAGGAATGTTTTGTTTGGACAACAGTGGCTTCCTCTGTGGAATCCTCCCATGAAATCCATTCTTGTTTAGTGTTTTACGTATTGTAGATTCGCTAACAGGGATATTAGCATTTGCCAGTGACTTTTGTTAGTCTTTAGCTGACACTCTAGGATTCTTCACCTCATTGAGCAGTCTGCGCTGTGCTCTTGCAGTCATCTTTACAGGACAGCCACTCCTAGGGAGAGTAGCAGCAGTGCTGAACTTTCTCCATTTATAGACAATTTGTCTTACCGTGGACTGATGAACAGCAAGGCTTTTGGAGATATTTTATAACCCTTTCCAGCTTTATGCAAGTCAACAATTCTTAATCGTAGGTCTTCTGAGAGCTCTTTTGTGCGAGGCATCATTTACATCAGGCAATGCTTCTTGTAAAAAGCAAACCCAGAACTGGTGTGTGTTTTTTATAGGGCAGGGCAGCTGTAACCAACACCTCCAATCTCATTTCATTGATTGGACTCCTGTTGGCTGACATCTCACTCCAATTAGCTCTTGGAGATGTCATTAGTCTAGGGGTTCACATACTTATCCCACCTGCACTGTAAATGTTTACATGGTGTGTTCAATAAAAACATGGCAACATTTCATTCTTTGTGTGTTCTTAGTTTAAGCAGACTGTGATTGTCTATTGTTGTGACTTAGATGATGATCAGATCACATTTTATGACCAATTTGTGCAGAAATCCATATCATTCCAAGGGGTTCACATACTTTTTCTTGCAACGGTGTATATATATATATATATATATATATATATATTGCTATGAGTGCAGAAATCTCCATGCAAACCAGTGGAGCCAGCAGGAAGATGGCATTGCTAACACAGCCCTTTTATATGTTTGCACCACTTTTCAGAACATACACGCTTTATACAGGGCCAGATTTAGATCATGAGTACCTGTAGGCTCAGAATTCTAAAGGACCCTCCAAACCCCCATCCAAACAAATAAAATAAATACTTAGAGTGTGCGTGTGTATATGTTTGTGGAGTGTGTATAAATGTCTAAGTAGTAGCATTATATGCAGTAGTGTGTGTATAGTCTGGGTTGTAGCAGTATAGTGTGTATATATGCAGTAGTTAATGTGTGTGTGTGTGTGTGTGTGTGTGTATAGTCTGGATTGTAGTATGTGTAGCAGTGCGTGTGTCTGCCATTTCAAGGTTGGCCATTCTGGCCCCAGTCTTCCTCTCCTTTCTCCTGGCCAGTTATCGTCCCTCTCGCTCCAGGGGATTGCGGTGTTCTGTGTCAATGTCAGAGCCATGCACAGATTCATGGCAGCAAGCAGCAGGCACTAAGGAGATGGGGGTGTGGTTTTTAACAGGCAGAGTAGGTGTTCCCTATAAAACAGATGCATTCTCTAATGGAAAATGAAGCCAAACTTTATAAAAATAAAAAACAAACAAATGCAAAACAGTTTGTACGGGTAATTTGCCCAGGACACAACTAAAAAATTTTCCAGGCACCAGTCTGGTAAAATACAAAGTCTCCAGTCCCCGAAGCTCTGTGATTTGACCTAGCCATGATAGAGAGAGAAGATTCATATATCAGTTCCTTGCTTCACTCCTAGTCTAGTCATTTCCTGTTAGCAGAGAGGACATTGCATTCTATATCTGTCCAAAGAACTATCTGTGATCCTCCTAAGGCTGTCACAAACAGCTCCTCCTGCAGCCATGAGCAGAATATCAGTTCCAAGCACTCACTTCTGAAGCCAATGTCTGAATCCAATTTGCTGCCATAACATGAGGCAATTATTCAACACACCTCGTTTGTGTATGTTACAAGCTATTTGAGATTTGATCCTTGAATGGCAGTAGTTGGCAAAGAACAATGGTGCCATGCCCTCATTTCAAATTGTCCTACACAGTATCACATTAAAGAGAGGAATATAAAATATCAACAGTCAAGATGAATATATACACACACACCCATGCTGAAATGTAAAAATTGCAACAAGCAAGAGGAATACACACAAGCTGAAATCTTCAGTTCTATAAGATGATCACTTCCCCTCCTAATTCTACAACACACGATTAGTTAACAGTTAGTATTAAAAAGTGAACATTTTTCTAACAGTTCCTTGAAAGGAAAAACAGAGAAGTCAAGTTTGAAATTGCTAAGACAGGTCATGTAAGTAATACAGACTGACGTAAGAGTCTGCTTGTTTTCCAAGATTTGTCTACAGTAATTTAGCAGGCGTTTGAGATGGGCTGAAGGGCAGAACATTCTATCCACAGGGTTGTTCTAAAAGGACCTGCGGTACCTCACGATATACCAACCAGAAAGTCATGGCATTTGATTGTACATGTCAATATTAGGAGTACTTGCACTTTTTAGTTTTGTGCCTTCTTAACTACTATAGATATTGTCTGCAATATTTTTGCATTATTCATTTCTTTCCACGTGTACTCGCCTCTCTAATAAATAAAATTGTGGGCTATTCTCATAGTGTTATCCTGACACTACGATTTCAATGACATACTCATACAAGTACTGAGAAATAGCAGTACATTAATTCATATAGTGCTTATTACCCGTTCAGTTTACACTACACTTGTTTTTTTTAATCATCAATTATATATGAAGTTCTGCATTCTACAGAATGGGCAAGGGACAAAAAACCCTAGTGTTGTATAACAATGACTGCAATGTAAGTCCTCCTATCACTTGTTGCTGCTCTGACTCTAGATTGTGACAGTGATATTTTCACTATTAGAAAATGAATAGGAACATTCTAATGCGACATGCTTTGAACAAAAGACAAACCTAGCTTATCTACATATCTAAACTATAGGTTGTAAAATTACACCTGACACTTTTAAACCACATTCCTGCCAGGCTTCACTTTCTTCTCCCTTCACATTCACAGCTCTAATGCATCAGAAACCACTATTATAAACATTATTAAACATGAGATTTGATTACTCCATACAACACAAATCATCACTTGGTATTTTCACACCCACAACCCTTACTGCCCACAAGTCAATAGCAGTGATTTCTGCTTTATTTGTTCATTCTTAATACTAGAAACAATCACAATGCTAATCCATGCTCTGCCATTCTCACATCTGGATTACTGCACTTCTGTTCTACCTGGCCTTCATTGCCTCAAACTATCCTTTATTCACTCTACCATGAATTCATCTTCTAGAGCCAGGGGTGCCAATAGGTAGATCCCCAACTATCATGATGCTTTGCATGCTTTTAGAATGACAAAGCATCATGGAAGCTGCTACCTTTTGGGCACCCCTGTTCTAGACTCTATTACCTCACTAATCATTCATCATCTGCTTCCCCACTGGCTCACTAGCAGATCCATAATAAAATGCAAAATCGTAAAGGTACACTAAGCACCAAAGCAACTTTAGGTTAATGATGTGGCTATGATGTATAGACCATGCCCATTAGGAAAGGACCAATATAGCATTTGGAATGGAAACTGGTATACCTAATGCTATCATGCCTCAGTCCTTATTTAGATAGAGGTCTCCCCTTTCTCAAATAAAATTTGTTTTACATAAAGGGATTCTATAGAGTTAGGAATAGAAACCGGTATTCCTAACACTATAATGCCCCCCCCCCCCCCCCCCCCATAGAACATAAAGGGTTAAAAACTCTTTATTTACCCAACTTCAGCACCGATGTCCCTCATTGATGGGTCGGCACTATTCTATTGGGATTTGACGGACGCAGAGCGTGAGTACGTCCAGTGTTATTTAGAGAACCTGGAGTCCAGTAAACTCCCAGAAGCGCCTTTAGTGGCTGTCTTCATACTGCAATGTAAACATTGCAGTTTCTCTAAAACTATAATGTTTTACATTGCAGTACTAGGGTGACAGGGACAGTACAACCAGACTACTTAAATGAGATGAAATTGTCTGGGTGCCTATAGTGTCTCGTTATAGTGTCTCGTTTTGAAGCACTAAGCTAATCTCTCTGCCTCCTACAACGTCATCGAGGAGATTGAGTACAATGATACTCAAAGAGATGCATTGGGAACCTGATATGTATGTATGGAAAACTGAGTGGGTATCCAAGTGTCCCCATAGGATAGCATTGTACTCAGTGCTTTCCTATGGGTTTCTTCATCACGTGACCAGGTTTTATTCAGTTAGTGCCTCAGAGATGGCAATACTGCACATCTGGAAGAAAGTAACTATAGGTGAATTCTAAAAAAAAACAAAACAGGACAGGACCAGTGCATTAAGACCACTTCACTAAGATGAAGTGGTTTGGGTGACTTTAGGGTCCCCTTACTAAATGTTCTTTTTATTTGTTACATTATCATCTCACGCACTGTGTAGGTTTTGCTGCATGGACCGAAACAAAACTGATCTAACCCCTAAATGTCATAGAACTGAGCAGTGAGACTGAAGGGCATGATCTTTACACCAAAACTGCTTCATTAAGCTTTGGATGTCTATAGTGCCCCTGTAAAACCAGTTCACTCAGTGCTGTTGGGTCTGAGACTGTGTGCATACCTTTGATAATAAAGGTTTTCTGATACGGGGGGGTGTGGCTAAGGAGGCTTATGCATTCTGCTAAATATTTATTTATTTTGTGCAAAAACTACAAAGATATGAGCACAAAAACAAAAAAGCATATTAATGAAATTTCTCAAATGCACTAAAACCCTTTACATATCTATTTAACAAGTAAGATAAACAAGTACAAATTTGACAGTTTATTTCAAGAAATACCTTTCAATAGCATCAAGAGTAAAGGACAATTGACCAAAATTTCACTCAATAAATATGTTCACACAAATGTACAATGTAATCGGTACATTGCTAATGTTATAACATTACTTTTTATTTCCCAACCCCTTACCATTTTTCCAACAAATGAATCTGCCTATCCTTCACAATAGCATATCTACAAGGTTATTCACTAAAGGGAGAACTCAAATAGAAGGCTAGAGCAGCGGTTCCCAAACTTTTAGCGGGCCGCAAAATGTTTTCCCAGGGAACTATGCCTCCCTCTCCCCAGCCAGATGTGCAGGACCAGAGAGGAGGGAGAGAGGACCCAGGGGAGCTCTAACCTGCAGCTCCGCCGGGTTCTCCTCTCGCGAGCTCTGAGCGTTGCCGCGGCTCCAAATCTTGCTCCTGAGGCTGCTAGAGTTCACTCTCACCACTGGGACCACCATGGCTTCCCCACTGGACCACCAGGGACTGCAGGAAATGTCCCCCCTCTCAGGCAAAGGTAATAAGGGAGGGGGGGATATGAAATTATTAAAAAAACAAAACATTATATATTTATGAATTTGCCCTCCCACCCCCACAGACCCCCACAATAACTCCCCCCCACACAAACACGGCTCCTCCCACCCACACACCCACCCTCCTCCCCCACACACACACACCATGTCCACCCCATACATACAATTACCCCCCTATATACACAAACACTGCCCCCCCCATACACACAAAGTGCTGTAATGGTTATTGTGCCTGGATTGTTTCTTTAAATAATATACCATTGCCCCTCCCAAGATTAGGTTCTGAACTGCAAGAATTTCTGCCAAACAGGGGCCCAGTACATGCCGCTGCGCTGTACATATATACAACCTAGAAATATTTTTGACTTGAGGCGCCTTGGAAAAATATTAAACTATTTATGGTGCCTTGAACCTAAAAGGTTTGGGAACCACTGGGCTAAAGTAACAAATTAAAAGCACAGCTGGCGTACAGAATTTTTCCAATTTGTACTTAAAATTTGAACATCATAATCCTCATAGTATATCTAAAACAGTAAAGTAAATCGAAAGTTAAATGGCTAAAGTAGTTTTACATTGTTCGGTAAATTGTGTGGCACCAAAATGGTTAACTACATCACTGAAGCCTCAAAGTACAATGCCAAAATGGCTACCCCATATCATGGTTACATAGTCGCAAGCGAAGTTAAACTCACAGGAGAAAATTTAAAGCCAGCGGCAATACATGTTAAATTCCTACCAAATACAAAGATCAAGAGCAAATGACTATGCATTTAGCCATGATGATATTACTCCTCTGTTGCCATATACAAAGTGGGCAAGTAATATTGGCCCTTAGAGGATATTATATTCACTTGAGTGTTTTAGCGCCACATCTGGCAGAAAATGAGATCGGAAATGAGCACGTACAATTCAGGGTGTCTTTCAAATACTATCAGTATGGTGAAATCATGGAGAGGATTTAAACAATATAAATTCATTGTTCACTCTTCAATTCTCCTTATAGTACTAGCACAATGTACAGACCAGCTGTCCTTTCTGAACTTGTCAACACGTGCTGCTGACAGCCTTCCTTTAGATTCAATTTAATGGTATCTAAAGGAAACTTGAATATGGGGTGCAGGGAACAATTACTGCAAACAAGCATTCTCAAAAGGATGACTTCTTTATAATTCAAAAGGATCCGACAGCAACTGGGAGAACTCAGATACGTATGTTGGCAAAGAAAGGATTTGATACCTTCAAAGATTATTCATCTCTTTCCATTTAATGTTTCAGAGTGAAAAAGAAATCAATGTGGGTCATATTTCATTCTGAACTGAATTGGTAGTACCAGTGCCAATAGTACCGCTCTTATTACTGCAGGAGGAAGAAAATAATCCTTGCATCATCATTAAATATTTATAGCCATAATTTTCCTAAACAAAAGAAAAGATTTAGGAATGGGGGTAGATCATAGATGGTATCCACTCTAGCTGAAAAATGCTTTTGACTGAATTTCTCGAACGCTGTAGATCACAAAGTCAAGCAGTAATTATGTGATCACACTGCTGTATTACTTCACTAAAACAAAACAAAAAAACAGCGGTAAAAAGAAAGCAACCTTTAGGAGCACTGCCTATTTCATTCCAGCAAATGGATATTTTGAAGCAATTGTTCAGCCTCTGAAAGCAAAGCATAGGAAATGTTGCCTACAGAACAATTTTCCCAAAATCGGCATCCAATGATGCATTTATAACAAAACAATAAAACCGTGCAGAGAGGTTAAGGGGCAGCTTACAAAGCTGTTCCATATAAACCGCCTGGGAAAAGCAAGAAGTAGGCACAGTCTCAAAAAAACGTGACTGGTTTCAGATGAAGGATTTGAACACTAACAACATCCAGGATATGCAACAACCTTTCCTTACAGTTTCTTGGTTTAGGACAGCAAGAAGTGACATCTATTTCCTGAATGGTGGCAGGAGACCATCCCAGGAAGGAAAGTGTAAGCAAGGAAGTAAAGCCGCCTTATCTATTGTACATATAAGGCTAAAAGTGTAGACACAAGTTACCAAGCAAATTGAGAGAACTGTAAATTCCAGGATATTAATTTAATATAAAAAGAATGAATAGTTTCAAAGGGAGACGTCTGAAGCAGATTATGTTCCTACATAAGAGTGTAAACAGGAGAGACAACAGGATACATCCATATCAAAGTTTGGTACATCACAGATAATGCTGACAGTTCACCTATAGCTGATCCATGCTTTATAGAAATCAATAAAGCCTGCCACCTGTATTCCCGAGAGAAAGATTATCCTCCCATTGTTGTAAATATTATTTACAGAGACAGTCAGAATTTTGGTTCTATGTGAACATATCTGAGAACACTGCTACAGAGCTGGAATACTGCAGTAACTGATCCCTTTCCACTATCCTGCATTGATTGTGATCACTTGCCTCAGGGATGTCCACAGCAACCTGTCCTGACATCCATTGTGGTCACATCTAGTGCTTCTAATGGGAATGAAATCCAATGGACTCATCTAAGAAGTCAGCAGAAATCCCTTGTCACTGGAGTAGAGGGCAAGTCAATGAAAAGAGGTGATGCAGAAGCATTATTATTCAAGGATTTCACCTTGGGCTTTGAGACCTCTTTGCAACCTCTCTCTGGGGAATAGTAGAGATCTACAAGTCTCTAAATCTGGCTCTGAGCTTTGCAAAACTGCTCACCACAACAATTTCAATCATTTATGTATCCTGGAGCAGTGTCTGAGTCTGCCAATAATAACTTCATTGCCATGCTAGAAGAGGGCTTCGCTGAAAAAAAAAAAAAAAGGTTTTCATCGGCAAAATCATCGTACACAAGGCCAAAGCAACAAGACGAGGCTTAGGAAGCCATGAGAGTGTGGTGGTAGATTAATAGTTGTGCATTTGATCACAAGCTAAATTGGTTTGTGAAAAAATATTGTTTTTTTCTATTTAAGTGGGGGGGAAAAAATAAATAAAAAGGTGCAGACTTTAAAGGAAAAACGAAGGGTTGACATCCAGTTAGGGTTAGAAACATTGAGGCATTTTAGTGACAGTTCAAGAGTGAACAAAATAGATCAAGGCAAGAAATATATATTTGAGCATTAATATACAAATTGCAATGATAAAATAACGATTTTCCAATAGAAGTATTAGAAATAAATTATTTATTTTTGTCTACAGTTTTACCAGGAAAGGTTAAAGGATCTTAACATGTATAGCTTGGAGGAAAGACGAGACAGGGGGGATATGATAGAAACATTTAAATACATAAAGGGAATCAACACAGTAAAGGAGGAGACTATATTTAAAAGAAGAAAAACTACCACAACAAGAGGACATAGTCTTAAATTAGAGGGACAAAGGTTAAAAAATAATATCAGGAAGTATTACTTTACTGAGAGGGTAGTAGATGCATGGAATAGCCTTCCAGCTGAAGTGGTAGAGGTTAACACAGTAAGGGAGTTTAAGCATGCGTTAGATAGGCATAAGGCTATCCTAACTATAAGATAAGGCTAGGGACTAATGAAAGTATTTAGAAAATTGGGCAGACTAGATGGGCCGAATGGTTCTTATCTGCCGTCACATTCTATGTTTCTATTACATGCACTTTTTGTCTGTCTGGGGAGGGAATGAAAGTACCAATGGAGGGTTAATATGAGCAGGTTAATTTGCTGTATATCTTTCTCTTAAACCTAAGCAGTAGCAAATTAAGCATCTGTCATATTCACACAGCAAACGAAGACACATCTGGGTTTCCATTCAACATATTTTCAGTCTGGAAGCAGGATATAAATTATACCTTGGTGTTGTGGACTAAAGGGGGGAGCAATAAAGACACCTAACGTGATAAATTATACATTGAATCTCTCACAATAATATACTGTGTGATCTTTCTTTATTTTACTTTGTAATACTGTATTTTTTTATTTTATTTTTTTTTTGGAAGAGTCTGAAGAGCATTTCAGAAATGCATTCTCCAGTTTGTGAAAGAAATGCAAAATAAACCAGCAGATTTGTATATAGAATAATTATTTTTTTTTTAACATTTATCTATTCCAAAAACTATAATTTTCCTTCCTCGTTTAAATCGTACACCAATTTCCTGCTCCATAAAACAATTCTCTTAAGAATTCCCACTTGTGGGCCGTCAAATATAATTTCCCCAGTCTTTGGCAAGACGTTGTTACATACACCAGCAATTGGCAGGTAACATCTTCTGTCTCCTAGAATCAACAGTCCTTTCTATCACATCACTGTGCTTGTTAGCAATAAATGATACAGTTGTATTTTGCAAACCAAAAATATTGTTATTAACTTGAAAGGAAAGGGTTCCAGCATACAAAAGGAATAATGAATAAATCCAAGCGATGAAAACCCCCCAAACTATAATAATTGTAAAGATACATAATTAAGAGTGAGTGTACATCAACAGAGAATAAAGTGCTAGATGTTGTTAGGATTGAAAGCTGCAAAGAAATCTTTTTTGGTCGTTCAAATGCTTCTCCACACTCTTCACAAAAGCTAAATACACACTATAGGCATGACATGACAATGACATTGCAACACTAAAAACTTAAAACTTTATTCTAACCAAAAACAGGAAATTGAGTTCTTAAAGACCCACATATTACCAGAAAAGTCTTGCAATGGTTATACCTTAACTCTTGCACCGAGCAGAAAGGAATAGATTATTTTAAAGGAAATTGAATACAAAGTTTGCTTTGATCCTGCATATTTTATGAGGAAAGGATGCACAGAGCGATCGGGTCAAACACAGTGCATTAGTGGGGCAAGAGCTTGTTAATGCACATTTGGACAAGCACAGTGAATCAGAAGCAAAACTGCACACAGAATCTCCCCGCAGAAAGCTGATCCACATAGGACATATCCTAAATAGACATGAGCAAAGACAGGGGTTTTTTTTTTTTTGTGTGTGCTTTCAGACAAGACCAGACCATGGTTTTCTACAGTTTTTGTTTAGTGGTGGAGCTGTTCATCTGTTTTTAGTCTTTGTGTAGTATAGTATCCAATAATGGGTTAACCAGTTATGCAGATACAATACATTTATCTTTTAATATGTCTCCACACAAACCAGGAAAGCAGGTTTCCCTATCAGAGTATAGGCATAGTAGTCAGCTTACAATGAATGAAGACATTCTTTAAAACACATCAGGAGTTGTTGCATATTTACCCAGCAAATCACAGGTGCCTGCTTTAAAAATAAATTCATTCTAGAGGAGTTCAGTCTTGGGTTTTAAACTGGACTTAAAGGGACAAGCTCCCCCTGACAATGATCTCAATGAAGTTGCCCTGTCCTTTTAACCCTGCATTGTAAAATATTTTAAGTAAATTCATTGCCGGGTAAAATCCACCTCTATATATATGTATTTGTCTTTAGATGAAACATGGTTCCGTTTAGTTTTTCACAGGAAGCTGTACAAAATAAAAGTACCTGTTACACGTTCTTTACTGTAAGAAAATGGGCAGGGAATCTTGTTGCTTTGGTCAATCTTGCCAGGCCAAAGGCTGAGACACTGGGGGGAGATCTTAAAGTGGAGCTTTATATTTTACTCCCTTGATGATTGCTCCACTTTTACAATGATAACCCATTCTTTCTTTGGTGCATTAGAACATTGGAGCGAAACAAACTGCATTCAAACAGGACGGAAACAAACACAAAATAATGAACAAATAACACCCAGTACTTAATGAGTAGTTTGAGGTATACCTCCCCAATTTATATCTGCACACCAGCAGGCCAGGTGCAATTATTTCCTACCAACAGTAGTCAGTCAAATACCACACTCCCATCTTAAAGGAACACTCCAAGCACCATAACAGCATATTGAATGAGAAAAATATAAATAACAAGGAGGACAAGGGAATTTCTGGCATGCAAAACACACCCCCTGTGCTGGACATATCATGATCATCACTGAGGAACTATCAGGGTCATTCACTAAAGTGTAAAATGACAGGGATTTAAAATAAATTTCACATTTAAGGTCAAAATAGACTAACTGGAAACATAGTTGAGAATGTTTCCATATTACCCTGATATTTTCAATTCACTTTAAATCCCCAGCAATTCACACTTTATTGGATAACCGGGTAAGTAATGAAAAGCTGGGGTCTGTGAGAATTCAAATGCACTAAGTAACATTCGGCAGCACTGAATGGACACAGACTCCCTTTGACTAAGCTTAAAGGCTACCGAACAAGAGAAGTGGGAGTTTGAGCACAGGGCTTATTTTTATTTATTTTTTTACACACAACCTGTGGAATAAGCATGCAACGTATGCTCATGCAGTGCAAACGTATTGACACATAAAGTAGGAACGTCTCCAGCTAAAGGTGCTGGATAATCCTGTTTTTCTGTGAATCCTTTGGATACCAGTGTTAAAAAACTGTAGGGATGATACCCATAGCTGTGAGCACAATAACCCCACTACTATACACTGTGCAACTGAATCCCCCTATACTAGAGTGCTCACAGGTTCTCACTGCAATAAATACCTGTGTCCTACAAGTATTTGTGATGGGTATAAAAGTGAACTTCCTCTTTATATCATTAAAAGGTTAGATACAAGGTGAAAAAAAACTTTCTTATTACAGTAAACATTACATGTTCATTGAATTAAGAAAGTGGCTCCGTACAGTAACTGCATAAAAAATGCATACCCTGCAGTTCAACTCACCAACTGGACTGCCGCCGGCTCCATTTGGCACAGAGAGATCACCCGTACCTAGCATTATACCTGCCAAAAGAATATAATGGAAACTTACTTCAACACAGTGAGTGATAACAGACTGGATTTTAAAATAAAGCTCATTACATCTCATGCTGACACTTGTCAAGAAGAGTTTATATTACACAGACTTATAGGTCTAGATCTTCGAGCAAACTATAGCTCTAGATCAGCGTTTCCCAATTGGTGTATCGCGGAACCCCAGGGTTCATATAACACAAATGAGGTTCCGCTGTAATTTCGCCAAACAAAATGGCCAGGCCCCTGTAGTATCGGCTGGCTGAGAGGAAGTGACAGCACTTCCTCCCAGCTTCACAGAGTTGCTGCCGCGCAGTAGGGAGGGAGGAGGCTGGAGACGGCAGTCCAGAGAGAGAGCAGCAAGCATGGCGGAGGAGAGGCTGAAGTGAGCATGCTGCAGCTCATTCCCATCAGCCTCAGCCAACATCACCAGGACCACAAGGTACGTTAACAGGAGGGTGGCTCTAATGTATGTCAGATTGTGAGTGTGTGTGTGTGTGTGTATGTGTGTGTATGCCAGTGTCTGTGACAGTGTGTATCAGTGTGTATATGACAGTGCATGTATCTGTGTGTCAAGGTGTGTGTATGTGCCAGTATCTGGATGTCAAGGTGTGTGTATATGTTTGTATATTACAGTGCGTGTATCTGTGTGTATGTGCCAGTTTGTGTATCTGTGGGTGCAAGTGTGTGTATGTATCTGAGTATGTGTGTATCTGTGGGTCAAGATTTGTGTGTCACTGTGTGTATCTGAGTCTGTGTATCTGTGTGTCAAGGTGTGTGTATTTGAGTGTGTGTATGGGCCAGTGTGTGTATATCTGTGTGTATATGTCAATATGTCTTTATCAGTGTCTTTGTATGTGCCAGTGTGTGTATCTGTGTGTTTGTATGTGCCAATGTGCGCATCTGAGTGTGTGTGTCAGTCTGTATCTGTGTCACTGTGTGTATCTGAGTGTGTGTGTGCATGCATGTCAGTATGTGTGTGTGTGTATGTATGTGCCAGTGTGTATCTGTGTGATAAGGTCTGTGCATGTGTCAAGGTGGGTATCTTTGTGTCTGTGTGTATATATCAGTGTGTATATGAATGTGTGTGTATGTGTCAATGTTTTTATATGTGTGTCTGTGTGTTAATTTGTTTGCGTACGTACGTACCAGTATATGTGCATACATCCCAGCAATCAAACACCAACACAACATGCAAACACACTCCTGCAAACACAAACATTACATACAAAACCCCCTGGATTTAACACTCAATAACACTCAAACACACCCTTCACTCAAACACTTATACTACACACAAATGTACATCCATATTTAAAAGCCAACACTACATCCAAGCACACCCCTGCACGCAAATGCAAACATTATATACAAACACACCCTGTATCAAAACGCTAACATTATATACAAACACCAACTGTACACACAAAAGCACACCTGGTCCCAAGTACTACAATCTGCTTACTATCTGCGCTACGGCGCCAAAATGTTTTTGGGGTTCCACGTTGTTAGTGCGTTATGTCAAAGGGTTACACAGGAAATATTAATTGGGAACCCCTGCTCTAGATGTTGAACTGAGGTCAAATAAGTATTAATTAAATTATATCACCTCGAGTCCAGTTTCTATGACATTGGCAAATAACTGTAACACAATAACTAGTATGTGTGCTTCCCACGAACTCTAAAAGAGTAGATTAAATATATTTTAGTAGACCAGTGGTCAATTTAATTGTGTTTATTACTCAAGACGCATTTTGAAAGAACTCCATGCCATGTACAGTTAGGTCCAGAAATATTTGGAGCAATGTAAACAATAAAGCAGGACTGATTGAGACTGCACAGGAAGATTGGTAAGTATGGAGTCCTCACAGTGGAGTCAATCAGTAATAAAAATAAGTTGCTGAGTGGAGATGATCGCAAGATGGTACTAAATAGTATAGAAACACTGTCTAATCTGCCTAAAGATAACAATTCAGCAGGACTGATTGAGACCCAGAAAATTAACAAATATGAAGTCCCAGCAGTCGGTGATTAGATAAGCTGCTGAATGAAGGATAATACTAATGGTAAGAATGGTCCCTTCTGATGAGCCAGGTCAGGCGAAACGCGCGCGTCAGGGGTTCCTAGTGTGCTGTTTCTATAATTCAGTAACCAGCACTTGAATTTGGGACTGAGCTATTTGATTTATTAGTTTATTTATTTTCTTTCATTAATCAATCTTTATTTAGTTTTTTCTACTACCATATCGGGATTTGCTTATTGGGAATAGTGGCAGGTGCCCTCGAAAGCACAGGGGGAGTGCTAGCTGTAGGATTCGAAGTATAGCCAGTTGATTGTGCAGTTATCAGCATCCTGACAAGTCTCTGTTTATATCTTGAAGACTTAGCACTAACAGATATTCTATACACTGAGTACTTAGAGATCCAGCTATAGAACCCATTAGCAACTTCAACCTCCCCCACACCCCCCATGAGTCTTCAGACTGCCTTCTCTGCCTGCCAAGCGATCTAGATGTCTTCTCTGCCTGCTACAGATTGATACGTACATGGTATTCTGTGAGTAATAAGTGGAACACTAATAGACATATATACCTAGTGATGAATAGACAGTTTTGACTATAGGACTTCTATAACTATATCTAGGTTTCTAATATTAGTTTAATTTTCCTTGATAAATAAGCTCCTTTTTTTACCATTAGTATTATCCTGTCATTACCTTCATTCAGTAGCTTATCTAATCACCGACTGCGACTGCTGGGACTTAGTATTTGTTAATTTTCTGGGTCTCAATCAGTCCTGCTGAATTGTTATCTTTAGGCAGATTAGACAGTGTTTCTATGCTATTTAGTACCATCTTGCTATCATCTCCAAACAGCAACTTATTTTTATTACTGATTGACTCCACTGTGAGGACTCCATACTTACCAATCTTACTGTGCAGTCTCAATCAGTCCTGCTTAATTGTTCACATTGCTGTATTAATTCATAACACTAGTAGGCATTTTTAACAGGGTATGGATTTCTAATACCTTTTATATGTTCACTGTTTGTACACAAGCATATTCACCACATGTTAAGATTTGTTATAATTAAAATGTATTTATGTTTTGATTTTATGGATCTAATACTATCTCTGGTAGCAACTAGTCTAGTATCTCCGAGATTTGACAGTCAGTCATAATTTCGGATTTCTATTTCAGACTGTGTAGGTACACTATTTTTCTTTTTTGATAATTTCTATCTGGGGTTACCCCCATTTTCTCAGTGTACCTAATTGATGGCTCTATCTCTGCTCTTTTTCCTATAGCAGAAAAATTTGGATTTGGACACTCACACAAGTTTTGTTATTTCAGTTGTTTACCAAAATTAATTCAACTTACAGTTAAATAATGAATAAGAGCTTAAAGTGCAGTCTCTCCGCTTTAATTTGAGGGTCACATCATATTGGAGGAAGGGTTTAGGAACTACAACTCTGTAATATGTAGCCCCCTCTTTTTCAAAAGAGGAAAAGTAATTGGACAATTGACTCAAAAGCGGTTTCATGGACAGGTGTGGGCTATGCCTTCATTATTTCTTCAATTAAGCAGGTAGAAGGTCTGAAGTTGATTACAGGTGTGGCATTTGCATTTGGAAGCAGTTGCTGTGAACCCATAACATGCAGTCAAATGAGCACTCAATGCAAGTGAAACAGGCCATCCTTAGGCTGCAAAAAACTACATCAGAGGGATAGCAGGAACATTAGGAGTGGCCAAATCTTTAGTTCGGTACATTCTGAGAAAAAAACAACAATGCACTGCTGACCTCTACAACACAAAAAGGCCTAGACTTTTACGGAAGACAACAGTGAGGGATGATGGTAGGATCCTTTCCATGGTAAAAGGAAACCCCATCACAACATCCAGCCAAGTGAACAACACTCCCCAGGAGATAAGCATATCATTATCCAAGTCTACCATAAAGAGAAGACTTCACAAGAGCAAATACAGAGGATTCACCATGAGGTGTAAACCATTCATAAGACTCAAAAAAAAAAAAAAACAACAAATTTACTAAAAAGGGCAACACAGTTCAGGAATAGTGATGTTGCGAACTTGCCGCGAACGGTTCGCCGCGGTTCGCAGCGAACTCCGGTCAGCTGACACATCCCTGCTAATCTCCGGCAGACCCTCCCTCCCAGACCCTCCTACTTCCTGGACAGCATCCATGTTGAAGGCAATCACTATTCAGGAACCGTACTCAATGGACAGATGAAACTAAGATTTACCTGTACCATAATGATGAAAATAAAAAAGAATGGAGAAGGCCTGGAACAACTCATGATCCGAAGTATACCACATCATCTGTAAAACATGGTGGAGGGAGTGTGATGGCATGGGCATGCATGGCTTTCAAAAGTACTTGGTCACTAGTGTTTATTGACTATGTGACAGAAGCAGCCAGATTCATTCTAAAGTGTACTGACCATTCTACTGGTCCTCTAGTCGAAAGAGTACTTCTCTGTCATCTGGGTGTATGTCTGAATAATGGCAAGATTTGGGGTGACAAGTATAACGCTGTAGACCTAAATCCTCATTTCCCTTTACTATCCAAAGTCTCTAGAAAATGTTCCACTGTGCAAATATTATTAGATATGATTTTCTAAGCGCTTTCCATTTAAATTACTCAGCAAATTACTTAAAACGGAATGGTAAGGACTAACGGGAACTTTGACCAGATTAAATTTCTTAACATAGTTTATTAAAGGGACACTACAGGCACCCAGACCATATCATCTTAATAAAGTGGTGAGTGTGCCATGCCCCTGTCAATTTTACCTTGCAAAATATTGCCATTCTGCAGGAATGGCAATGTTTACATTGCAGACTGACTGCCACTAGAGGAGCAGTCAATCAGATGGTCTCATAGAGTTTTGTGGGAGATGTGCACTAGCCTCCCAATGATGGGAAAGCATTGGGTTGGCCGAGATCATCAAGATCGATTATCTCAACCAAGAGAAGAGCGGGCTGGGGAGAGTTCACTGCAGTGACTGCAGAAAAGATCAGAAAAAGTGCATTTACTTAACTATGGAGTATAGCACTATAGTGTTTGAAATACATGTTTGTATTCCTAACACTATATTGTTCCTTTAAGTTTAAAATCAAAACAATTGCTTTAAGTTTAGAACTCTTCAATCTCAGTTCAGCTGTAAACCACTAATAACTCCACTGAATCAGAACTGTACTAAGCATTTCATTTTAAAACAATATTTAGCTATATATTTGCTACCTGTATAGATAAATTAGAAGTACTAGAAAACATCAGTAGCCTTTATCCCTTTACGATGGTGAAGTTTTATGCATCCTATTATATTTATCTCTTAATCATAAGCGGTCTTTAAACATATATGTTTTTTTGTTTTTTTCTTAAATGTCATTTTCTTAACTGATTAATTTTCTTCAAGGGACATTCTAAGAAAAGTAGTCGTTTAATTTTCATAGATGTTCCCTCATTATAGACAATGTAAAACACTGCCTTTTCTGGCAAAGGGCAATGTTACATTTCGATGAAAACATGTTTCGAGTAGCAGTCAGGCAGACCGTCATTAGAATCACTTCCTACTCATAAACATTGGAAATACATTTGTTTTCAAATGTTACACAAAGTGAAAATTCAAAGTGTATTACAAAGGTTGAAATAGTCAAAACTGAACTTCGCTTTAGTAAATAACTATGATTGTTATCACCTGTCTTTTAGATTTTGTACCCTTCTAAAAATGCAAACTAATTATTGGTCACCTGTAATCCCTTGTCACGTCGGTCTCAGTTCATGGAAAGGCAATGTTTAAGGAGTAGGGACAGACTCATTGCACCAAAACCACTACATTAAGCTGTAGTGGGTGGCAAAGGTATTTAGAATGTGGTGTATTCAGGCCCAGTATAATGATGCTGAACATGGCAAACACTCTTCTATGACAAACACTGGATTGGTGGATTGCGGCAATATCCATGCATGCACAATACATTCATAATGTCTTAATGAGAAGCATTAGATTGGACCAGAGGTCATCAGGATTGATGACCTCTCCACTGGCAGATATGGCCGACTGTACCAGAGCTGAATTACAGGTAAATTTCTTGGCATTTTTAAAACTTATTTTCTTTACAAAAGGGGAGGGCAGTAAACTACACTAAATAAGGTACACTTTAATGTGAATGTTAAAAATGTTTATTTTTAACGTTTGAGTATTCCTTTAACAACATAAGAATTGCTATAACAGCCTTAATCTGGGGGTGTGTCTGGCTCTGTAAACATGTTGCAAAAGCTCTATGAAAAACAAAACCTTGGTGACTGTCCACACGAGAGCAGGTTTATGGGCAGTAAAGGAGCAATGTTCTCCTTAAATTTAATGGTTACAAAAGTTAATTTTTACTCTTTCAACAACGGACACCTTAAAAGGAACTTCCTGGTAGGACCACCAGCTGTAGTGAATATTTTTTTTCTTACTACATAAATCTGAATTCAGCCAGTGAAATTGGTATGCCATGATATCGCTACTGTAAATATATGCATCAGCAAAGTTTTACTATCCAGATTGTGATACTGTTCTTATATTTTATTGTACGTTACAAGGAGATTTTGTTTTTTTACATATATTAGATTTCAAATAAATAGTGAACAAAATTAAAGATAAACTGCATAGTTGTACCAACAGTTGCTGGTGTCTGAGTGTGTAACCCGCATACTTCAATTACAGTAACAATGAATGTGTCCCAGATATCACTTTTTGTCTTAAAGGGACAAAAAAGTGAACAACTTTAGCTTAATGAAGCAGTTTTGGTGTATAGAACATGCCCCTGCAGCCTCAATGCTCAATCCTCTGCCATTTAGGAGTTAAATCCTTTTGTTTATGAACCCTAGTCACACCTCCCTACATGTGACTTGCACAGCCTTCCATAAACACTTCCTGTAAAGAGAGCCCTATTTAGGCTTTCTTTATTGCAAGTTCTGTTTAATTAAGATTTTCTTATCCCCTGCTATGTTAATAGCTTGCTAGACCCTGCAAGAGCCTCCTGTATGTGATTCAAGTTCAATTTAGAGATTGAGATACAATTATTTAAGGTAAATTACATCTGTTTGAAAGTGGAACCAGTTTTTTTTTCATGCAGGCTTTGTCAATCATAGCCAGGGGAGGTGTGGCTAGGGCTGCATAAACAGAAACAAAGTGATTTAACTCCTAAATGACAGTGAAATGAGCAGGGAAATTGCAGGGGAATGATTTATACACTAAAACTGCTTTATTTAGCTAAAGTAATTTAGGTGACTATAGTGTTCCTTTAATGTTAATTGCGGTTGGTAGCGAAGAACTTATCTTTGATCATGAAAATATAAGTTCTGTATTAGAGGAACAATCAAGAAAGAGTGAGGGAAATGTAAGTTAAAGTGAAATGGTTAGGGGCTGAGAAACTGTAGAAAAGAAAAAAAAAATTTGAGTGAAACAGGAGCAAGGGAATCCATTGTGTACAAATTGCTCAAGTATTAAGAAGACACCCAAAGATTGGTTTTGCTGTATATGGGGCCAAAGGAGACGGTTTATCGTATTGTTATGTGTACAGACAACTCACACACTATGTCATAGTTTGTGGATTATCATCATGTCTCCACTTGCCCACCACTAAAACACGTCATTGCCATGGATTTAAGCAATGGACAAAATAAGTATTTTACAAGAATTAGCACTCTTTACGGCATAAAAATATTGCACACCACCAAAGTTATGCATCATAGACATAGTTACCTGCATTTCCTGTACTAGATGGCCTCTGTGGTATCCCTGGGGAGACAACGTTTCGATGTAGCGTTGTCTGAGGAGGGGACAGCATGTTTGCATCAGTTAATGAAGTACTAGCCGCCAGAGAAGCTGTAACCATCGTGTTTCCTTGAGAACTATAGGATAATGTGTTTGGATTTGACACGGGAACAGTCACAGACATTGAAAAATTTTGTTGCGGTAACCCAGGCTGAAAACACAAAGAGATTGACAGCATTATTTACTAGGGAGGAGACAGACCTAATCGAATACTGCGAAGTACACTGTTCTGTGTCTAATGAGTTGGTAAAGCAATGCCATGATCTTTGTTATGGTACTGGTTAATAAATGGCCAAGGAAGATGGCTTCTCTATGACTAATTTGTTGAATAGCCAAACCTATTGATATTACAGAAATTCTGATGCATGTGTCTTTCAAAAAGCCTTCCCCAAAGAACAAATTCACATTAAAATTTGCAATCCATTAAGATGACTTATTTCGATTGATCAGGAGTTTCAGCTGGCAGACTCCAGCATCAAAGATTCTGCAAGATCAATAGGCAGATCCACTAACTGCTACCACAAATTATCCTCGCATATATATTGTTTTAACTTGGGTTGTCAATGTCTAGCCTTCCAGTTGTTGTTTAAATACAAGACCCAATATTGTCAAGCCCCATGACTGCAACAGCACCAAGGGAGTAGTACTGCAACAACAGCTGGAGACCTAGAGATTGGCTACACCTGCTCCCAAAAGAGGCTTTGTTACACTTGTTTGGAATAAAAAATTATGCTCATTAAAAAAATAAATAAAAAGAATATATAGATCTACTAACCAGAAAAGGTGGTTAGTAAATTAGAAAGTTCCCACAATATTATGGCAAATTCTAATCCAATCTAACACACACACATTGTTCAGGTTCAGGTGAGTGCAGCCAGCCGCGCGCGTGCGTGTGTATATATATATATATATATATATATATATATATATATATATATATATATATATATATATATATATACACACACACACACACACACACATATATATATACCTACCCCCGCTTATTAGCACAACATACTACACTTTATACTTTTATTTTGTCTTTTATATTTTTATGAGGTTATCCATAGACGACTTGAAGGATCTGCACCACAATATATTCATAGGTGGGGATCATTCTGCCTAGTTGGAGCTGTATTTAAGCTCCCTAAAAGTGTGCGCTTACAATTTTTAATTTTCTTGACTCTATCAATACGTTTTTAACTTACTGCACTATCAGTCATTTTTTATTTCCATTTTTGTCATTTCATACATTCCCTAAAGGACACTTCAGGTGCTACACCTTATTTTTCTGTAACATTCTAATCTATGCTGGCACCTTTTCTGCTACAGGGAGGTCCAATGGGGAGATTTATCAAAGTGTTATGAAAAGTGAAATAATTAACCACAGGCTATCCCGCCACTGTTAATATTGATGAGTAAGGAGCATAAAATTCCAGTAGGACTCACTGTGAACCCACTGGCTGTAAGTTCAGTTTAGGAGTCACTACAGATGTAATTATGCAGCTCTCTGAGGGTCAGTGAACCGGAGTTTTAGACTACATAAAATCAGCAAGCATTATTTATGGACAGCAGAAGGAACTAGGTAAAGCGGCCTCATTTGAGGGAAGGGGTGGCCAGCTGTACAGAAACTGATTAAAAAGCATTCATGCACAACACTAGTGGTTGATCATTACCAATATGTGCAGTAATGTATCTATCTCCACATTTGTGCTGCACTGCATAATCGGAAGGTCGTGCAAGGGCCTTATTAATATAGGGGCATTTGAAGTGGTCAATACTTTGAAATAGACCCAAAGCAGTCACAATGTAAAAAAATAGAGGGTTTCATTTATTTACTATGAATTAGTCTGATGCTACTAGTGTGGTGTTCTACTCATATCAAACTGTCCTTTTTTATTTATTAATGGCATGAGCCAGTACTGAGCAGGGAGGCGGTATTTCATGTTGTATGTGTGACAATGCAATCACACAGGAGTGGGTAACCAGAAATCGTATGGACCAGAAGTAGGTTTGTAATAAGTCACATACATATTCCAGAATTGCTACATTGATGGAATAACAAATTTAATTTTTCCTATTAGGCCCATAACATTTTTCAGTTCCAATCAATGGAGTCCTATGTCCAGCACTGGTTCATGATAGCTATTTTCAGATGCAAACATGCACAATATATGATTCATCAAATACAGAAAACACAGGATATATAATACTGGATGATTCACACCTATAATCTGATGCCAAAAATACTGCCTTGTTTAGGGTGTAACAGTATATTATTCTGTGAAAACTTGAATAAATGTTTTTATTTAAATATGACAGCAAAGAGATTGGACATTTAGAAACACTAACAAATCTTCAAGTCTGCACATCTGGTGTTATCTCACACATTATAAAGTTGCCTTTCATAGACAGTCACAGGACTCAAGGTCTATCTGTAAAAAGCATCAGAGTGGCAGAGCATAGCCATTGCCGTGCATGCACCATAGGTCCATAGAGTGAGATTTTCTTTATTTTTATTTTCACAAGAGGGGACCTTGAATCTAAAGTCAAAAGTGCAACACTCCATAAATGTATTTTTAACAGTTTCCCTGCACTCATATGGAAAAGGAGGGCAATTATTTCTTTAAAAGTTGCAGAGGAAAGTGCTGTCTTGAATATAAAAGATTTCCACCCAAAAGTTACCAGATTGGTTTTTTGAGAATAAAAGATAGTTAACTTGCTTCTAATATTAAAACTGCATTAAATAAAATCACTTTCCATGTAGGCTGAAGCTACAAGACATTACTGCCAAAATATCAGCAAATCCTCAACAGCCACCATAACATTACTGGAACTTATGAGGCTATCTAGGTGTTTGTGCTAATAAAGTCATCTTGTGTCACCCAAAGGACCTATAATATATTTTCTATTGTTCTGGATGTTGAGACACTCTTTTTATATCAAAAGACATACAACCGAGGCATTCCTTTACGACCACAAGGTCATCAAATCATCATATATATTTTTCAGTCAAAATGATCATGGGTGACTGCAAGGACAGTTCTAGACGGGAGAAAGACAACTCAAGATATAGCTTGAGGACTGTACTTGCATCCAAAACAACTTGGAACAATATTATTGAGCGGGCCTCAAAAGTTCCACTAGCCCACCAGCAACTGGTGAGTGGAATTAATTCCTGGCAAGTACAAATTAACCCCTGGGGCCGTGCCATGGATCCTTCAGGCGTGAAGAGGGGAGTAACTTTTAGGCCTTCAAGGACTTGCTAAGAGGACCCCAACCCATATTGAGGCACCATTAATTACTACAACCAAATGGTCACCTGTGCCTCAGCGCTATTAATGCTCATTTTATACTACTATTGGATTGCATTTATTGTCCATAAATGAAGGGGTTTGAATGGTTTTAGGTGGGGAAGTAGCCAATGGATGTCCAGGAAAGCTACTTCGATCATCCTGTGTATTCCCATTCATGATTGATAGATTGTGGACTTTATTGATGAACCCACAATGGGAAGTATGACGCTTATTACTGATTCACACAAAAAACAGGCGTTATTCCCATTAACTGAAAAGTCATTGCACTAGTACTCACGGAGATTTTATGATTGCGCATCATATTATCAAACTCCTCGTTTATTTTTTTGTACTTTTCTTCGGTGTGGGGGGTGAGCACATAAGAGCCATCTGGGTCCGGACTGTCGCACCCTCTGTGTTCTTTCTTGTTCAGGGCCTAGGCAGTAAAGTTAATAAAGACGATCAACACATACAAGGAAGGGATGAAAGGTAAAATAAAATACTTACAGGGTCTCGCTTGAAAATAAAATCACTATCTTCATTTAGTTTGCTGAATGTGTCCTCCTCAAAGTATCTCTCAGCATCTGGGCTCTCACAACCATCTAAGCCTTTCTTTCTCAGAGTCTGAAACACAATTGGAAAATTCACATGCAAACTGCACTAGCTGATCGGGAGGGGAGTTATGGGTCTAAAACTTGTGATGCCCTTAACTAATCAACGCTGAAATTAAATTTACCTTTCTTCCTCTTCAATGCCAACATAGTTAAAAAATATACAATATATTTGCTTAAATGTGAACTTTAGAGAATTTAGCATAAATTTAAAACTAGGCTACAATAGTTGAATTCTAAGAATTATTTAAGTCAGCTATGTTTTAAGCTCATCTAATCTGGCCTAAAATTTTAATTCCTGGCAAATCACACTTTAGTAAATAAACCTATTTATAGTATAAAAAAGAATATTTGACATGGTTGTCAGCACATAATTTAACAACTATATATTAACACCTATAATTTAACTATAAACCCATGCTGCTGGCAAGAAGAAAAAAATATTTTATTAACAAACGCAGAAAGTGCACATCCATGCAAGGCCTGTGTCCAAACATAGCCTAAAGGTACCCATACCAGCAAAAGGTATGGATTACATCTTATTACTTACCTGAAGGGGACCTTGCCTTTTACAAATTTGTGAAGGACAGGCCCACATTAAAGAAAGGGTATTTATAAAATAAACTGCAGTAAACATTAAAGGACATGGATCAATTTGCATGTGGGCAATGAGCCTTTCTTAATATATATTTTGTACAATTTTCTCTACATAGGTATGTGTCACAGTGTCGGCGAGGAAAGGGAATTTCCATCGCAACTCAGTCAACTTCCTCTCTGCCTGGTTTGACTCATCCACAGACTTGTGCCAGATAATATCCCAAACAGCAGCCTCACCCAGACCACATGTCGCCTCTCAGACTGTTTCAGGTTCCTTGTAACTCACAATGGTGAGTGATCAGAATACACCTAAATTATTTCTATTCCATCAACAGTACATGCTTGGCCTCGACACACCTTCATGGTACTTTATCCATGCAGTGCAGACCGTCCAAGAGCATGGACTATCTAGATTTTAGCTCACAAACTCCATATAATACTTGGGGGGGTTGAGGGGGGGAGGGAATTTAATAATTAAGAATTTACATACAATTCCTTTTTCCTTCGACAAAATATATATGTTTTTGTTACTTTTATGTCAGTTGCATTCTAAATCCAGTTTTTCTGGTAACATATTGGTTAAAATACAACAGTATATATTCTAAATATACTGCAATCTGTGAAAGTAACCTGTGTATCTAGAAAGCACTACATATAGATTCTTACTCCTTTTTTCAAACAAAATACAACTCTCTCAGGTTCTCATTAGTTATTGAATGAAATTCCCAGACCATTTTGCTTCACTAAACTTGCATTATTTCTGATGAATAAGAAATGTAATAAACGAGTCCAGTATATGCATTTTGGCATTTATTCAGCTGCCTGCATATCTGTTCTGATACTACTAGCACAGAGTCCAACACCCAACCCAGGCCAGAGAACTGTATGAAGAAAGGTGAAAATCACATTGTTAATTTCAACTCCTATAATGCAAAGTCAGAGAGCTATAATTCAAAGAGCATAAAACCCATTGAGCAAATGTGTGAACTTGGGGGGGAGAAGAGGGGTGTATTGCATAACACAAAGCAGTTTCCCTGGAGGCACTGGGGATTGAAATTCTTGAAACTTATACATTGATTAGGTCATTTGTGAGAGGTCGTAGGGCATCATGAACCAAGTGTCCTGTAAGTCCATCTCACATTACTTGGCATGTGCTCTGTGTCTTCCAAACGTCACGGCATCAGCATATGAAGAAACAGGTGTAGCCTTCTCTAGCGCTAGTCACTGAAATGAAACTTGGCCTGGCCAATCAGGTGGGTAACAGCAGTGACACAGCCATACATGGAGCTGTTGTTTCAGCCTTTGAAGGTCGGATGTTGCTAGCCTCTGAAGCCTTCTCTGTACCAAGTAATCTGCAGTCATTTTATCTGCTTGTTATTATTAACCCCCCCAGTGCTGGAGTCCATCTAATGCCAGGCACATTGTGACCATCTTAACAGGTCAGCAAGGCTATCATGTATCCAGTTTTAGTTCTAAGCTCTTAGTCCAACAGGAAAATACTTCAATGTATCTGTGACAAGCAGCTATTATATTACTTATGTTTATTGTGTAAATTTCAATTTTGTATTGTAATTTAAAATTAGAGGGAAAAAAATGGAAGGTTTGTTATGCGAGAAGACAAGATAAATATAAGTTTTAAAACTTGACCACAAAGAACATTGTTCCTTCCATTCTTTTTGCCCAAACAATAAAAAGTTACGTAGTTTGAATGTCCAATTTCATTGGTGGAAACTGGGACCTGGTGGCACGGAGCAAAACGAGTACAGATCAGTATAGCCTACTAGCAGTGACATAGGGAGGGGGTTGGCCTTTGACACACTAAAGAAAAGGTCCAGTGAGACTGAGTAGTAATGTGGAAGTATACCCACGCATTCACACTCACTGACCATCAACACCAATAAACCTCTGCATTCACACATGCACAATGCCTTGTACAATCATAAACCTCTGAATTCGCACACTGACATGCTACACAAGTACATTTCAAAGAGGTTTTTTTTACACAAATATATCTCTGCACTGACCTTCTAAACTCCTGCATTCCCTCCCATATGGACATTGCAAATAAATATACCCATGGATTCTTTGTCACAAATGCATACACAAACTCTGCTGAAATACACAAATGCATTAATTTATGTACACACTGCAAAAACTCACACATACAATGATTCCCACATGCATCCCTGCACTCTCACACTGGAATTCCACACAATACAGGCATTGACACACCTTTGCACACACACTGATGATCCACACAGACAACTGTATTCACCTACAGACTATGACTAAAACATCTTCACAACTTCACCTTCACACACTGGAACCTTCAACAGAAGTACACCCCTGCTTCATTCCACACCAGCACTCAACACAAATGTGACTGTTCATTGACACACACTTTCAGTAAATTTACACCCCCTGCATTCAGATACTCACAACAAAGATGTATGCTCATGCATTCACACATACAGACACTCAAAGAAGAACCAAAGCCAAAATAGTAGTTTAGGGCATGAAATGCAGACCCATGTAATAGAGTTTGATTCTGATTCAGTCTGTATACAAACATTTGCCTTCTGTAGAAATTCACACCACATGACAGTGAGCTTTGATGCCGAGTTAGTTATTCATAATACCACATAGAGAACCAATACAAATAACGATAGACACATCTAAAAATACATACAATTTATAAGTTAATGGAGTTCAAAGAGACATATTAAAAAGCCTGCCTTGTAGCCAAGTCTAGTCATGTATCTCATGTGGGAGGTTTTGTGATTAGCTTTCCAGTACTAAGAACAAGAGATTTGCTTAGATAACAGAGCCTAGAACAGTGATACACACAATGTTTGTATAGCTAAAAAACGAAAAACCTAAAAGCTGAGCATAATGCGGACAATTCATAAACTAAAGATCTTGAGGGTGGTTTAGCATGATGGGAATTGTCATAGGCTAACTTACAAATTTCTGGGGGTGTTAAATTTATCCATCACTAAAAAAAACCGTCACAGAACTAACAATGTAATTCAGTTGGTGTCACTAAAATGTTTTATATTACCTTTATGGCCCCTGTAGTATCGGAATAATTGAGAAAAAGGTCTCTTGTAGATAGAAGCCTAGTGGAATGTTCTAATCTGTTCGCAAGGGCAGCAAGCTTTGTGGGATATAACACAGCCCGCGCTTTCTCACAGGATCTGAGCAAAACAACAGATAACAGGCTTCCCCTTCACTAAAGACACATCCTAGAAAGGTCATGGCTGCTATGGATTCTGGTGTGTGCCATCCAGATAAGTTACGGCTGTCAGAGGATTCGGGCGTAAGATTTTAGGAAAGTGTTAATGTTTTATACCAAAATTAAACTCGTACAACTCTCCATGATATAAACCTCAACCATAAGAGATTTCAGTCTTTTTTAGGCCTCAGTACTATGTTGGCAGCTCTTCTCTAAATAGTAATTTTATTCTTAAAGAGACACTATAGTCACAAAAACAACATCAGCTGAATGAAGCAGTTTTTGTTTATAGATCATGCCTCTGAAGTTTCACTGCTCAATTTTCTGCCATTTAGAAGTTAAATCACTTTTGCTTCTGTTGATGCAGCCCTGGTCACACCTCCCCTGGTTGTGACTCACACAGCCAGCATGAACATTTCTTTTTTCATATTCAATCAGCTAGTAGCGTACTTTAAATGTTTTATCTCCTGCTCTGTAAATTCAATTTTAATTATATACAGGAGGCTCCTTAAGGGTTTAAAAAAAAATCTAAATTAAACAGAGTTTGCAATAAAGGAAGTGTAAACATTAGACGACTCTTTACAAGAAGTGTTAAGGAAGGCTGTGTAAGTCACATGCAGGAAGGTGTGACTAGATCTGCATAAACAAAGTGATTGAACTCCTAAATGGCAGAAGATTGAGCAGTGAGACTGCAGTTGGTCTATACACCAAAACAGCTTCATTAAGGTAAAGTTGTTTTGGTAACTGTGACGAAGTGCCCTTCGCCACTTGTGCCTGGAGAGGACTGCTTGCCCGCCTCTTGCCCTGTGACTATGGCCCCTGGGATGTATTGCCCTTTAACCCCTTAAGGACAAGACTTCTGGAATAAAATGGAATCATGACGGAATATGTCCGTCATGTGTCTTTAAGGGGTTAAAGACATGATTTGGGTATAATGGATTTGTGTTGTGCTGCTGCTGGCCCTTTAAGAACCATCTGGGGACATACTGTGGAGTTACTGGGTGGCCACCATTTCCTGTATCAGAAGCACATGGTGAGAACAATGGATGGCGGCCATTTTAACTCACAGACACTGTTTGGACTTTTCAACACGGTGCCATCTTGCCAGTATTTGGTGCACAGAGACATCGTGCAGTGGTTTTGGACTATACAGCAGGGGACACATTATAAAGTGATTGTTTTTCATTTAGCCTGTATATGTTCTGCAGAATCTGCATTAAACTGTATTTTCCAAAGTACTGAACGGATCTGGGTGAATTTTGGATATGTGGTTCACCCAGATCCCCCGGTTCCAAGGATATACTTTTTATGGGGTTATTGCATGTTTTGGGGTCCCTGTGTGTTTTATGAAACTGTATTATTTCTGGCCAGCAGATAATTGAGCTTTGTGTATTGTAGAAACTCAATTATCTAGCCTGGCCCAGAGGAGGAGTTTTGTGTTGCATAAATTGTGAGTTCTGTGTGCCAGTAAATCAGTCTTGTTCCAGCATTAAGCCTTGGCTCATGTTTGGGGGAAGGGATACCTACACTCTGGGGATTGCTATAATCACTTACTCCCCAGAGGAAGCTCTTGCAATAGCTTGATTTGTTCCTGTTCCTGCTCTCTGGGGAAAGAGAGGTTCACCCACTGGAAGCTGGATCCTGGCCTTGGGTCCAGGGTGGGTGGAAACAGCAGAGACCCCGGCGCAGTTGCATCACTGGAAGTGGGGTCTGCAGTGCTGATGGTGTCGGTTGGAGTGCTTGGAGTCCTTAGCGAGCACTAGGAGCATCGATTGGCGGAGGTACTCAGTCGGAGTGCAAGCGTTCCGTCACAGTAACTATTGTGTCCCTTTAAGGCAATGTTATCCGAATTGGGCTCAACATTCAACGTGATTTCCTAAACTGAACCTAAAATGTGACATTGACTCTCCCTTCCTACCATTACACCTCGATCTACAAGTGAAAATATAGAGGTTGACCAAAAAGTAAACTTAGTACACCAATTCCACTCAACTTTTTAAATGCAAAGCATAATTTCAATAGGGATATGTCGTCCCTGATGGTGTAATGGGTGCTGAATGTGAACAGATTTTCTTATCCTTATGTTGCACATAACTCTTCATGGCTATAAATTCATCCCTATAAAATGCACTCTGTATTACTGTCTGTAAGCACATGCATAATAATATGCCTTTACCTGACATCAAATACAAGTTTGTTCTGCTATTATGCAGCAAAACCTTGCATTAGATCTTGCATGGCAACCATGTATAGAGAAGTATTGCATTGTTGCAGATATGTGCAGAGCATCTTCCTGTCAAGCAGTCACTTGTATACTCCCTGTAAAACTTTTTTCTTTTTTTTTTTTAAATCCAATGTGCTGGAAGGCTGTGCATATACTATTTACAACTCTCGGTTTAAAAAAAAAGAAAAGAAAAAATAATAAAAGTTCTGCTTTTGTTTGCACGACTTGCATGCAAACTTTTAAATTGTTTAAATGAATAATTTGCAGTTTTTTTTTGTTTGTTTCCAGTCAAAGAGGTAATATTACATGTATCATCCCTGTAATCAAATCAGCACAGCATAATAAATGACACAAAGAAACATACAGTCCAGAGCTCAGGGTCAGTGATATATACTGGGAAATCCAACCAGTCCAATAAGTAAGAATTTGAAAAATCTGTCAGGATATTAGGTTTGATCTACCTGTGACAATATATAGATAATGTCTAGAAAAATGTATAGGTAATATTTTCCCTTCATGACAAAGGTCTGTCATCATATTTCTCAGCTTTTAGTTAGAACATCACTTTATAATATCTCAGGCAGACATGGAATCAAACAATTAACTAAGCAACGCACCCTGTATCCTGATAAAGAGAATAGTGAATAATACCAACATAACAAAATAAACAGAACAACGTGTATACTATGGAGGAAGAGATTATGATTCATTTGAAATCAATAAATAGCAATCTGTTTTGTAAGTGCAGGATCCATGGAATGCCAACACTGCAAAGAGCAGATTGACTGTTCTAAACTGCTCAGGAAAAACAGGGATCTAGCAACCTCTCCCTAGGTAGCATGTGGCTAACACTTGGATCATGCATGCAAATGTAGCAAAAGCTTCACTGAGAAATATGATGCATCCTGGTGTCAGGGAGACACATGCTACCAGTAAGTCACTTTCTTCCATCGATACCAGTCATAACACGAGACACATTTCTTTGAAAACAGATGGGCAGCATCTGAGGTTGTCATGGGGATGGCTCATCAGGGATGAGAAGACCTAGTTTCCAAATCATTAAATATATTATACAGAAAATGTAGTGAAGATTTAAACAAACACAAATCCCAATATGGACAGATTCAGTACCCATGGTTTGTTGCTTTTTTTTTTTCTTGGCATATTGAAAAAACACATTTACAAAAAAAAAAAAAGAAGCCTGCTGGGTAGAACAAAGGATAATGTGACACACACAAAAATACTTTGGTCAGGCTTTTTTATATAAAGTGGGCAGAAGCTATGCAGTGAGCCAGGGCTACCTTATATCCACAGATAGCTCATCAATCATTGATTGAACAATTACAAGATGATCTATAGGCTAAAAGCGTGTAGTGATCTGTGTTGCACACGCTTTTCTTGCAAAGCTGGTATCAGTCTGACAGGTTTGGAAACCTTCCAATATCTGACAATTTTAACCTTTATCTCTGAGCTTCCAGGACTGAAGTAAGTGATTGAATTTCACTTAGATACCAAGGCTGCACGAAAGCTTCACTGTCAATGCAGCCAATGTTAAGGGGTATTTGCCTCACACGGCAGGAACACTGTATGTGGATATCAGAGAACGACAGAATTATGTAGCTTTCAAATGCCAGGGTAAATGCATAAAGTTAATCATCAAAGCATTAAAAAAAAAGTTAGGCTCAGCAGTAAATTTTAGGCAGCAAGGGCTACCTTGGATTAGCCTATTTTACTTATCATCTGCACAGATGTACACTTGGGCTCTATATAGAAATGTATTGGCAGGTAATTAATACTAAATTAAAAGGGGAGACGGGCCAGCCTGTGAATTAGAGACTTGCTAAAGGGAGATAGTCTAGGCCAGACAGTGTCATGTAAATAGACCCCTCAAGCTATATTGTGATACAATGTTATCCGTATAATTATATTGTAGGGACATGTAATTGGGTCAATGCATCTCTTGCATTTAGTGCACTAGAAAATCCTGAATTTGTCAGGTGTGGCATATATTGTTGGAGACATATAATAAACATTTAAAAATGTCATCATCTAACCCATAGATAGCAAACAAGTAACATTTAATAAATATTTATCCCTAGTTTTGAAACCAAAATAAATATATAGAAACGCCACTTGTGTGGGTGAGAGTTTTGTGAATCACAACACTAGCTGGAAGTGTTCAGAGACTTGCATATGCAGCGATAAAATGGGCCTCAGTAGGCTCAGATACAGTTAACGCAAAAATGTGCTGTCTGTCTTTTAATAAATAACATTACAGCCAGCACATACATGACATAGAGCTAGCACACATACTCACACATGGCCAATAAACACACATTACACTGAGCCAGCACACACCAGGCGCTCACACAACACAGCCAGCACTAACCAGTCACACACTCATTACACACAGCCAGCACACACCAGGCACTCACACAACACACAGCCAGCACTAACCAGTCACACACTCATTACACACACACACACACACACACAACACACAGCCAGCACTAACCAGTCACAAACATTACACACAGCCAGTATGCACACACTATGGGGGGAATGATGTCAGAAGGAGACTATGGGGAAGAGGGCAGAAGGTGAGGCACCCTGGGTTATTCACTTAATAACAAAAATGTTACCTTCTTTACTGCTGAAGCAAAATCAAAATTCTTCAAGTATGTTACAGCCTACAATTATTCTGGAAATTTATGTTTTTTTTAAAGGGTAGGAGAGTTAGACTTTATTGATATATTTTCTAATTAGACCATCATACACAAAAGCTCTATACCATTGCCTACTATTGGTACTGAAGGTGTCCATGATGCTCAGCCAAACAAATGACTACATGAGCCTTTACAAAAATGTAGTTTTCAAACATCTGCAGTGCCAACTCCTGACTACAAACACCTACAGTGCCTCCACTGCCCCATATAATCTGCACAAGTAAAAAGATGCAAACCGGCAGATTTCCAGAGCAAATATGTTTGTATCCTTATGCACATAGCCAATTTGCATTAACAATTTACCACTTCAGATTTTCCCCGTGCATCAATAAAAATTCATATTACATTTACAGTTGTGTTTGCATAAACAAAGTATATCTTATAAACAGAAAAATATTGCCCAGTCTCGGATTTCAATCTTCAACTGAATACATTCCTCAATATGTGCAACCCAGGATAAGGAAATAAGAGATTGCAATCCGTAGCCTGCTGATATGTGTAAAAGGTGGAAATGATCAAAAGACTATCTTTCTATTCACAATAAAGCTCAAACTGGCAAACATCACTGCTGGAAACAAGATGTGTTGCAATTAGAAGTAAAATGAAGCTTACATAGAACTGTGTCAAATGTCAGCTCAACATACAGCCATTATTGTCAATAAGTTATTATTCTTATTAAAATTATTAATAGCTGGAGATCTTAAAAACATTTTGGCATATCTTTTGTTACACAAGCCCCAGAAATTGCACTATTACAAATGAGATGACATCCCATCTCAAAAAAAAAAATTACAAAAATGATGCCTTATTTATTTAAGTGTTTTTTTTTTAACCCAAGTTCTCTTCAGTGATGGCTTCTAAACATATTAGAAATTCCTTGGAACATATGCCACACGCCACATGACATTTCGCACCAGTGATAAAAAAAAAAAAATGGATACACTGGGAAGATTTCCTTATGGATGGCTCATATTTGCATAATTTACACCACTTATAAACTCACCTACCACAAATGTGTATAAGTAAGACTTATAAGGTAGTACTAGCCTTAAAGGGACACTATAGCCACCAAAACCACTACAAATTAAAGGGACTCTCCAGTGCAAGGAAAACAAATCCGTTCTCCTGGCACTGCAGGACCCTGCAGTGCTCCCTTCCTCCCACTCCCCATCCCATGTTGCTGAAGGGGTTAAAACCCCTTCAGTCACTTACCTGAATCCGGCGCCGATGTCCCTCGGTGCTGGGTCAGGCTCTGCCCACGCTCCTCCTCCACCGACATCAGCCGGCGAGGGAGACCTAATGCGCATGTACGGCAACGGCCGCGCGCACTCATTAGACCTCCCCATAGGAAAGCATTATTCAATGCTTATTATTCAATGCTTTCCTACGAGGATTTCGGCGACGCTGGAGGGCCTCATGCATAAGGTGAGGACATCCAGTGTCGTTTAAGAACACAGAAGTCCCTCAAGTGGCTGTCTGATATGATAGACAGCCACTAGAAGAGGACTTAACTCTGCAAGGTAATTATTGCAGTTTATAAAAACTGTAAGAATTACACTTGCAGGATTAAGGGTGATGGGAGTTGGCAACCAGACCACTCCAATGGGCAGAAGTGTTCTGGGTGCCTGGAGTGTCCCTTTAATGTAGTATTTCTGGGTCATAGAGGTTGTCCCTGCTAGCTCAGCAGTGTCAACGGTGCCTTTTCTGAGAAGAGCTGCAGTACCGACATTCAGGGTCTCCACATTCTTCATGGAGACACTGAATGCTCCCCATGTAGATGCACTGACTCAATGCATTTCTATGTGGAGATGCCGATCGGGGCAGTATGGCAAATGATGCGAATGTTTACTAGCCTCCCAATGTTTCTTTATGAGAAAAGCTCTAATCTCACCTAAGTCAGCAGGGCACGGTAAGCATAAATGCTTTTTTTATTCTACACGTTAGTAGACCACGATAGCATTAGAAATTAGTGAGGTCCCGAACGGTTCGCCGAGGACGGCGAACATATGCGCTGTTCGGTCCGCCCCCTATGTCATCATTGAGTAAACTATGACCCTGTACCTCACAGTCAGCAGACATATTCCAGCCAATCAGCAGCAGACCCTCCCTCCCAGATCCTCCCACCTCCTGGACAGCTCACTAAGAATGCAGATTCAAAATGGATGCTGTCCAGGAGGTGGGAGGGTCTGGGAGGGAGGGTCTGCTGCTGATTGGCTGGAATGTGTCTGCTGACTGTGAGGTACAGGGTCAAAGTTTACTCAATGATGAGTCCGCGGCGAACCGTTCGGGACATCACTATTAGAAATGCATGGTTTTGTTCCTAACGGTATAGTGTTCCTTTAAAGGAACGCTCCAGACACATCTTTAACTCACTGAATTATGTGTTTGGAGTAGATAAAAATAAAAAAACACTTTTCTTAAAGAGCTGTATTACAACTCACTGAATAGCACTGGAAAGTTCTAGAAAGCTCTAGTACAGCGTTTTCACAGCGAGAAGCCTTCGATTGGTGTATTCTATGGCACAAGCCTCGATTTTTATATATTTTTGGATAAGCTTTTTAAATTACTTCATATTTTAACCCCTTAAGGACCGAGGACGGTTCAGGACCGTCATCGGCATTTTTGCGTTGCCGACCGATGACGGTCCTGAACCGTCCTAACGGTCTGAGCTACTTACCTGATCGCCGTCGTTCCCCCGGCGGCGATCAGCGTGGCTCCAGTTGTGGGGAGACTGCCTGCAGCCCAGACAGTCTCCCCACGGCAGATTAGGACCCCTGTGGCCATGTGATCGCTTAACACAGCGATCACATGGTCACAATAGGTGTCCATGTGTCTGCCTGCAGGGGGACTGTCTGTGCTGACAGGCAGTCTCCCTGCTAGTGTAAAATCATAAAATAAAATAAAGTTAATGTTAATAAAAAAAATAAATAATTATATATGTGTATATATGATATATAGACATATATTATATCTATATAATATATGTCTATATATCATATATATATAATGTCATACTAAGTGTATTTTTATATTAATATGTACTTATATTAATATAAAAATACACTTATAATTAAATTACACGCGTATATATATAATATATATAATAACTATATATATTGTATATATATATTATTATAAAATATAAATAATAAGTAATTTAAATAAAATATTTTTTTTTTAAATAATAATAAAAAATTTAAAAAAAATTATATAGCTATATGAAATTTTATTCTAACTGTATTTTAAAATTAATATATATATATTTATATCAAAATACACTTAGAATGAATTTGTATATATATCTATGTATATAAAATTAAATAAAAATAATAAGAAATATACATACGTCCATATACAAAATTACATAAATAATTATATAAATATACACGTAGACTTCAAATATATAAATATGCATATATATTTAAATTCTACGTGCGTATTTATGTAATATTTTACATAATTCAGTAATTTTATTGATTGCAATTTGAGGGACCTGCCTGCCAACCCAGGCCGAAATTCCAGAGAATTTAATTTGCTAGCACTGTATTTTACCCTGTAACGTTCTACGACACCCTAAAACCTGTACATGGGGTACTGTTTTACTCGGGAGACTTCACTGAACACAAATATTAGTGATTCAAAACAGTAAAACATATCACAGTGATGATATTGTCAGTGAAAGTTACTTTTTTTGCATTTTTCACACACAAACAGCACTTTTACTGATGATATAATTGTTGTGATACGTTTTCCAGTTTTTAAAATCTAATATTTGTGTTCAGCGATGTCTCCCGAGTAAAACAGTACCCCCCATGTACAGGTTTTATAGCATTTTTTAAAGTTACAAGGTCAAATATATGGGTCAAATATTTTTACATTGAAAATGGCCAAATTGGTTACGTTGCCTTTGAGAGCGTATGGTAGCCCAGGAATGAGAATTACCCCCATGATGGCATACCATTTGCAAAAGAAGACAACCCAAGGTATTACAAATGGGGTATGTCCAGTCTTTTTTAGTAGCCACTTAGTCACAAACACTGGCCAAAATTAGCGTTCAATTTAGTTTTTTTACTTTTTTCACACACAAACAAATATGAATGCTTACTTTGGCCAGTGTTTTCGACTAAGTGGCTACTAAAAAAGACTGGACATACCCCATATTGAATACCCTGGGTTGTCTACTTTAAAAAAAATATGTACATGTGGGGTGTTATTCAGAAATTTATGACAAATAATAGTGTTACAATGTCACTATTGATAAATTTTAAAAATGTATGTTTTGAAACCGCAATATCCTACTTGTACCTATAGCCCTATAACATGCAAAAAAAAGCAAAAAAGCACGTAAACACTGGGTATTTTTAAACTCAGGACAAAATTTTGAATCTATTTAGCAGTTTTTTTCATTAGCTTTTGTAGATGAGTAAAAGATTTTTCAAGTAAAAGTCAAAAAACATGTATTTTTTTTCAATTTTTCATCATATTTTTTTATTTTTTTTCAATTAAAATACATGAGATTATATAAATAATGGTATGTAAAGAAAGCCCCTTTTGTCCTGAAAAAGACAATATATAATTTGTATGGGAACAGTAAATGAGAAAGCGGAAAATTACAGCCAAACACAAACACCACAAAAGTGTAAAAATATGCCTGGTCGCAAATGTACAACATCGCAAAAACAGTCCAGTCCTTAAGGGGTTAACATGATTTAATGTTTTGAAAACAAATCATGATATTTTTAAATATACTGATTTTTTTTATTATATATATATATATATATATATATATATATATATATATATATTTATTAATATTTTGAAAAAATAGTTTTAAGAGTTTAGCTAAAAATATTAAACAATTTGATATGCCTATCCAAAAATACTAAATTGAGCATTTGCAAGATGTTTTTTTCCTACACCGCCACCAAAGAAAACATGCCAGCAGTTCTAAAGCAGGGGAACTAAGCAGGCATGCATGTTATCTTTGGGGATATAACCACTAAATAGTTCTAAAAAGTCTTTCTTTAAAACATCTGGGAGATTAAAGTACACAGCAACATCTGTTTATGTACAACGGGTATAGTAAATAGGCCGACCATTTTTATTGAACTTTTCTCATCTTCTTTCTTCATTTCATTTTATAATTGTATATATTTATTTTATGTATGTGATAATGAAGATTGTTTTGTTATGTCTTTGCTTTTACTTATTTCACATATTGAAGACAAATTTCCTTTACATTCCTGCCTGCTGCTGTATTACAAAACAATATGATAAAACTTTACAAAACGGAAAAAAATAGACTATAGTCAGTATAAACAGAGATAAGGCATTGCTAATTTTATCTATCAGAATAATAAATTGTCAAACTCACACATCAGTAAATAAAACATGCCAGCACTATCTCCTCCATGTACCTTCATCTTTTTACTTCTCTTTTGCGAAAATATGTTCCATTCATTTCATCCTGCACATCTCTCACTTACCTTCATCTGTTAACCCTGGTTTTACTTTTGATGTTTTAAAACCTGGCATCTTCTATTCTTTGATAAACCTGGCTTTCGTGTTACATTTCTAACATTTATGACCCCATGGCTTATGAAATAGCCGTGCCCAATTTTCTAGCCTCCAATTTGGTCTGCATCTCCTGTTCACCATGACAACAACACAGAGCATGTTTTTGACCATTTCGATTTTAACTTCAACAATGACCTATTTCGAGTGAAACACAAAAAGTAGTCCTCATATGACTGCAGAACGAGGCAAATTATCTTGCAGTTCTAAAGCAGGGGAACCAAGCATTGGCCACCCATTTACTAAAACATAAAATAATTAAATTATAATAAATATAAATCAAAACAAACCCTGCATACTTTATACATAGGGGAACTACATCATTTCAAACTCATTAGAAGTTCTGCACATGATAATCGCCTACCCTTCCTGTGCTAATATAACCATCTTTTGTACAATGGTGTATTTTCATTAACACCAGCTTGTTCCTGTTTGACCTTTAAAACCATCACCATAACCGAACATTTATAAAAATGTATATACACATCTAAACCTATTTGGAGGAAAGAATAGTTCATCTTGACCTTTACTATGAATGTACACTTTCTGTTTACATCACAAATTGTATCACTCGTTATCTAATGCTAAACTCATTTCAACATCAAACTACTTTCTCTCATCTACTCCCACCACAACACCAGCATCATAAAATTCAGGACCATCCTACTTTTTACAAAGGACAAAATAAAATGACACATTACATGACTTGACAAATCATCCGAAGCACTAGTTTTATCTGCTACATCAACTAAACCACAAGTTTTATTAGTCGACTGTATTTACAGAGTTGGAAACTTTTTTTCCCCCCAGTTTAAGACTTCTCTGTCATTGCTTTGCCAAACACTCATATGCAAATTCCCAAAACATCCGCTTGAGAACAAGTTAATACTGACAAGCATTTTGAAAAAGAAAAAAAAGACCAAATTCACACATTTAAAGGGACATAGTAAAGACAAAAATAAATAAATTGGGGGCACACCGAGAGCATGCATTTTGCAGTAATGGCGCTGCCGTAATGACCACCATTTATACATAATACCGATTTAAGTTACAGCCCACACATAAAAATACAGTTTTACATTTTATAAGGCTACTTAACATCAGCTATCTCAACTAGCATATATGAGGATTCAGTTCCACCATATGGCCATATTGTGTTAAGCCCAACACTACTTCACTGTACCCCAGTATCGGTTGGTCCTACACTAATTCCAACGTGGGAGACAAACTAAATAGTGCTAAAAAAGCAAAAGTGTATTGTAATAATCTGTTGGAAGAGCATTGTGAATATATATGATGCAAAATGAATGTGATCAACGCAATTTAAAAAAAAAAATCAGCGTCAATACTAAAGTGATAGTTCTTTGATATATATACTCACAATGCATATCATATATCTGCACTATGAAAATTATAATAAAAGTGACATTACATCCAAAACCTACTGAAACATATACCTTCCTGTGGTCACCTCCAAATGGGCCTCTGAAGCTGGGTGGGACACTCCATGTTAAAGGACCACTATAGGCACCCAGACCACTTCAGCTTAATGAAGTGGTCTGGGTGCCAGGTCCACCTAGGATTAACCCTTTCTGCTGTAAACATAGCAGTTTCAGAGAAACTGCTATGTTTACAAATGGGTTAATCCAGCCTCTAGTGGCTCTCTCATTGTCAGCCGCTAGAGGCGCTTCCGCGCTTCTCACTGTGATTTTCACAGTGAGAAGATGCCAGCGTCCATAGGAAAGCATTGAGAGTGCTTTTCTATGAAACTGGCTGAATGCGCGTGCATGCGCATTCAGCCGATGACGGGGAAAGGAGGAGGAGAGTGTTTAACCCCTTCCTCTCCATCCAGCCTGGCAGGAGTGGGACCCTGAGGGTGGGGGCACCCTCAGGGCACTATTGTGCCAGGAAAACGAGTATGTTTTCCAGGCACTATAGTGGTCCTTTGAGAGAGTGTCTCCTGTTTATTTTTGTTTTGTTTTTCATTTTACAAAAAGTGCAGATTTCAACAGTAATTCAAAATGAAGTCTGGGCAGGGTTAGAAGAGGAGGGCTTGCAAAGGCTTCAGACAAGAGGACTGCAGCTTTTGCAATCTGTTTTTAGATATACCCCAAATGATAAAAAAAAGCATAAATGCATGCATTGGTGTATATTTACTAAACAGTGATGTTTACAGTTATTTAGGCAGTGGAGTGTCTTTTTAATAACAGAATTATTATAAACCTGTGTGATTACATCAGAAGTTGAATTCATATCTATCTGAATGGCCTGCTTTAGAAGTGAACGTCTGTGGCATCTAACATTTCTCTGTCCTAGAGAAAATGTTATATTGGAGAGTTTGGGGTGTAAGAGGGCACCATACATATGCACAGCAAGTCACAGTATAGCACTAACACCAAGCTTTTATATACTATAGTTAGTGTATTCACAAATGACTCGTTCTTGTTCTAACTGACTTTTATTGTTAGTCACGTGGTTACCTTAATTCTATTCCTGCAGTCACATCCCCAAACTGTTTTATGTTGTAGCAAATTTCTCAAGATTGTAATGAACAGATACTTTTTGGAGTTATCTCTGTTGATCCCTGGAGCAGGGACAAATAGGGACTGTCATGTCAGATCCAGGAATGTTGAATGTTCACCACCACATAATTTGGTAGAGACTAATCAAAAAATATTTGTATGCAACCCACCTAAGTATACACCCAGCTTTACATATGTATAGACATTACATCATAACAGATATCGCTTTAAACATTGTAATTAACCAATGATATTCTTCTCGAGTGTGGGTTTGTTCTAGAAATAGTTTTTTTTTCCCTTTACAGCAGAGTTAGATTAACTGTAATCTGTATGAAAAGGCCACTCTGTGGTGTCAGATACATTTTTTTCCTGTTGGTGAAAGCAATGCTCAGATGCTATATCTATACTAGACAAGAAAGGTTAGAGGTCATGTAGTTAACAAGGGAACCAAGTAATTTGATAGCCCGCATTACACACACATTCTACTACAACCAGTGAGGTATTTCCACTGACATTTTAATAAAAAGCCTGCATTATGGATAGACTGACATCCCTCAGGAAGCTTAGTTGCAGGTACGCTTTCACAACTTAAGAAAAGCCTCCGGAGAGATGAATTTGGGGGCCAAAGAAAGGGGAAATCCACACACTCTGCAACAGCTAAGTCTAGCTATTAGTGCTATGTGACAGACACGACCATTAAACCAACAGGGACCTTTATGACATCACACTCTAAATACATAGACATTAACATGTAGTTGGTCCCCCCTTTGCAGCTATAACAGCTTCCACTCTTCTGGCAAAATGTATCACAAGATTTTGGAGTGCTTCTTTGTGAATTTTTGCCCATTCATCCAGTAGAGCATTTGTGATGTTAGGTACTGATGTTGCAGAACTAGGGACAAGGATCATTTGTGGTAGGCTGTATGACAATAAAATACAAAGTTCTGAAGTATCTCATTTGCATACCCCTATTCAGAATTCTTAATTTAAGTATAGTAAACTGAGAACGTATAACACTACATTTAAAAACCAAAAGGGTATTTTTTGTCTGGGATGTGTATTTCTGTTCAACATTGGTCTCTCTACAGCAAACATGTCAAACTCAAAGGCTAACATGGGCCAAATAAACATTTTATGTGGGCCGCAAAAAACCCCCAAAACTTCAGTTTTCATAGAAACGTAGGTTTATTTAAATAAGTACAGTATAAAAAAAAAAAAAAAAAGTTGCCTGACACTGGACGTCCTCACGCTCATAGCGCTTTAAAGTAAAAAGAGAAAATGTATTTTAAGGAGACGTGCATTTGCATATAACCAATGTTTCAGTCCAACTACCTTGACATATTAAGAAAAGTTTGGTAATAGGACTGAAATGGTGAATGTATGCTGTTGCACGGCTGTAAAAAAAACAAATTACGTTATTTTGTTGATTTTGAGGTTCTATGAGTTTGTTCTTCACTTTGGCTGAGATCATCAAACTTGATGATCTCAGCCAATCCAATGCTTTCCCATAGGAGAGCGTTGGGAGGCTATTGTGCATGTGTGGCAAAATGCTGCATGGCCAATCAGCATTTCCATGGGGAGAGTTCAGCACCTCCATGCAATTTAATACACTGCCCCCTGCTCATTACTCTAATACACTGCCCCTCTATGGCATATGCTCCGCTGGCACCGGGAGCAGGAGGGAAGGGGGAGTGGCTGGCCTGCTTTGCAGACAGACAGTCACTCTGCTCTCTTGTGGCCGTAGGAGGGAAAACAAGAATCAGACAGGAAATATCTTTCCTGTCTAGCGGCTGTTCGCAGCCACAGCACAAAGTTTGACATGGTTGCTCTACAGTAAAAAATTTTTAGTAAACATTTTACCTATAACGTACATTATCAACTACAGATAATTTCTAGTAATCACAAAATGTCATTGCCTACATTTCCTGGCAGTATAACTCCAATATAGGTTAAGTTTCAGAAGATATATTTGACAGCACACAAACCTGAAGAGGCCTATGTATAGAGTAAATACAGTGGTTAAAGGAAACCACTGTGGGCCTCATTTGCATATTCAATCCCAGGATCCCTACCTGGGCTGTAACTACTTTGTAAATAGGAAAGGTAAACAGGGCTGCAGAATAATGTAGTTGTGTCCATTACCAAACAATTACCTACTGACCAGGGACATAATTTTATCTGGCTAGCTAGGACAGCAGGAGGGGGAGATTTTTTCTTTTTTACCAGCAGGGGGCTGTTTCTTGTTTCACTGTCTGCTTAATCAGGTCCTGCACTGCCAATAGAGGTAGTGGCTGTGGCGTGATAGATAGGCATCTGCTACCCGTTATCTATGCCTCCCTCAGAGAGGAAAGCATGAAGGAGTCCCTGACTTCTCACCACTACACATCAGCGTATGCTGTAACTATGGTCCTCCTTTCCTGCTCCCAGTGTGGGCAAAGGTGAGCTGCAGCGGAGAGGAAAGGGAGTGTAAACATTGGAAATGTTTGTGAGTATGTGATACTGTGTGTGTCTATATGATTCTGTGCCAATGTAAGTTTGTGTGTGACAAGTATATGGTGAGGTTGGTATAGTACTTGTATTGGCCTAGAGCAGCCAAAAACCTAAAGAGGTTATAGCCTATATGATATACTTTGAAGGGTTTCCCATTACCTTTCTACTCCTAATAGCTGTTTTTTTTTGTGATGTACATCCCTTTATATAAAAGCAAGAAAGAGAAAGAATTCTGACAAAGAGGGCAATATAAACTCAACTTCTTATAGGAGCAGAAAAACTAATTTATAGGTCCCCCTCCCAAGACACATACAATAACTAAACATTGCGTTTTTCCTTCAGTCCTTAGTTTCTAACATAAACTTATTTTTAAAATATACTAGGCCTTACTTTTAAACCGAAACTTCTTTTTAAAATGTCCCTGTAAAATGTAAGCTCCATTTCTTTTACAAACATAAAATAAATAATACAGGAAATATCTATTCAAACACTCTCCCCTGTCAGCTTTCTTTTTAAGGATTCTAAGGAAGAAGCTTTTTAAGAGATATGGGCTTTTTGCTGCTTAATTAGCCACACTGACTGTTCGTGAGTGATATTTACTCAAAATAACCGAAGTAGAAAAGTTGTGGATGAGAAAACATCCACTTGAACTTCTGGTAGAAAAACAAGACTGACGTCAAAGGGCCATTTACCGAGGGTAAGTGCCCCTCATCTAGCTGTTGCCAGGAGATTAGCCGGGATGGATGGGTATTCATCTAACTGCACAAAATGATACCACTCAATACATGCTTTCCATCCTACCAAAACACAACCCTTTCACTGCCAAACAATCAAAACAACAAAAGCCACTGGGCAGAAACTATTAAATTATATGAGAGGATTTGAGGCTGACATTTTATGGAGAAACAAAAACAAGACAACACAATAAACACTTTAATATACTACCCCATTTTTCTATGCCTTATAACCAGAAAATGTGCTTATTTAAAAGGTTGTACTGGTTTGAAAGCTTTATACCATTACCTTAGATATAATATATATCCTTAAGACAATTGTCAATATTATTAAATACTAATGCAAGGAAGGAATAGGACAGCGGGAGCTGTTCATTGCTGCTACACAACATACAGGACTTTAATAAATTATTCATTATTATTGGTAAGATTTTTCTAGATCCATTTATTTTGAGTCTTACTTTTGCAATGGCTGTTTTGGGAAATGGCCTGATAGGATATTATATCGAACGGTCACATTGCAGCAGAGAAGCTGTCAGGATATGGACCCCTATGCAAACACCTGTTAATGGGGCACTCTAGGCACCATAACTAATACAGCTCAGTGAAGAAGTTATGGTCCAAACAGTCTATATAAGTGGCACCACCCATTTTGTTAAACCGTTTAGGAAAGATTTGTGATAATCTAGGCTTTCTACAACACTCTTGGCCGCCTTGATTAATAATTTAAAACTTACGCATTATCAATACTGAGTCTCTCCATCCTGGGCCTATGATAGCCTGAGAGTGTAGGACTAACCTTCCCCAAGCAGACCAAAACGCTCATGGCGTGGTTCCCATATGACAAGCCAGTCCAGTTAAAATTTCCTTTTTAATAGTAAGCCACGTTGTCCGGATTAAATTGTTGTATCATTATTTTTATAGCATGACATTTTGGCAAATTAACTTTTAGTTGCAAGATTTTAATTTGTAGACACCCTATTTGAATAAATATGTTGCCATTTGGAGTGCTTCCCTACCAATGATGCACACTCTGACATAGTACGGGTTGGATCCGAATAGGAAAAGAATTATCCCCAACATGCGCAATGCACTAACAAAGTGTGTTACATGGCAAGAAGATAAAACACCTTAAGCAACGAAGGTCTGTCCATGCACAAAGCAAGAACTCAAAATCCATTCAAAGGATTTTTAGATATTAATAATTATTTAAAAGCACTATAGGCTGGGCACCGAATCCATGTTTATCTTAACACACTAAGCATCTAAGTGAGCAATTGGATTTTTATTTTATAAACTCACTTCTTTAGGAAAGCATATAAATTAAACTGTCAATAGCTTTCCATCCCTGCACCTTGGTAACCCACCCTGCTTCCTCATCTGCAACTGTGTCATCTAAAAAAAAGAAAAAAACTAACCCTTCATTGTAAAATATTCTAGTAACCTTCTTTTTCCCAGACACGAAATACATCCTACCCTTACATAATTTGTCACTTTACCCCAATCGCTCTAGAATGTAAGCTTGTTTGGGCAGGGCCCTTGAACACTTTCAGTTCCTGTGCTTCCAACTCGTCTTGTTGCAAATACATGTTTGTTAGTTTGCCTATCCCCTTAAGGACACAACTTCTGAAATAAAATGGAATCATGACGGAATATTTCCGTCATGTGTCCTTAAGGGGCTATTGTACAGAGCATGGAATTTGTTGACGCTCTATACATAATAATAATTTTGTAAGTATTGTACTTTTGAATTCCATCACAACCCTCCGTGCAATTTTTATCTGTTTGTTCTCTGTGGATTTCTTTTATATTTGTAATTACATATTTTTGTTATGCATATATTTATTTTTATGTTTTCATGTATTGCGCCAATATGTTGAGGACAATTTAAATATTGCGGCATCTCAAAGTATTTATCTACACTTTGTTTTGATAAACCCACTATATTGCCACTTTCAATTAAAACAAAAAACAAAAAAAAACAAACACAAACGTCTTCATCGCCAATAAAGAGAGGTTTGATTTGACACTACTACAGGTTGCATGTGTATTGAACAAGTTTGGAAGTTAGTATGCAGGATTAAACAGTGTAGCACAGGCAGCTTACTTCCAGGCACAAGCCTAGATAATGTTTAGACCTGGTGATTTGTCCTTGCCCTTAACATGCTCCTTCAGATTACACAGAGATTATCCATAAACCCAATAAAGTAGAGAGATCAGCCTGTCTGAAGGGAGTGCCCTTTGGAATTCCCTACTTGCAATTCTCATGTCCATGGTATATTTACATTGGCAATTTTAAATTTTGGGAATCAAACCTTAAGTCAGTATATTCAAACAAACGCCATCATCTTTTTGCAGGAGTGCTGGAATTAGCGATAACAAAACCAAAGCATTATTTGGGAGAACTCTGTTACAGAGCCAATTAATAGAGATGTAGAAAGTAAAAAGGTACCAATGGCTCCCTGATAATGAAGGCAAAGCTAGAGTGTGGCATATTCAGAATTTGATAGGGAGTAGTGAATGACGAGATAGGCATTTTTTAGACCATGTGCGATTTGTAAGGCATGATGGATGAAATAAATGGTACAGCTACTTCCATTACTTTTAGGATTGCATATGGAGCTTCTGGGAGGAACACTATAGATCCATATTCTTGGTCTATTTGTAATGTTGGCCTTGAGATAGGATTGGAGCATACAGGTGTAAATTTTATATAGGAGGGGTCTGTTTTTCAGTCACAGCTCTGATGTAAGAAGGAAGGAATGGATAGTATGAAAACACATCATTCAGGTGCAGAGAATAAAGTCAGTCAGCAAATTGAAAAGAAATCAGCTGACACACGTTTCATTATAAATATATATTCCCAAGAACAGAGCACACGGTTTAGTTAATCTGTGCTTAACCTGTTGCATCATCCTGCGGTAGTTATATCAAACAAGGAGACCTGCACTCAGGAATTTTTAAAGAGAGATATTTATAGGAGCCAAGACGTCTGGGCTCCGATGATCCCGATTCTAAAAGTTATCTTTTTTTTTTTCATAAATGTATTTCCCGGTTTCAACATCTGTTTTTGAATGTAGTTATTCTACTTTGTATAGTATTTCCTTAAAAATGAAATATTGCCTATGATTAAGTGTCTAATTAGAAACACACACGATTATTTAACTTTACTGCATTGCCTCCCCGAAGGTAATCCATTGCCAGCACCTTGTGACTGAATTATTTGCAAATTAAGTCAAAGTAGAAGAATATGAAAGTGCCTATATTTTCCTTTCCTTTTTAATGTTTCTCCCTATATTTTATGTATTTTAATTCTATTTTTAAGGGATATTAAAGGCACCAGAACCGCCACAGCTTAATATAATAGTTATGTGCAAACAGCATGTCTCTGCTGCCTCAACAGTGTAAATAAGCAGTTTTTTCTGAGAAAAGGCAGTGCTTATACTGCCACCTAAGGCCTCTTCTATGGGCTGTTACTTCTACAGCCACTACTAGAGTGACTCCCTGAGATTGGTTATGCAAAGATTGTAGGACAGACATTCTACATACCGATGCTGAATGCTCCCAAAAGGGATGCATTGACGCAATGCATCTCTGTGAGTAGACACTGATTGGTGCAATACAGCAATATGCCGCACATGTGCACTAGCCCATAGAAGGATTGGATTGGCTGAGATGATCAGGATTGGTTATCTTAGCCAAGGGAGCAGGGAATCCCACAGAGACCATGGCGACACGAGCAGACAGGTAATTTAATCTTTCTTTTAAAAAAACAGTGCACACGGGGTTGGGGATAGGTGTTAGCACTAATATAAATCATTAAATCACTATAGCTGCAGGAACATATGTTTGGATTCTCTGAAGTAGCCTCCTTTTTTCACCTAGTACATAGGATATAGATTAGGAAACTAATTAAAAGAACACTATAGCTTTAAGAATACAAATACTTTGTTGCTAGTTGGACTTGGAGTTGAAATCTGGTATTTTCTTTCTGGCAAGGGTTTTTATATGTGTGTGTTTGGCATCCTCAAATGACTCCTATTACATGAGAATCTGGCTATTTTAAAAGAGCAAAAACAAGAATAATACCAAGTTCCAGTACTCGTATGAATGTTCTTGGATCCACTTATTTCTAGTTAATATGCTATATTCTTTAAAGGCTTTGATCTGAGTAGCATAAACCCTCACCGATTTTATTATTAATAAAATGTGAAAAGGACCATAAAGAACACTGGAATAAAGGCAGCTTCCTTAGGGCAAACAGCATGGATCTTAAGTGCAGACTGCACAAGATGAGTGTGGTAGCTTCCTTGCACAAGTAGAGACAGAGGACCTCTGGAGCCACAGAACAGTACTCTGATTTCATCTCCATAGAAACTAGACAAATAGAAAATCACTTCTGTTGGTTTTTGGATGGTGTCTATACAAATATTAAACTGATCAGGCAGCATTTATTACATTACAGCAACTTTAGAATGTGGGGGGAGGGGGAGAATATATTCTGTTAAAATGTGTCATGTGCTCTGCATTTCACAAATTATACTTAATTTCCTGTTCCCTTATTGCCTAGACTAGAGCATGGATAGGCAACCTTCGGCAATCCAGATGTGAACGACATCTCCCTTAATTCATTGCCAGCATTACGGCTGTAAGAGCACAATGGTAGATGTAGTCCACATCATCTGGAGTGCCGAAGGTTACCAACCCATGGCCCAGAGGATGCCATGTCAGGTAGATCTCAGAAGCACTAGAGGAAAAGTGGGAATGGGAAAAAGTTAAATGGATGCATGTTTAAAGGGACACTGTAGCCACTAAAAGCATTTCATCTCACTGAATTTTTATAGTGCCTAGAGTCCTCTGGTGCGGTATCTTCATTAAGTGTTAAACCATTTTCAAGCAGTTTAACACTAAATAAGGGTCCCTGGCCTTCCACAGCACTGTCCTACTTGAGTTATGGCTAAGGCTGGGAACTCTCTTCTGGCATTAAAATAACAAAAATAATTTTCTCTAAATAGATGGTAGAATACTACAGCGTTAGGAATAAACATTTGTATTCCTTTCAGTTGAAAGTTAAAATCAGCTTTTATTACTATTCAAATGTATGGTACTGACCCTATAATTAACCAAGTCCATGGTACTTCTTTTATACCAATCTCAATAGGAAAAACACCTCAGTCGGCCCTGCTGGGAATCTACATTACGAGCACAAGTCACTGAGCTAATCAATCAACTTGTTAATCCTATAAAGTACCACTAAACTTTACAATGGTAAAGAAAAACATTGCGAGGGTGAATCTTACACTTAGTGTTAATACATATGCTCAGGAATACCAATGGCGATATTGTTTGTGAGATTGATAACATTTCTAAACATTATATCATTATATTTCAACCAAGGAGAGAATCCAAAAAAAATATTTTGCTGAATGTTCTAAATGCCAGTGAGGGCCAAATGTATAGCTTATTTTTGCAAGTAACAGGTTTTCTAAATTGTTAATGGTCATAACTGAAACTGCATCTCCAAATCACTAGGCTGCACAGTCAAAAATGTAAAGAATTGAGTGTTTTGATGTATTTTTTAGTACATTTTAAAAAGCAAACAATATTTTTCCACTACAACGTTCAGCCAATTTCCAACAACCATAACTGTATGTTTAATGAAACAAAACAACAACAAAAAATGCTGTTGCACTAAATGGCCACTAATTATTTACTAGAGGTTTTAATGATCATGTCCAACAAACCATGACAACATATTCAACAGGTTGAAATTCTTCCAAGAAAATCTTTCAAAGAGACAGGCAGTCTTCAGCCACGTCCAAAGCCAAAGAACACACAGCAATTTGTCTTCAAGACATTGCACTGAGCGCCACTGATCTCATTTCTCCTGGCACGGAACACTCTTGCCAAAACTCATTAACTAAAGTATTCAATTGTCATATAAAGCTGCCAAACCTACTGCCTTCCTATTTATGAAACACATGTGCAAAAAGAATTAAGATGCTTGAAACACTGCTGCTTTATAATTTGCCTTAACAGCTTCAATAATATTGATGTGGATTGTGAGATTAAGCAAGTGCTGCCAGATACCAAACCTGTAGATTATGTTTTATTTGGCTACCAAAAATTACCCTTTTTTTTATTAAACTCAATGTAATCTAAGGCATTTCTACAGAAGCTTGAAAACATCTGTGAAAACACTTCACAAAGGCTGGAATTCAGAAACAGCCACATGAGGAAGTCTCTGCCCAAGCCATATTTGAAAGCAGACATGAAGTGCTCATTGTGTCAATCTAGGCTTTTTTATACAGGCTCTTGTCTTTGCTAGCAAAGAAATATGGGGTATCTAATAACAAGGTCCTAAGAGCTTGACAGCAGAGACTCAACCGAAAATATCTAGCTTGCCATCTTAGTAAACAGCTCCTAGAATTTAATTAGCAAGCTAAACGTCCACTTATGACTGAAAATGATTTTATATTTTACGTACCAATAGTTTTCTGTAGCTCTGCTTCAATGGTAAGATATAAACATGTGTACAAAGGTGCATCTGACGTTAACACTCCAAGCACCATAAGCACTACAGTTTGCTGGCACCTCACCCCCATCATTGTAGTCAAATGGTTTAAGAATGGTTTGACTTCTTAACTGGGGTCTGCCGTGTGCCACTCCATTACCTTTCCTAAACTAATCCATGCACCATTAGTGTTTTATACCTCTCACGTATTCCTGCATTGCATTACCTTATATCTGTTAAGAATCTCAAACAGAGGGAACCATCCCTCATATATATCCCACTTTAGTACATGGTGGTGACTCTTAATACATTTGGAAAACTTGTTCTCTGTGCATGTGTAACTGCTGAATTATATCAAGAGCACCTGAGTGAGTCCCTGTCTCAAAGGCAGACAATGATTGACAGGGAACGACTACGGAGGCTCCCAGTTGTAGGATAGAAAGGTGTGGATTTCTACATTTCATTTTATTGTTTTGCACCTCTCAAATACAAATTTGCTAAATGCAGAGATAAGTAAACATAATGTTAAAAATCATAGGATGTGACAGCTTTCCTTTGAGGCAAAACAGCTGAATTTGGGCTATTCTGCTATTCTGATTTTTTCATGGCTAGCTGGGCTAAATATAAGATTAATGACATAACATTTCATATGATGATGAATGATAAGTCTTACATGTGTTAAAGAGGAGAATATGATTTGCCAAAACAATAAATGATAAAAAAAAAAAAAAATCAGCATCCCCACTTCTATTTTACAGGAACCATCTGATACAATTTAACTCCCCGCCAAGATATCATTTGATAATGTCCCAATAAAAATGCTGATGGTTGTAATTAATACATGAATCATTTAACACTGGCCACATTAGTCATTAGCAAATTGCTGCTATGAAGTTGATGTAAGATATTCACTAGATTATTTATCATAAAGTTAGATCTACCACAAATGTATTAAAACTAACTCTACAGACTGTATTACAACAGTGGATTATGCAACTAGTTCATTTATATTGTATTCACTATGTTTTCACATACTTCAGTCTTTGCTGTCCCCACCAAATGCAAAATGAAATCAAAAAGAAAAAGTACTGGGGCGGAGCCAAGCAACCAAGCAGCCCAGACGTGCCAGGAAAGAGCTCCCATGCCTGGGAACGAAAAACAGGGCATCTTACCCTAACCGGTGCCTCTCTCGAACACCAACTCCTAACGCTTGCGGCCTACCAGACGCTGAGCCCCACAGAGATGGCCGCTCTCCGGGCACAACAACGGTGACTGGGACCCCGACAAATCCCCCCCCCCCTCCCTCTCCCCCCAGGACTGGTGGAGGATATCCCGGTCCACCTACCCAGACTAAGACAACCAAGCTACGAAATACCCTTGAGTATACAGCAAATAAGCAGAAACCACAAGGCACGATCAAAATGGCAGACGGTGGCGTTACCTACTCAGACCAATAAACTCCCAGCGACTGGGCAGCAGACTTCAAAGCCAGGTTTGACGCTGCTTGCAACCGTTTCTGGACACGCCTGGAGCAGAAACATAGATCCATACCACCAACACTGGTCCATGCTGGGCCCAGCATACACAGGGAACTACAGCTTGGCAGAGGGGAGGACTCCACAAAGCGCAAGAACAGAGTGCGGCAAACAGAGACCCAAACAGGCGCGGTTCCCGACACAGGCCCACCCGGCATCGGAACCACAAGTAGTGAAACCCAAGCCACCTGTGCCAGCGGAAACACCTGTGGAGGCCCAAGAATGCAGCCCGACACAATCACAGGCGGAGACACCAGCCACAGACACGACAGCGGGGAGACTGAAGAAACAGGGGGACACTCACGCCGACAAGGATTGGCACCTGCCGTCCTGATCCTACGGGAAAAACCCTAGGACTCTCGAGACTTTTAACCTGTGGGAACAGAGCACTACTGTCCACGCAGTCCCCGAGCTGGAGGAACCAACTGCCACCAGAAGGCTTCACAGCTCCCCACAGAGAACTGAGCCTACCTGTGAGTAATGGCCCACGACAGGGCATCGGATGACCAACCGAAGCATGCACAAGACGGGCTAGCCACACTCACCGCAGCCCCAAACCCCCCCTCCCCCCCCTCAACTACAGGACTCTTGGCGTCGGAACAGCCGACACACAAAAGTAAATAGCCTAACTTCATATTGCAATACATACATGGTTATACTTGACTAGCACACTAAGCTGGATACCCTCCGCTTACCTAGGCTACACACCACAATTAACAAAAGGGTACTAGCAGCACCATACGCTGACCTCCCCACAACACATAAATGGAATATACTACCTTAGGAACTACTCCTGATACGAATCTCAGTCTGATGTTAGTAACAATAGATGTTTGCATAGCATGTTTACCTACCACTAACACCGAAGCTTTAAAGACACAACTACTTACACCTATACATCTTACATTTTGTGCACGTTAATCATTTGCCTCACTATGTAAAACGTTATGAACGCATGGGGACTGCCTTTGGGGCACCTCAGGCATGCTTGTATTTTTCTTTTGCACAACAAAAATAAGGAATTTAAAAAAAAAAATTTTTTTAAAAGTACTTCTCTCTTTCCAGAGCTGCACATGCAATTCCAAAACACCCTTAAATCTCACAATTATCTAAGAAACATCATCAGTAATAACGTTACCTCCACTATGTCAGAGTTGGTTCTGCTCTCGTGGGGTTCATTATATTCAGTGTACTTGAGGAGGACTTTGTCCATGTCCGTGCTCGCATACTGAAACAGTTTGTTAGAGCCATTGAAAATAATCAGTGCAATTTCACAGTCACAGAGTACACTCAATTCATAGGCCTTCTTCATTAACCCAAACTTCCTTTTGGTAAAGGTGACCTAATGGGAAAAAAAAAAATAACAACAGTTCTGTGGTTAGACTTGGCACGTAGTATGTAGTTTAGCTGTTACTATTAATTTCAGTAATGAATAAAACTCCAGTTTTCTATGGAGGCTGAATTATTCACAGTAAAGAACCAGGGATTCCTTTTTTTTGATTTTACAGAACTGCCCAGTTAAAAAGAGACCGTAGGTACTATAACAATTTGATCGTACTGAACTGGTTATAGTGCACTGAGATACCATGCTTCCTCATCAGACTATGTGTCATGGGTAACCCTATGCTCTGCTTTCAACTTCATCCAACCTTGGAAAATGGTTAGCACAGTGTTCCCAATTATTGCTGTTAATAAGGTGCCTCTATCAGTGAGCATCAGTCACTTTTTGGCTTGTGAGTGCACCATTCAGATTCTGCAAAGATTACTGTGAGAATATCAGATACCAAAAGGCTTTTAAAAAAAATTAAAGTGACAGTATAGTTACCAGAACAACTACAGCTTAAAGGGACACTATAGTCACCTGAACAACTTCAGCTTAATGAGGATGTTCAGGTGAGAACTATAGCTCCCTGCAGCCTTTCTCATGTAAACCCTGTATTTTCTGAGAAAATACAGTGTTTACATTGAAAACTAGGAACACCTCCAGTTGCAGTCACTCAGAGTGAACCAGAGGGACTTCGGAGTTGATGGAGGCATAATATGCCTCCATCCACTCAGATCTGCTGTCAGCAGAGCATAGGGCAGCAGTGTGCACAGCATCCTGTGATTCAGTATCTTCTCCCTCTGCATGCAGACACTGAACTTTCCTCATAGAGATTCATTGATTCATCTCTATGAGGAGATGCTGATTGGCCAGGGCTGTGTTTGAATCATGCTGGCTCTGCCCCTGATCTGCCTCTTTGTCAGTCTCAGCCAATCCTATGGGGAAGCACTGTGATTGGATCAGGCTGCCACATGTCAGCAGACTGCTTGTTTTTCTGAGTCTAACAGCATGCCGACTTACAGCTTCAGGCTTGTCACAGTAAGATTTTTAATATATTTATGGAGGCATGAGGGGCCCAGGGGGGATTGATGGTGGTGTTAACACTATAGGGTCAGGAATACATGTTTGTGTTCCTGACCCTATAGTGATCCTTTAATGTAGTTGTTATGGTGAGTATAATCACCCCCTGCAGGCATTTTCATGTAAACACTACCTTTTCAGAAAAAAAGGCAGTGTTTACATTGCCCCCTAGGGACACCTTCAGTGGCCACTCCTCAGATGGCCACTGGAGGTGCTCCCTGGGGCAGTGCTCCACAGTGTGCAAGACTGCCGTTCAGCATCTCAACACTCTGCATGGAGACACTGAAGTTTCCTCATAGAGATGCATTGAAACAATACATCTCTATGGAAAGGTGCTGATTAGCCACACTGGCATTTGACCCCACCCCTTGCCGATTTCAGCCAAGCAAGCATTGGATTGGCCAGAATCATTCAATTGGTCAATCCAATTGAATGAAGGACCGAAATCATTCAATTCTGATTACGTCAGCAAGGAGGTGGATTAATGCTGAGCCCAGCGGTGCTGGAAATAAGGTACGTTTTATTAACTTTAAGGGAGTTAAGGGGGAGCAAGCCACCTAAATGGTGGTTTTAACACTACAGGGTCAGGAATACACCTATAGTGTTCCTTTAATTTAATTGTTTTTGTATATTTTTAAACATGCAGTCTGCATACTGCCTTTAAAAAAGGGGTGGCAACACCATCCTGGAGTTTTATTTTAAAGGGACACTATAGTCACCAAAACAACTTTAGCTTAATGAAGAAGTTTTGGTGTATAGAACATGACCCTCAGCCTCACTGCTCAATTCTATTTAGGAATTAAATTACTTTGTTTATGAACACTAGTCACACCTCCCTGCATGTGACTTGCACAGCCTTCCTAAACACTTCCTGTAAAGAGTCATCTAAAGTTTATCCTTTCTTTATTGCAAGTTCTGTTTAATTTAGATTTTCTTATCCCCCGCTATATTAATAGCTTGCTAGACCCTGCAAGAACCTCCTGTATGTGATTAAAGTTCAATTTACAGAGCAAGAGATAAAATTGTTTAAGGTAAATTACATCTGATTGAAAGTGAAACCTTTTTTTTTTCATGCAGGCTGTGTCAATCAGAGTCAGAGGAGGTGTGACAAGGGCTGCATAAACAGAAACAAAGTGATTTTACTCCTAAATGGCAGAGAATTCAGCAGTAAAACCTGAAAGGCATGATCTATACACTAAAACTGCTTCATTAAATTATAGTTGTTTAGGTGACTAAAGTGTCCCTTTAAGAAAAAAAATTCACATTTGCTTCAGTATGCATCTCTCACCTGTCTGTTCCGCTCGTCCATTATCCTGGTTATCTGGATTTTCTTCCTGCCCATTGTCACTTTGTTCTTTCCCTTTGAAATCCAGAATATTATATTTATAATCCACAAAGATAGCACTCTTCCAAATCCTAACGCATGTTAGGCAGCTGGTGTTCTTACATCAGTTGGAGGCTGTACTTCTTTATGAAGAGACCTAAGTGAATAAAAATTAATGTTAAGATGCCGGTCATGCACACACAGACACAAATTTTGTGTAGTACACTTCACCGAGAGATCTAGATGGGGGGGGATATTCTCTTTTTATTTTAGAGAATTAAGGCAATCTAACTAGGCACTTCAATCACTAGAGGTTTGCTCGCAGGCAAGGAGGATGATGGGAATCTGACCTTTCCTTGGCGTACCTCCTCTCTCTCCCCCTCCTCTCTGCATCCAGTCCTTCCCATGCAGCTCTCTCTGTTAACAGCACCATCTGACAGGGGCCTGGATGAACTGTTAACGGGCTGTGGTGCCCAGCCGAGGACCTGATCAGTGATGCATATCGAGTGTCCCTAAGGACACCGGATGGGCTGTGACAGCATGCTGGCTCAAGTGCACCTGCACTGGCAGTAGTTCCACCGCTGGCCCACTTTACTTTTTGTATTGGTCTGTGTATATTGTACTGTTTATTCCCCAATTGTACAGCGTTGCTGAAATGTTGTCGCTTTTATAAATGCCAGTCATAATAACAACAGCTCAAGTCTTCTAGATCGCTTGAAATAAACAAGGTGACTAACTCTGTGTCACTGCCATGTTGACATATATATGTGCTCATGGGTAAAGCATGGGAAGTATAATGAAGCAAAGCCATTTTGAGAAGAAGCAAAAGAATGGACAAACTAATGTCAGCATGTTTTCTGCTAAATAAAATAAAGTCAAAAACCCCAATTAAAACCTGAAGAAAAACAAACAAAAAACATAAAAACGGATTCCAGATGTTTTTAAAAACTGCTCCGGCCCGTCCCTCTTTTCTCTCTTTTTTGTTTTTTGTTTTCCTATAATCAGAAAAATTAGAGTGTTTGCCCTTTATTACTGTATACTACCATCTTCGATAGTTTGATTTGTATCTTTGATGACATATCAATATGTGTACAACTTCTGCAAACATTCTCAATAAAAATTTAGACAGGAACTCTACTCACAAACCTAAGCAGTAAGACAGATAATGTTACTTTAGAAAAGGTCTACATCTAACAACAACAACAGAAAATAATGTGGTATTTTTGTGTTGAAAGTGGAACTCCATATGGTGATAAATAATAATGTGAAAATGTTATTTATTATAAATATGGTATATTTTCTAAATTTTATTCAACATCTAATTATAGTGCTATCCAATACATAAGTGCAGGGTACTAATTTTGCTGTAAAATTATTCTCTCTCACTGGGAGACATTTACTATGGCAATGCCTGTTACTGCGGGTACAAAGTGTTAACTGTTGAGAGACATCCTATTGTTTTCCCACAGTGACTGCTTCTTATTTGGCTCTTGCAATGATAGTGAGAACTGCCCACATTTACCCAGGCTAAGTAGCCTCATCCTATCAATTCAGTAAGCCGATGCAATACATCAAACTTTTAGCCACTGTAAGGAAGGCATAGTGACCCATATACCTTTAGGTGAACTGTGGACACTGCACAAAAATAAATAAATGACAAAAGATCTAAAATAGAATTATGCACATGATGATAAACCACACACACACACACACACACACACACACACACAGCCTCGGACAACTTGAATGTTGGCATAAAGCAGTTTTACAGAATTCACGGTTTTTAGAAAGGGACCCAATCTATAGAACTGCATTCACAGAAATGCTGTTCCACTATGACTCTCAACAACCCTCTTCCAGCTATCAAGATTTAAGAGAGTTATAGTTTAGAAACGTCTGGACAGCAGCCATTTGTGGCCCCATGTAGAAATCATTTTGACAAAATAGAACATTTTGTGGCACATACTGGTGGTATACTCTTCCTGTACACATATGCAGACATGTGGCAGTTTTTACTCTACGCACATGATATGGCTTTCAGATATAAACTATGGACCTCCCAACAGCTGGATACAGCTGAAACATACTTTCTTCTCATGTTCCTTTGCTCCCTAGAAGGATGATGCATTGAGGTAACCCCCAAAGTAGAAGCAGGAAGCGAAAATTGGCATACTTCATCAGTTCATTTGCATGTTGCTGCCTAGAATTATTTATCATGCAAAATGTGTGGTGTTTAGCAGACTGTAAGCAGATGTAAAAGCTGTGGGAGGCATGTGGACAGAGTCTGGTGAGAAATGATTTCACATTGTGTTCTTCATTTAACCTTTTCAGGGCCAATAACAAGCTGGTTACAAGGTTGTTCATCATTTTATGACAACAGGATAAAAAGCTAGCCAAGCTAACTCAATACATAAACTAGCTGATGGAGTAGATCCATGCTCTGTGAGACCTGTTTAAGTAGAGGAGATTTTTTTTTTTTTTTTAATTATAAATTACATTCCACAATACTCACCTTGATAAACAATCCCATGGCATAGATGTATCTCATGACAGAGAACCCTGAATTATGGGAAAAAAAGACTGCCAATGGGGTGTTCTGGAGACAACACAATTACTTGACTTACAAATGTCTCCAGAACCTCAATATGATATAACATTTAGAAACATAGAATGTGACGGCAGATAAGAACCATTCGGCCCATCTAGTCTGCCCAATTTTCTAAAAACTTTCATTAGTCCCTAGCCTTATCTTATAGTTAGGATAGCCTTATGCCTATCCCATGCATGCTTAAACTCCTTTACTGTGTTAACCTCTACCACTTCAGCTGGAAGGCTATTCCATGCATCCACTACCCTCTCAGTAAAGTAATACTTCCTGATATTATTTTTAAACCTTTGTCCCTCTAATTTAAGACTATGTCCTCTTGTTGTGGTAGTTTTTCTTCTTTTAAATATAGTCTCCTCCTTTACTGTGTTGATTCCCTTTATATATTTAAATGTTTCTATCATATCCCCCCTGTCTCGTCTTTCCTCCAAGCTATACATGTTAAGATCCTTTAACCTTTCCTGGTAAGTTTTATCCCGCAATCCATGAACCAGTTTAGTAGCCCTTCTCTGAACCCTCTCTAAGGTATCAATATCCTTCTGAAGATACGGTCTCCAGTACTGTGTACAATACTCCAAGTGAGGTCTCACCAGTGTTCTGTACAATGGCATGAGCACTTCCCTCTTTCTACTGCTAATACCTCTCCCTATACAACCAAGCATTCTGCTAGCATTTCCTGCTGCTCTATTACATTGTCTGCCTACCTTTAAGTCATCAGAAATAATCACCCTAAATCCCTTTCCTCATATGTTGAGGTTAGGACTCTATCAAATATTCTGTACTCTGCCCTTGGGTTTTTACATCCAAGATGCATTATCTTGCGCTTATCCACATTAAATGTCAGTTGCCACAATTCTGACCATTTTTCTAGTTTACCTAAATCATTTGTCATTTGGCTTATCCCTCCTGGAACATCAACCCTGTTACATATCTTAGTATCATCACCCTAAAACACACTTTACATGTATCTTATATATTACCTTTAAAGTGATACTAAAGTGCTAGGAATATAAAGTTGTATTCTTAGCACTACAGCTCCCTCGCGGCCCCACCTCCCACACTGTAAGGGTTAATAAACCCTTACTGTTCTTACCCGATCCCAGCACCGATCACCCACGGTGCTGGGGTTGGTGCTCCACCCCCTCCGTCATCACCGGACCGGGGGGTCTAATGTGCACGCATTGCTTTCCTATGGTGAATTGACTGACGCTGGATGTCTTCATGCCAAGCGCGAGGACGTCCAGCATCAGTTAGGCGACCAAAAGTCATCTAACCACCGGAAGTGCCTCTAGTGGCTGTCTGATTGACAGCCACTAGAGGCAGTCTTAAACCTGCAAGGTAATTATTGCAGTTTACTGCAATAATTACCATAGCAAGGTTAAGGGGACGGGTTCACTGCAGCCAGACCACTTCAATGAGCACCCAGACCACTTCAATGAGCTGACGTGGTCTGGGTGCCTATAGTCCCCCTTTAACTATAGAGCTTAAGTGGAGATGTTTAGGGGTGATTATTTCTGATTTAGGGGTGATTATTTCTGATGACTTAAAGGTAGGCAGACAATGTAATAGAGCAGCAGGAAATGCTAGCAGAATGCTTGGTTGTATAGGGAGAGGTATTAGCAGTAGAAAGAGGAAGTGCTCATGCCATTATACAGAACACTGGTGAGACCTCACTTGGAGTATTGTACACAGTACTGGAGACGTATCTTCAGAAGGATATTGATACCTTAGAGAGGGTTCAGAGAAGGGCTACTAAACTGGTTCATGGATTGCGGGATAAAACTTACCAGGAAAGGTTAAAGGATCTTAACATGTATAGCTTGGAGGAAAGACGAGACAGGGGATATGATAGAAACATTTAAATATATAAAGGGAATCAACACAGTAAAGGAGGAGACTATATTTAAAAGAAGAAAAACTACCACAAGAGGACATAGTCTTAAATTAGAGGGACAAAGGTTTAAAAATAATATCAGGAAGTATTACTTTACTGAGAGGGTAGTGGATGCATGGAATAACCTTCCAGCTGAAGTGGTAGAGGTTAACACAGTAAAGGAGTTTAAGCATGCATGGGATAGGCATAAGGCTATCCTAACTATAAGATAAGGCTAGGGACTAATGAAAGTTTTTAGAAAATTGGGCAGACTAGATGGGCCGAATGGTTCTTATCTGCCGTCACATTCTATGTTTCTATGTTTCTATGTTTATTGTCTCAGTGTTCTTTTATATTAGTAGGAGTTAGAGTCCCAGCAAACATCTATTCCAGTTGCCTGATGGACAGCTACCAATTTGGAGTGTAACTTGTAGTTTGGGCATAATGTGACAGGTATATCCCAGTTCAGCCTGAGAGAATTTCTCTGCAACAGAAAAGAGGTAGCCCATCTGTTCATTACAGTGAAGAATACAGCTGACAGCACCATCCACAAAGTACAGGATTTGAAATCACCTGCCCATTGAAATGTACTTATGAAGATGTATATGTCTCATGTCACTAAAGATGTTTTTGTGTACATTTATACATACCATACCTTTACAAACTGGGATGTAAATCATTTAGTCATCACCATACAGGTTGACTGTAAAAGGATATAAAGGACATTATTGTCTTATTTACTGAAATCTCCAGTCCCAAACCAAACTGATATCATAAAGTAGCCTTTTAAAGGAAAACTGAGAGCAAGCATCTGCTTCGTATTTAATCATTCAAGCTCTTGTGCCAAACAGTGCCATTCTGCGGATGCATGCAGTGATTACACGATTTTTCAACTTAATTGGATGAAACCATTTATGATTTCTACAAATTTGTTTAAGCAACACGGGGAAGAAGTTACAGCCATAATGCTAGCAAAGCATCAAGGGAGATGTTGTCCACAACATCTGGAGGGTTGAAGGTTGCCCAACCCTGTTTTTACTCAATAACTGGGCCTATGAAACCCGTGTGTTTTTTTGTTTGTTTTTTAAATATGGAGTTCCCCATTAAACTCACAAGTACCCCTAGTTAACACGATGAAGCAACAACACTCCAAGTACTGATTTATTTGCATCATTTCACAGATTCCACTTTTTGACAAATTCCAAAGCCTTACTGAGAAATTGTTAAGGTTTATAATCACAGACTTGCCAGTTTTCACACATACACTAACAAGCCAATTAACAGTTCTACATTTTTGCTTCTGTCAAAATCCTCTCAAGAAGGTATAAAACATTCAAACAGAAAATTATTTAAAGGACCACTATAGTCACCCAGACCACTCCAGCTCAATGAAGTGGTCTGGGTGCCAGGTCCCCCAGATTTTAACCCTGCATCTGTAAACATAGCAGTTTCAGAGAAATCGCATTGAGCACGCAGAACGTCCATTGGAAAGCATTGAGAAATGCTTTCCTATGAGCGTTTTCAATTCGGCTCCACACGGGAGTGGACGTAGGAGGAGGGGGGAGAGGTCACCAGTGCCGAGGTAGCCCAGCGCTGCATAAAGGTAAGTGGCTGAAGGGGTTTTAACCCCTTCAGCCCAGCGGGAGGGGGGCACTGGGGGAGGGGGGAACCTAAGGATTATATAGTCTCAGGAAAACGAGTTTGTTTTCCTGACACTATAGTGATCCTTTAATATACATAAGAGCAAGATTATGAGCGCATTAGAGCAAAAGCTTTGAAATATTTACAGTGTTCGGCATAATCTTAACTTTTTTTAAAAAAAAATTTTTGTATTTGTTTTTTAGGACCAGTTTGGCCACCATAACTACTTCATCAACATAAAGTTGTCATGTTGCCAGGAGGTCCCTGGTGCTGGCTCACCTTTATGGGTTAACCTGTTCAAAAAAGTTTAACCACAAAGTGTGTGTTCCAGTGCAGGACAGCTCTGAAATCCTAGATTATGGAAGGCTAGTGCAGCATTGGGCAGGGGTGCAACTGTCTGGCTTGGAGTGGTTAGCTAATTCAGCAACATCTGGAGGGCCATAGTTTGTAAAATCCTGCTCTAAGCCATTCAGTAGCTCCGGTTTTAAATAAAACAGTAGATACCTTTTTTTATGAATGGGAAGCTAGTGATTGGCTTAGAGCGTCTAAAGATTTTGATGAAGTTGTTATAGTGCTCGGAGTTGTCCTTTAGCCCGTTACTTCATAACCTTGTTGCAGTGCAACTCCCAACCCCCTTGTGTTTCCTTTTAAGGTTTAATTAGTGGATGTTAAAGAAAAATCAATTCCATTTCACCAGAGATTATTTTTCTTTGGCCGCAGTCTGGGTAACATTGTGCTCAACGAAGCATAGGCTGCCGCTATATAAATACCAATAATAATAATAATCATCAGTTTGCCTTGTTTTTGTCAGTTGAGCTTACATAACCATGCAGAGCTACTAAAATTTATTTGATTTAGAAATGATGTACATAGGCATGATTCACAGGTAGCAGATTTTTTTTAGTCTAGATTCAACTGCTTTGTTTATTTCTCTCCAATGATCAGAGATGCATTTTAGAAATGGTTGGTTGTTTTTTTTCTATCTCCTGCAACAAATGCTAAAAACCTGCTTCACAACAGAATTGTATTTCCTGCAATGGGCTGAAGCATTCCTTTAAGCAAACTCAATTTATAAAAAGTTGCTTTAACATCCCATATATGAACACAGGGGAATAAATATATAGTATTGTATGAATTAGTTTCTCATGGTACGTGATCGTCTGTTGCTGGTGAAGTGTGACAAGTTCCATTCGAGGAAAGCGATTTTGAGATAGCGAAGAGCGTTTACTGTACATGAACAAAAGAAAGCCATAGATTGCTGACTTTAAATGTACCAGAACTTACTATGACAACCTCAATGCAAGTGGCAGTCATAAAATGGAATAAACATCTGAGGTTTTGTAGCTTTCAAGATAAACATTATGTTCCGAAGACAACAATGCTCAGAATACAAAATGCAATACTCAATACATTACCATGAAATCTAGAAAAGTGAAAGACACTATTTATATGAAAAGTGACCACAGGAGGTTCTCTGTGAAGAAGCTGAAAGAGACTTTAATGATGAACTCCATTCAGCACATCTATGACAGTGCTCTTTCACTTCTGAGATGGCTCTCCACATTTTCTTCCTTCCTTCTCCCACACAGACACTTATTAAACTTTGAAGAATTAAATTTTCCGCCTGTCTGATGCTTATTCATTTTGTTCCAACACACGTACGTGGGCTGGGATACCACGATATGGCAACTCCCTATAATTATCACAGTAACTTCAAAACACAAAAAGCCTCTAGTTGGAAATGTTAGGTGAAAGGTCTTCCCCTGTAGATTTACTCCTCACACTTACTACTTTTAGAAACACACATCCTGTGTTTGCAAAACTTTTTTTAAAGATTTGCTTTCAGAAAAATACCAATCCTAATTAAATAGTACAGACAGTACAGAAATTGGTGAATGGGCTCAGTCATTTTAAAGGACCAGATGAGTATGTGCACATGGACATTTAACACGTTATTAGATTGGGTATGCCAATTAAACAAGGTGAATCTAAACCTTGTTGCAGATGAAAAAGACAGGAACAAGGCACTGTATAGGACAAATTCCACATCCTATAGTACCGTGGAAATAAGCAATGCAAGCCATAGATGAAGCTAGCATCCACTTGTGCAATGCACAATACATAACTAGGCATCCCATTGCTCACGAGAAAGATCATCTATGAGGTACTCTGTGGATTTGTGGGATCTACCTGTATTGTAGTCTTGTCTTCCGTCTCCTAACAGATGAGGACGCCAAGTACACACCTCACAAATATCAAAAAGGGACACTATGATGATGACCGCCAAACTGACCAATAGCTATTTGTTGATTAATAAGAACAATACAAAGAAAAAGAAAAAGGTCTGTAAGAAAACACTTTGCTAAAGACAAATGTGTGGTAATTACCATGAAGTTCTTTGATATTGTCACACACTACCAACAACACAAACTCCTAGGAAAGTGCATGATAATATTATGGTTCCCAAGAAGAACTAGAAGATGGCACACTGGTGTAGTTTAAAGTGTAACGTTCAAATTTTTAATCTCAGCCCTGTAAACACTGTTGAAGTATTTACTCCTGTGAGGTGTGCATCAGAGATAAATACAAAACACAATGATCTCCACTACACTTCTGGGTGATCTACACCATCCTCTTCTTACAATGCCTTGTGACTCCATGCACACTGGCTGGGTTACTCAAAATACAAGCAAAAATATACCAGGACAACAAAACAGGGGAGGTGTATGCAGTTAGACAGCAAAATTCTGAATTTACTCAAGACCATATTGGCAGATTAGTGCAATGGTAACATAACTGCCTTAGAACTAGAAAACCCATGTTCAAGTGAGCAAGACACCAAACAATATACATCCGTCTACTTTAAATGCTCATAGATTGTACACTCATATGAGGTAGACAGATATATATTTATATATATATATATATATATATATATATATATATGCGTCTTGCCCAAGAACTCTTACTGTTAATGTCAACCAGGTTACCTCTGGGGCCTTCTTCACCTCTAAATAGCCCATTTCTATAACTTTAAAGCACTACAGAATATGTTGGTAATTTATAAATGCTAATAATAAATACGATTTAACAATACAAGTGAAAGGCTGGAATCTGGAGCCAATGATGGAAATGAAATGCTAATTGTAGCTTTCTGCCTACAAATTTATTACAACTGATGTTATAGCAGATACTATCTGGTACAGAACAAGGTGTATTCATTTGGCTGAAATAACTGAATTTCAACCTGATTTGCCTTGTAAATATGATTAAATACAGCCATTTTCAAGAGAGGTTTGCTAATCTGGGCTGCCTTGGGTCCTTTATAAAATACTCTGTAGGCGTCTACTTGGCATAATGCCATAAGTGCTCACATATCAGGTGCACTGAATCATAGGGAGAAGATTTTGTTTCATTTGATGCCAGTCTGTTTTTGCATTTAATGCAAATGAAAAACTAGCGACTTAAAAACAAATTGGTATTTTCTGTGGTGGGGGGAGAGGGGAGATATATTTATTTAGCCTAACTTTTTCTTATCTCGTCAATTCCGCAACTTTCAGTTTAGTTTTAAACCCCAGGTTACAGTGAGGTTCATATAATTGGCCATAGGAAAACTAATTACAATACAAATAAAAAATAATAATATTAATATTAATATTCAAGCTCTATAGACATGGTTTTATCACTCGGGGCCATCTATTCTTAGATGCAGAAAAGGTGTTTGCTTGGTCTCGGTCATGTCACCTTTTACTGACAGCTTTTATTAAAACAATGATGGCACTATTTAACAGACCTACCACAGTTGTGTCCACAGGGGGATACACCACATATGCAGCCTCTCCCAACAACCAAAGCTGTGTTAGATTGTTGGGACAAATACAGGGATAAGCTTTTAATTTGAACCAACTATCCAGGGCCATGCAGAGCACAGGCCATAGGTCAGCGGAGATGCCACTGTAAAACTTTCAAAAGATGTGTTTAGGAGCTCTTCATGGTAAGAAAAAAAAAAAAAACTATTAATATGTTACCAGGCCTTAAATACACATGAACCCTTTGCACTATGCTCACATGCGAAGGAATGGTCGAAAGACTGTGGGGAAGACATACATGAACCCAGGGAGGGAGATCTTCACGGCGCTCAGTGGAATATCACATAGCTCATCACACCTTGAGCTCCATAGGAAAATCATCCTGCGCTGTTACATGGTTCCGGTTAGACTGACACGCATGTTTTTTGGGTGCTCGCCACTCTGCTGGAGATGTGGGGAAAAGAGGGGATCTATGATCAACATATGGTGGAGGTGCCAATGTCTATTGGGAATGTGGGAAGAGATCCAATCTCTCATAACTTAAGTAACTGGGATTACGATACCCTTACAACCTAAAGACATGTTACTACTGCTTATGCCTAATCATATAGCATGGTAACATAGTGGTAGCAACACACACCCTATTTGCTACTTTATTCCTTAAAGCAGGATAGCAGGGCTCACAAAATGCCAGGCGCCAGGTCGCCATGGCACCTAGAAATTTCGACCTGGTGCCTAGGATGTTGGTCTTTTAAGGCAGCCGCCCATGGTAGCATGTGAGCTGGCCGCCCACAGGAGCAATGTAGGTGGCATGTGAGAGAGCAGTAATATAACTGCAGGTCCTCTCTGCTCCCTTGCGCTGTTTAATGAGGAAGCCGACCTGGCAGAGCTATCATCAGTGCAGCCTGATCTGCTGGAAGAGGTCCTCAGAGACCCCAGTCAAGCTTTGGCAACTGGATCTTAAGTGCTCCAGGGTCCCTGGTAGCAGCAAGGAAGCTGACCTGGAAGAGGTACTCCGTCACAAGCTTCACGGTGTTATTGTGTCAGTCTTGTGTATCCTGGCAACACTTCAATTAAGAAAACCACAAAGAAAGCTAAAACAGCATAAATACACAAAAAACATCTGGAATGTAAACAGATGTCAATCTTTGCTTTACAAGTATGCAATACTATCTTTCGGTTTCGTTTTTCTTTAACCATGTTCAGGACACAGAGATTAGAGAGGACAGGGACACAATGAAATCAGCAAAGTCTAGGAGTGGCAAAACCAAACTTGCACTAAACTTGCAACCTCGGCAAGGCAGTGATCAACAAATATTCACAAGAGAAACTGTGTTAACTTGCTAAGGTGCCTTTAGGGAAAACAGCTGAGTATCGAGCAATTTCTGCCATGCTAGCACTCCCAAATTAAAGATTCCTGTAACTGCCTTCAGTACAGTAGGATTAATCGACAGACAATTGTTGGAAAAAAGGATGTGCTTTTAGGTTTTTGAGAAGTGGAGTATTTATACAAACACCTATTGGAGCAGCAGTTCTGTACTGAATCCCACATACATTTCCCTAAAAAGGTGCAAAATCTACAGACAGATCTATGACTAAGCAAACACTGAAGCGACAACAGCTGTTTAACTTCCAGGAATTGACTTTCTCAAGACAACAGCAAAAGTCAAGTCCATAATTAACAATGAACAATTATTTTCTCAGGAAGAGCAAAACTTGGAAGGTCAACGAGGTGCTCAGTGCAGACAGTGTATATCTAGCTTTACCACCAGGATCAGAGATTGTCTATATCAGAATTTCCTAATAACTATCAAAACAGATGTAAGTTCCTCGGTCTTTGAAGAAGTAGACAGACAGGAGAATATAATCAAGACAGTTCCATGCCACAAAAAAAAAAAAAAAGCCTGAAAAAAAAAAAAAGAATTAATCACATATATAACTTTCAGAATCCATAATCCTTATATAGCCACATAGCTGCCTAAGCGTCACAGAAGCTGTAGTCTACACCAACGTCGTAAACGTTAGTCATCACTGATCTGGGTTCTAGGAGCAGGCAGAGTTATATCACAATATACTGTGAGATTTTAGGCATATCTCTGCACATTACATATAAACATAAAACGAACACATACGCACAGTGTGGAGGAGCAGATGTTTGACCCTCTGGGTATTTTAGCACTCGTTACTATACGCAAAGCAAGTACGGGCATGACTGGCACGTGGCTGTCTATTGGGAAACAATCTAAGTGAGATCATAAATCATTTATGTACTAGTAGACATACTTGAACTTACCTATAAACATATGTGCTTTTATTATTTTTTAATTTTTAATTTTTTTTAAACACAGTTTAATTTGCATAACACTAAAGAGCTTTCAGTACCCAAGGCCGTTAAAGAAATATTATCCTTCAGATTTGTGAAATGGTTTCCCGTATATTCTCTCACTACCTTCCAGAGTAACTAAATTATAGGGCAGGGAGATCTAATCACACACACCAATTTCTTCTCACATAACGATGACATGATTAATCATACACATGCAGTTTGCTAATGGATATAGAGCTCATGTTTCACTCTATTTTCCAGTATGTACAGGGGTAAAAAAAAATAAAAAAAAAAATAAAGCAGTCACTGGCAATCACACATTATTAAATGCAGTGTGAAAAACAAAATATTAAAAATATAAAAACAGACAAAATAAATTACTGCCAATACTAAGCATTTTTTTGTGGTGATGTTAGTTTGTTTTGGGGCCTCAATGGGTCTAAATCCCATTCATCCTATGCATGCATGGCAGACTTCATTAGTGTGTGCACAATCATTTTTGGTTTGTTTATTTTCTATAAAACTAGAATTTAACTATTTTCCTAAATTCCTAGCTACAATTTACTTAAAGGAACACTTGAAACATCATAATCACTGTAGTGATTTTGTTGTAGTAAATACATTTAGTAATGGTTTAAGTTCTTACCTGCGGTCTGACAGGCAGAGCTCTTTGTCTCCCCTCCTCTCAGCCACAAGCTCGCTGCAGTGCAGAGCTTAGCTTACTGGCAGAGAGCGAATATATTTTCAGAAATACTAGTTTGGCCAAATCGTGCAAAAGGCTAACCTATACCTTTTAGCCAGTGCCCTTCATGGTTTTTAATGACTGAAACCAGTTGCTGCGGAGACTGTTTCATCTTCCAGATAACAGCAGACCAAGTAAGAGACACGCTATTTTGATGGAAAATTGAAGGATTGCATTCAAACATGCAGTGCTTATGGTGCTTAGAGTGCTCCATGATGCGTCATGAAGCAAACATAGCTTGAAAAGAAAGTGATGGAAACAAATGTAAAACATTTTATGAGTACGTTTATTGCTTTATTACTCATACAATGAAGAGATAACCTGGGGCCATACTATAAAAGCAAATGGCTCCACCTATGAGGCGTATTTCAGTTATACATAACTAAAAGAACAGCGGCAAGGGACATTGCACTTTAACTGATTATAAGATAAATGTATAATGGCTATCTCTTTAAGTCCCTCTTTGATGGCTAATCTCTAGTATGGCAGGTGATGTGTAGTATGCGTCACGAAATTCTTAGCTAGCTAAAACCAAGGCATTATTGCCTTAAAGTGACAATCCAGACAGGTGCAATACTACATCCAATATAGTCATCCTAACTTTTTATTGCTCTTTAGAACAAACAGCCTATATGTTCCATTGCCAGGAAGACACAAGATTGTGCTGCAAGTGCTACAGTTAAAGTACACAAATACAGTACAAGTAAACCTTATGTACAAGAATTATGTCACAGCTTGTTCACTTTCATTACCCCTCTAGATCATGCTTTATTCAAAATGATCACACAGCTGTACAGGTGCCATATATGACGTACATTTACATTGCCAGGACACAACTCATTATTTAACCCCTGGAGCCTTTACAAGTCAACCCTGATAATTATAGATCTGAAGCATTTGGAAAATACAAATTGTGTTTCAATTTGCAGCCAAATCCAAGAAATACAGATCTCCCTCCTTAAAGATATATAGCCCACAGGAGTGGTTATAAGCCCAGGAGTAGCCTGGTATCATTTCCCATTAATGGTGCAAACCATTTTTCAACAGTGTGTCCCATTACTCGGGTCCTGCTGGCCACAGAGGGTCCCTTTGGGCTGGCTGTGACAGCTCATCACTCTCAGCCAATGACATTTGGTGCATAGAAATATGAACAAAATTAACATTGACTAAACACACCAATGACGCTGCCGGAAATCTCATAAAAACAATTCACATTCAAATCACTGAAGTGGTCATGGTGCTTGGAATGAACCTTTAACCTAGCAGACTGAACAAAACAACATCACACACAAATCTTCTATTAAATTAATCTGTGACATTTAAGATTTTTGCTTTAAAAAACAAACAAACGTTTGTATCCAGTCCTCAAAAGATATATGCAATGTCCTGCTTATTTAGCTTTGGCTGCTCCACCTAGCCCTGGTGTTATAAATTTGGTAGGTAATTATATATTGGAATTAAGAAACATGATAAAATATTAGGGTATTAGCGTGGGATCATATTTCACCTATGCAAACTCCCTGCTTCAATCACTTCTCTCAACCTCTCCTTCCAGACTACAAAGTCATTACATCACCGATAAAGAAGTTAATGAACGTGAATAATACTGTAAATCAGGCTGTGATGGCTTCCCCACATTGAGATAAGCTCATGTTAAAATGGTGATACTGCTTTAATTATTTCCAGAAAAGAAAGCCATTTGACATTTAACAGGAAACATTATATATATATATTTTTTTTTTTTCATAAATATTCCTAAGTGTGCTGTTCTTATTTGTATCCATGAGAACCGAAACTTTAAATCTGTTGTAAATAGACGTTAAGTGATATGCCCACCTACAGATTCTGCAACAGATTCCTACCTTTCTTTATAGATGGGCACTCCTATTCTTCATTCTGAGCAGCCAGAAGGTAGATTAAACATACCAGCGATCACACTGTCCAGTTGTAAATGTAAAGTAAGGGCTTTTTTTGTTCTGTGGGGGGCTCTATTTTACCAGTGAGAGATTTTATAATCACGTGGTCTAAGCACCCAGTCAACCTTTGGCCAGTCCACTTAAAGTCCAAGAATGATAAACTACGTTCTTCGTGCTTATACTGCACTTTGCTACCTAAGCTGGAGTTGAAAGGAGTAGCATTCTTTTTAAAAGTCTTGCTTTATATTGATTGATAACATACACTGATAAATAAATCATAACATTTGCTATTATATTTAATTGCCTTAATTTGTTATCATGGCGACATGGAGCCCGCACATACAACTCTAAACAGATTACGTTAAGATTGTCGTGTCAATGACTGCCTTAAATCTAATTGAGCAGCATTACTTTGATGAACAATAAAATGTTTTTCTGCAATACACACACCACTGTTACAATGGGATTCCAATACACTACACATTACCAGCTATATGGTGTCATCTCTAACAGCCAGGTAGATATACACAAAGATGATGGATTTATGTTTTTTTTTGTTTTGTTTATATAAATCAAAGTAAAGATAAAAAGAAAGACTTTAAAAAAAAAATAAAAAAAAGATCATCCATTATTAATAATTTCTTTTAGAGGCAAATGAAAATAAAAATAAAAACAGAAGTTTAATAAATCAAACAAACAAAACAAAACAAAAAAAAATGTGGCAATATGGTATTAACTGGACAACATCTACCGTATATACTAGTGTATAAGTCGAGAAATTTTAATTGCAAACTTCATTTTAAAACGCAGAGTCGATTTATCCACGGGTCAGTGCTAGTGTCGATATAATTTCAACTCCCGAACGCCGTTCTCCTAAGTCACTTTACAATAGCAATGTTCCTTTAAAAATAACTGAGTTGCCCAACTAAGCAATAATTTAATTTGAATTGATAATGCTGGCATTTAAAACACCAGGCAGGTGTGCCACTTGAAGCACAGAGCCCAGCTGGAAATACAAACAGCAATTCATGCATGGAAATATTACCAGTTAAGGGTCTCAATTTTGTCCTAATTTCACACTGCACACAATCAACACACAGCAAAACCAACACACAGCTTCTCTGTGTAATAGTACTATACTGTGTTTTGGGTCTTTGTTTACAATATTTTTCATTTACATCCACAGGTGCCAGTACAGCAATACATAGATGGTTACGGTGAGATGGAAACTACATGTTTCTTCTGGACTGAAAAGGATTCATTTTGTAATAGAAGATTCAAAACATCATGACCCCATTAGTGCATCCCTCTGGAATACAAGGCTGGTTATCATTGCCCCCACTTCTCCCCCATACACACATTGCCCCCACTTCTCCCCCATACACACACTGCCCCCACTGTACCCCCATACACACATTGTCCCCACTGCCCTCCCATACACACACTGTCCCCACTGTACCCCCATACCCACACCGCCCCCAGATAATGCACCCCCATACACACTGCCCCCACTGAACCCCCATACCGTTCATGCATATATACAGGTATGCCATGCCAGTCACTCAGTCAGAAAATAACACAGCCAGATACACCATCAGATACACACTGTGACTGTATATCTGTTTCTGTCAATGTGTATCTCTGTGCCTCACTGTGTTTGTGTGTGTGTGCGCGTGTGCATGTATATAGCTGTGTTTAAATACATATGTGTATCAGTGTGTTATGTGTGTGCACCTAAAACAGCAACATTGATGCAATGTGAGGACTATGTGGCAATATAGACATTAGAAAAAGGGATATTTTTTCGCAAACCACTTGGTAGTGAAGGGGGTTAAAATATTTCCCTTTAATGAGAAACCCATATGAAATACAAAACCTCATACACAAACAGAAATACATATAATAAATCAGTTCAGTTTTTTGTTCTCATACCCTGTCCTTATTTGCCACAAACCTTGTTTGCTATGCACATGGACACACTTAGGTCAGTATAAACAAGAGGCTAATGAAGCAGAATAGTCTGCAGCCAAACAAGGATGTTCCCGGCAGTAAGGTGCTGACTGGTTTATGTGCTCGCATGACTTTTACCAATTTATCTAGTGGTAGCATCACTTTATAATGGATCGCTGGGAATAAGGGAGTTTCAGCAGTCTTCGGATTACATTGCATTGACTCTGTTAAAGCACCAGGTTTTATTTCTAAATTCCATTTTATGGTCTACATTGTGAATAACACCATGAGACACACTGGTTTGAAGGAACACTATAGGGTCAGGAACACAAACATGTATCCCTGACCATATAGTGTTAAAATCATGATCTAGCTTCCCCCCCCCGCCCCCTCCTCTGGCCTCCGTAAATAAGTCTGAGCTTTTTTTGAGCAGGGTCCTCAACTTGTTCCTGTTACACTTTGTTATTGTCTCATTTGGTCAATTCCCCTTTTAAGCGCTGCAGAATAAGCTGGCGCTATATAAATAATAATAATAATAATAAAATCTTACTTTTATTCAAGTCTGCAGCTGCTGCCTCTGTCCCTAATCTGCCTGCTTGACTGACATCTTGAGAAGAGATTCAATGCTTTCCCATAGGATTGGCTGAGACTGTCAAGGAGGCAGATCAGGGCAGAGCCGCACAAGTCAAACACAGCCCTGGCCAATCCGCATCTCCTCATAGAGATGCATTGAATTAATGTATCTCTATGAGGAAAGTTGATTGTCTCCATGCCCCGGGTGGAGACACTAAATGGCAGTGCTGCACCGCATATTCTCTGAAAAGACAGTGTTTACTGCAAAAACGCCTGAAGGGAATGATTCTACTCACCAGAACAAATACAATAAGCTGTAGGTGTTTTGGGGACTATAGTGTCCCTTTAAAGCGGCACTGTCATGCCGAACTTACCTTTCCTCAATCTCTTCCTCTTCTCCCCCTCTCTCAGGATCTGTTCTTATTTTCTTCCTATCTTCTTTAGTTTTCTTTAAAATCATAAGACAAAGTAGGGACTCTTTGCCTTATGGAGGATTCCTCCGTTTGGCCAGCTCTGACCAGCGGAGGAGCAAAGTGTGCTTAATTTCCGCTGGTCAGAGCAATTTTCCCATAATTCTTACCTTTCCTTTGTGTTCCCGCGATGCTTCCTGTCATTTTACACGAAACTGACGAATTGCGTTCTAACTGAATGAGAACAGTATGTTTGTTTGTTTTAGAACGCAATTCGGCACTTTATTCGGATCGGAATTTCATTCGAAATTTCAAGCCATCCAATCACAGTGCTATGTGTCATTTTACACAGTGGGAAAATGCTTTTGAATTTTCCCACGCTGTGTAAAATGACAAAGAGTACTCTGATTGGCTTAAACCCACCAATCAGAGTGTTCTTAGCCTAATTGCAGGGTGGGGCAAGGCTTTATGAGCTCAGTCTGCGCGGAGCCCTCCATGGGTGAAGATTGATTATTTTTTTGCACTCTGGTTTTTTTCTTTTTCGTCTGTTTTTTTTTTTTTGCGCTCGGGATTTTTTTTTTTTTTTTACAGGTTAGTTATTTTATTCCCCCCTCACTATTTTTTAGGGTGAGGGGGGTAGGTAGGGAGTTTTTATTTGGGTGGGAGGTGGGTGACTAGGCGCTTGGGGACCCCTAGTCGCCTTGGGGGGGGGAAATTTACTTAGGGCCCCCACCCGCAGCCCAGGGGTGGGGGCCGGGGGGAGAGGACAGTAGGTCGTGTCCCCCCCTCATTATCTTTATGGCCCCCACCCGCCGCCCAGGGGTGGGGGCCGGAGGTGGGGTGGACAGTAGGTCCCCCCCCCCTCATTATCATTTGGCCCCCACCCGCCGCCCAGGGGTGGGGGCGGAGACAGTAGGTCCCCCCCCCTCATTATCTTTATGGCCCCCACCCGCCGCCCAGGGGTGGGGGCCGGAGGTGGGGTGGACAGTAGGTCCCCCGCCCCATTATCATTATGGCCCCCACCCGCCGCGCAGGGGTGGGCGCGGGGGGGACAATAGGTCTCCCCCCTTATTTTACTTTAGGGCCCCCACCCGTCGTTTAGGGGTGGAGGCCAATAGTTTTTTTTTTTGGCTGGGGGGGGGGTTTACAGTGAGCAGCCACAGGCTACTATAGCGAGTAGGGGTATTGGGGAGATTTTAATCTCCCTTATGCTATTATGGGAGTCATATTGACCCCCATAGAGTGAGGGGGGACCCGGGGGGCTTATGAAATGGCAGGGAGCACTGCTCCCTGCCGCTTCTATAATTACATATTACAAGGAGGGAGCTGCATGCCGGTAGCTCCCTCCTTGTAATAAACTGAACAAACAAACAAACACTGATACTCTTTGTTTGTTTGTTCGGCTAATATTTCTATTCATTCATTCGTCTGTCTGACGAATGAATGAATAGATGAAATTCCCGTTCGCATGTCCAGGTGTTTCACTGGGCATGTGCGGGAATCTCAGTGCTATCTAGTGTGGGCAGATGACGTGTCCCACAGGGACTTCATCTACCCACACAAAGATGGCGGTGCCCTGAATATAGATCGGGGCAGAAAATAAAGATACAAAAATAGGTAATGTGGGGGGCTTAGGGGCATTTGGGGGGTGACTAGGGTGTCAGAGATAGTGGAGGCTGGAGGGGGGTTAAAAAAAACAGGATTCGGCATGACAGTGCCACTTTAAGTTTGGTCATCATCTTCTTTACATACTACATGTTGTTAGGGCGAGGATGGGTGGACTTATGACAAAAAGAGGTTTTGTATTACATTTCCAGCATGCCTGCGGAGGTAGTGCATATATTGCAAACTTTACTTTAACCCCTATAAGGATTAAACTTCTGGAATAAAAGGGAATCATGACATGTCACACATCATGTGTCCTTAAGGGGTTAAAGAAGAATTGTCAAGCTGGGGTGTAAGGTACATTCTAACAGCAAATGTAGGCAACATACATATTTTAAATAAACATTTTTTAAATACAAGCAATGCTGTACACAACACACTATTGTTCCCTGGGAGTTGCCAGTGAAAGCACAGGTTTGTGCAC